TGGAGGCTTTGTATGCTCTTTGCACTTTGATTCCGTGCAGGGTGGAGACGTGGGAATAAATGATGTATTCGTGCAAGGCGTAGACGTTGGAGGATTTGGAGGCTTTGTATGCTCTTTGCACTTTGATTCCGTGCAGGGTGGAGACGTGGGNATAAATGATGTATTCGTGCAAGGCGTAGACGTTGGAGGATTTGGAGGCTTTGTATGCTCTTTGCACTTTGATTCCGTGCAGGGTGGAGACGTGGGTATAGATGTTGTGGACTCTGTTTCTGTACATGATGTAGATGAATCGTGATGCGTTGTGTGATTTGTATAATGCTTCGACTCAGTAGAGGTCGTATCTGTGCATGACGTAGACGGGGTTGAGCAATGCTCACCGTGGCATGATGTGGATGTTGTATCTGTGCATGATGTAGATGGGGTTGAGCAATGCTCACCGTGGCATGACGTAGGTGAGGATGTAGGGTGGGGTGTAGATGAGCAATCCTTGCCATGGCAAGATGTGGATGTTGTATCCGTGCATGTTGTAGATGGGGTTGAGCAATGCTCACCGTGGCATGATGTAGGTGACGGTGTAGGGGAGAGTGTGGACGAGCAGTGTTTGCCATGGCATGATGTGGACGTTGTATCTGTGCATGATGTAGATGGGGTTGAGCAATGCTCACCGTGGCATGATGTGGATGTTGTATCTGTGCATGATGTAGATGGGGTTGAGCAATGTTCACCGTGGCATGATGTAGGTGAGGTCGTCGATGAGCAATGCTCCCCGTGGCATGTGGGAGAGGTCGTCGATGAGCAATGTCTTCCATGGCAAGATGTCGATGTTGTATCTGTGCATGATGTGGATGGGGTTGAGCAATGTTCACCGTGGCATGATGTAGGTGAGGTCGTCGATGAACAATGTTCCCCGTGGTACGATGTAGGCGTCAATGTAGGCGTCGATGTAGGCGTCGATGTGGGCATAGATGAATTTGCATAGCGCCTTCTATGCGTCCTTGTTCTCAAAGCCGGTGGAGGCATGATTGGCCCGTTCTGGTTCTGGCGTTCCACAGCCTGTCGAGCATTTAGAAAAGCAAATCTACCCTCGGGGGTAACAGGAGCAGTGGGGCTGCTTGTAAGAGCTTCGCCACTGGGGCTGATAATGATGCTGGGAAAAGACTCTGCAATTGATGCAGACGTGAGGAAACTGGACGGATTTTGGATGGCGGTAGCTGTGGCGGCCGAAGGTTCGGTTCCATTGGAGTAAAGGATCTCCTCAGGGGCCGTTGCAACGAGACCAATACTAGTCGGGTTGGCCTCTCGAAGTATGATAGGCAAGGCATTGGAATCTGTAGATATCGATTCGCTGGTCTGACCGGAACTGGGGGTGGTATCATAGGCCAAAGCATTCGCAGAGCTCGCAAGGACTGCTCCAACGATAGCGCGAGTTAAGTGCATCCTGGATGTCTCTCTTCGAACCCTGAACTTCAGGAGAAAGAAAATGGAAAATAACTGCAACGAGTGTGCAAATACGCCAATTGTTTTGATAAGGGAAATAGAGAATCGAGGGGCAAAACGTTTCGAAGAAGGGTTAGACGCGAGAGGAATTAAATGAATTAAATACACAGGGACTTTCGGGACAATCGCCAAGTGTACCAAACCTCTAGCTATTCAACATGACGAGCATGACGGGCACCACGAGCAGAGACGTCATGTTTGAGGTGAGAAGATAATGGAAATAGTCCGCCTGAGGACTTCGAAGATCCAGATTAACTTATCGTTCTAGGTTGTCTCCGCTTGCATGGCATTGGTAGGAGCACCACAACTATCACATTCATTTAGTGGTGTCCGCCACCTTGACAGTCAACACTATCACAGCTATTTGTGGAGATGGGCTGGCCTACCTTGATGGGTTCCATAGAAACAGCTTGTAGAGACTCGACTTCTCCACAGCCAAGAACAACCACTACCATTTCGCACCGGCAGGATTGATGTAGCCCAGGCTCGACCACTCGTTTCTTGTTTTAAATACACCGACTTGCATTTTCTGCTAATTGTGTATTGCGAATTGATCAGACCACGGGATAAACCTCAAAATATCGTACAAATGCTACCTAATGATCCACTTGCACGCTACCTGTCTTCTGGTGCCCCGGAAAATAAGCCAACTCGGGTGCGGTGGCTCTGGACATGGTCAGTCTTCGTCCATCAGAGGAGGAGTAGAGGTGGGCCAACTTACGTAGGGTAGTTTTGGTATCACAACTCCAAGCACAGCCAAAAAATTGATGGTGAAGTACGTTAGGTCGTAGTGGGTATAGTGCGTGCTTAACAAGAACAACACAATTGGTACACTGAGGAGAAACTTTTTTGCTGGGGTGTATTGCGCCCCATTATCGATTTGTTCCCACATATTTAGATTGTCGTAGGCCCCCGCGTTGAATTCGAAAGGCACTCCACGGACCCAGTGAAACATGAGAAACGAGCCGAACATGTACGAAATGTTCGTCAAGGTCCAGGATGTTTCTTGGGAGACTCCAGGTATGATATCAAAAAGTATTTTGAGGCAGGCAATCAGTACCAAATGTATCGTCCAGGCACCTTAAAGTACGATATCTGTTAGCCGTGCTACTTCAAACCTGTCTTCAATTTGTATCGTTGGTCTCCGCGCCTGTAGATTGCGCCCAGGCAGAAAACATGCCACCTCTTTAAGTATGTCTTTCTGGAAGTAGCTGACCTTTTGCGTTAACCCAATTTGCATTTAGATTCGGTAATGCCGCCTGATCACTCATGTGTTCCATTGTCTCTGGCGGCTCCTGGTACAGCAAACTACTCGACCTCCGCCGCCTCCCGGTTTTCTGCTCGCTCATGGCTCCGTACCGCCCGCTTGGATTGGGCCCTTTGGAGCTCACGTCGTATGAGAGTGTGCGAGGGAGGAGGAGTGGAGAAGACACTTTGGCGGTAGTGGAGGGAGAAATCTTGGGGACTGGATGCGCTCGAACAAGCGGCCGATATGTATCTAGGGAAAAGGGATGTCCGGCAAGATAATGGTGCAGTCGGGAGCGGTAGGACGAGGCTCGCAAGGCGTTTAGTCCTAGAAACACAGCGTATCACGTTAGCACAGGCATACGGGCAATATAGCATGGCGTAGAAGGGAAAGTTGGACCGGCGGATTGCTCTTGGACTCGGACTGTAGACATGTTTCGGTTCTTGAGCAAGCAAACAAGGAGCGTCCCATGGCGTCAGTCACCGGAGGAGGGGGGGAAATATTTCTCACGTCTATTCTCCAAGTATAAATGGAGATGGCAGCGAAGCTTAGTAGAGGCTCTGGACGGGGAGCTCAACAGATGGCGGCGGCGGGGGGCGGCGGCAGCAGAGGTCGCGATACCTGAGATGTGGAGGATATAGGTAGGGGAGGTCGGACGTAGGGCAACGTGTGCAGCAAATGCGGCTCGACCTCTCAAAACCACCAGCTCGGGCTCGGGACGCAAGGCGAGCGAGGATGGCACGTGATATGGCCCGTGCTGCTGGAATTTTGTGTGCGACTTGAACGTCCAAGAACTTGAACACCTCCATCGCTCTCCGACAAGTCTCCAACAACTCTTCAACTTCACCAAGCTCAACACCATACCGACGGATCCGCATGTCGCAACAGCTATATTATCAGCCCATGGCTTATGCCTGAGTGGCTCAGGCTGCTGATTCAAGCCGCTACTCTAGATAGCGAGCCCGCCAGAGGCACTAACTACTATCTTGTGCAGGTAGGATTGCCCGTACTCCAACTCTCGAAAGCCAACCTGTCGCCCCTCCAATTAGGATACGACGCGCGTGGCGACACAGGCCATATCAATTGCTGCGAATATGGCGGAAGAACCGACGAATGATTCGCGGACTTCTGTTGTAGGCAGGAAGCGCGATCTCCAGGATGCTTCCCAATACCGAGAACCCCCCAACATGGACGACTCTTCGGACGAAGACTCGTATGGGAGATCTTTCAAACGCGTCAAACAGGCTCGTAATTCCGATAATGTCACAAAGATGGACGATTCACTAGCCACTGGGGGTACCTCACCTTTGCCTGTCGATGTGTCTAGCTATGGCGAGGCCTCTAAATTCCACGGGCACAGGGAAGAGTCTCTGCACACTCCGAATATCGGCGCAGAAATACTCTCTGTACACCCAAAGACTATTGAAACTGCAGGGAAGTCATTAGAAGTGCCATCTCATGATCCAGCCGGGGTTGCTACGGCCCCTGCAGCCAAGAACGGCCTGGCTTCTACGCACAGTATCGATATAATAGAGCTTCCTGCCGCTCCTGCTGGCAAGGAATCTATGCTTGCCCCTGCCGTTGAACAGGCGGTACCCTCGTCAGCGTTTCCAGCTGATACCCTGGGAGCTACTGTGTCTGGCTGGAATAAGGGTGTGCAAAGTGGGCTGCGTACATCATTTGGGAGTCGACCACTTTCGGCACAGGCAAATGTTAGGGTGGAGGATCCCGGCTTAAGTGACGGCGGTCCCCAACGTGGCGAAGACAACAAGCAAGTCTCGAGGGACGCATCTCGGAGCTCTTCAGGTACCGATGATCAAGAACACCCCATGTTCACATTTGGGGGCAGTTCCTCATCACAAGCTCCTGGGCCGAAACCCAAAGCCAAATTCCAACCACTGTCAAAAGCGGCAATAAAGAAGCTTCAACCTGACCAAAGGGAGGCTTATACTAAAGCTAAGGCCGCCGACAAGGCGCAAAGAAAGGAAGATGCGTTTCAGAGCAAGACAGCTGAGGCTGAACTGGCTATTGCACAAGAAGGGAGATGGCCCTTACCAGAACAATACGGTGGCATCTCTAAGTTGGTAAGGGGCGGGGAAACCTACTATGCTCAACTTGACAGAGAGTATAAACCCTTCAAGCCTCATTCTATAACCTTTGATACACTATGTATTTTCGATGACAAAGGCATGCCAATCAAGGCCCAGAATTTCTCTTTCAACCTCTTCGCTCCGGCGTTCTTGAAAACCAATTCGGAAAGGTTACGCAGTTTGAAGCTCAAGGACCTACGCTTAGCTTTTTATCACTACTGCAATCTTTGGTATTGTCATGTCGGACGTCATCTACAACCTTTGCTAGCCACAGCCAAAGCCCATGGTGCTTTCACTTTCGAGCAAGCAATGCAACATGCTGGCTTATCTTCCATGCGGACGAATACTCAACAAATACCTACTCGAGATGGCCTTGTTCAAGCCCCTAGCAAATCATCAAAGCAGGTAGGGAAGGGGCAAGACCATGCATCCCTTGCCCGTCCCGTAGATACTTTCCATGGTGACATTGAATCTCAGATTGATGAGTCAGGGCTCAGTAATCGCGTTAATAGCGATAGGCAGCACGCCAATCCTTCCAACCAACCGGACTTGTCCACGGCCGAAATCCAGGATAGCGACACCCCAATGGTGAGCGGAGTGGCTTTAACATCTGGCCACGATGCCGAAGTCACGGAGTTCATAACTCCTGAGTTGGAGCTGGACCGGGAGCTTCAACTGAAGTATTTTCCATCAGTGAGCACCGAATTGGCAATTTTACGATGTCTTGCTTGCGGCGATGCTGGCCACGGAATACAGGCATGCCCCGCTCTCTTCTGCACGCTATGTGGTGAGAATGGCAGACATTCCAACTTCACTTGTCCTAGTAAGCAGCGTTGTGGCAAGTGCCGCCAACGCGGGCACTACACCCTGATGTGTCCCGAAAAACTTTTTGCTACTGGAGCTGAAGCGGGTGGCTGCGATATCTGTGGCTCGACAAATCACTCAGAGTGTGCCTGTCATTTTATCTGGCGCAGCTTTGCACCTCAACTAGAGGAAATCCACACAGTCTGCAACATTCCCGTTTATTGCTATACATGTGGCGCAAACGGTCATTATGGCCCGGAGTGTGGGTTGCACACACGCTCTTTACTTTCTGGAGGCTATACGTGGTCGAAATCAAACCTTAAGAAATATATAGATCCTGCCAGTCAAGATCGAGCACTTTCTGCCGCCGTTGATTACTCGATCCCAAAACCAAAGGAGTTTAGCATTAAGGGTAAAGGCAGGGCCAACGATCCGTTTACGATTGAGGAGAGCGATGATGAAAATGACTTCATCCGCCCCAAGATCGAGAAGCCGGGACCGCGGGGGCACATCCATTTCGCGGAGCGCCCCGGAGCTGGAAATTCAGTCTTGGACAATGCTCCGAATGGCCCACGTGCCCGGTCAAGTTATCAACAGGATAACTTGTCATACAATGTGGCAATGGACAGCGCTGCTTCTAGTAATTACCCTCCGCCAAACGGCTATACCCCGAATATCCCTGCTGCTGAAGGTTATCGAGAAGCCTCTGGTCAGTTTCGATTCAACGGTAACCAACGGGACCTGGGTGGCAGCAATGGTAACGGTAAACATGGTGGTGCTAAGAAGAGGAAGATGCGGAACCAGGGAGGAAACCAGGCTGGCCACGCTCCAAACAATCCGAACCAAGCTCTACCCACGAAACCCAAGAAGAAATCAGGCGCCAAGAATCGGGAGAAAGCGGCCAAGAACACACGATAGTTTGTCTATGAATATGCAGTCACTGCATCTTCCTGGGTGATAGTGAAGCCTTGGACATATTGTCTCTGGTTCAACTCTTGAATTTCTCTACACTCCTCTCAGTATGACCCGGGCCCCCGAGGAGTATTTGCTATTCTTAATCGAGAACTTCGTTTGATGCTGGGTCACCGGCTCGAAATATTCATGGGTCTTATAATGGCAGCTGCCTTATTTGAAACATATACTTCTTGCTCTGCTGTATCATATCATATGGCTTAGGCGGTTTGGATTAATACAGCCTGCAATACTTGGCTGAGAGAGATCGGATTGGTGGGCTTTAGCCAACATAACATGCCCTGGAACACCAGTTCCGCGCACTCAGCACTTTATGTGTTTTTTACACTTCTACTGGCACCTATTCTTATGGAGTTTGAGCGGCATGGCATGGATATCGCTAATTATTTTAGACGCTGGGGATTGGGACACTGATTCGCTTAGACCAAAGCTGGCTCACGCCGGGATTCCATGGCTAGATAGGGGCCTGTAACATTATGACCACACGAAATAAAAGACGCAATGAGAAACAATATTTCAATAGTACCTTGTGTCTTTCTTGCGTGTTATATACCTAGCTTTCTATTACCAAGCCGTCGGGATGTCCAGGCAGGCTTTTGGAGTAACTGCTTAAATTTCGACGACGAGTGTTTTAAATCTCAGTTCTCAGTCTCTATATCTTTCTCATGAAGGCTCTTGCGTGTTATGTTGCTCCTACCCCGGTCATCGGCAACCAGGGTATTGTCACCAGTTGTGTATAAGGCATTTGATTGATGTCGGCTCACACTCCCCTTTTCACCTCTCTTAGTGGGTTAGTGTAGCGAAATAAGCGACATGTCCCAACAGACAAAACACCATTCTAGGGTAGGTCCCTCTTTTAATACCTAAAAATCTAAAGGTAAAAATGGCAAAAGAGTTCGTTGCCCACAGCCAACTAATCTCTGCCGCTTCGTAGTTGTCGCTAGACCTAGTTATATATAAATCACCTCCAATCCGAGCTATTCACATCCTTGTCAGCATCATTTGCCGTTGGATATTGCATTGTGGGCGCCATGATTAATAGTTAGATGGATGTTTCGTGGTTATTTATGGTAATATGGGTAGGCATGGCTAGTATACTGTATTCAGAAATGGCGCATTCAAGAACATTTGCTACATTATACTTGTGGCAGGATAATATGTGGGTGCTGAGAACATAGCGTATCACAACGAACAGGGATAAAATGGGTGGCGATGAAGAAATGAGGCAAGCAAACTCATGGTGATATTAGACCTATATACCTTAACACGCAACGTCAGCTTGAGAGGCGACATCTGAAAAAAATCCGACACTAGTCTACCGTCTATGCTCCTATACACTATCCAAACCGGTAAAACGCAGTAGTAAAATAACAATCTCGATCCTATGCAATCATGTACATCGCTGCAAAGCAAAAACTAGAAATACAGTATAATGATTCGCTCAATAGTAAACACTATCCAAAGCTATCCAAGCTCTACCAGTTATCATTTAGATAATAAACTCTTCATCTAGCCAATGACTAAGTACCACTCGGCCTTCGTCAAAACTCGGCTTCTGGGTCCTTACTATGATTGCTGCGTGGCTATGTCTCACTTTATGAATATACACTAAATATTTTCGCCAACCAACGTTATCCAATGCCTGGATCATGCGGAACTGGAAGGGAGCAAGGGCCAAGGTAGGCAGCTCATGTGGATGCGGTTCTAATTTCTCGGGCGCTCGATGCTTGAGGATTTTCGTTGGGCTATCTGGTAAGGAAGACGACGGTTGTTCGGTAATGGGAGAACATGGTTCTTGCGCTGCCTCTTCTTCCGTTCCTGGGACAAGGTATTCATGGTTTTGGGCACTGTTCAAGTTCTCGTAAACATCTTCGACAGCTTCTCGCATTCCGGCGATTAGGAGGGGTACTCTGTAGTTGCCCGGTTGGATTCCAGCAAGACCGCTTTCATGGAGTTTGATTCTTCGGTTACTTCGAACGGATTGTATACCGGAGTTTATGAGAAAGGCTACCACAGCGACGGGAATGAAGATACCCAGCGCTAGAAATAAAGGTAAGCGGCCAAATGTTGTTTGGCTGGTTTTTAGGACAGACTCGTAGAAGGTATGATGAGGTTCTTTTGGTTCAAGAGGCTCTATTGGACGCTGTGGGTCAAGGATAATATCATCATAGCCTTTCATATAATTGATCTTGATCTTGTCGAGATTCGTGAAAGGATCAGTTTTCGCAATGCCTGTAGTGTAATAGACTGCGCTCCGGTCATTCACAATATTTGCGTAAAGCGTCTTCCTCCGGAATTTGGCTAGTCCCTTGATGAATATCGATTCTGGATCGGCGAGAACTTCCAATAGCGGTCTTCCCGTGTCTCGGAATTTGTCTATTGTGAAAAGCTGTCTGCCCGACGCGGACAAAGTTCGAGCTCCTAGAATGTTGAAGAGATGGCTATGCCAGCCCCTTGACGGGGACCGTACTCCGAGATGTGGGCTCGCGAAAGTAGTGAAGTTCTATGATTGTTGGGTCAGCTTACTAGGCATTAGAGAAAGTGGATCGGCGGGCTACCCACCACTGGTGTTATCTCGTCAAACAAGCCTTTGCTCTCGAGCAAGCCGACTGCGTACCTCGCAACAAGGCCGCCGAGAGAATACCCTACAAGCGACAGCTTCGTGATAACATGTCCTTGATTGGCGGACTTCTCTATTTCCTCCTCTATCTCCTGGCACACCCGCTCGCCGCCCAATTCAATACCGTCATATGTAAAACTTCCGGAATTGCGTTTCGCGACGAGGATATGCAGACTGTCCTGGGGGTTCTTTTCTCGTAGGGATTTGGCCATGAACTCGAGATGGTTGGGATTTCCCCATAATCTGTTTGGTTTGTGCTGTTAGCTCAGGTTGATGCAACGCAAAGTCGCTGTAAGAAGCGGTTCAATACCCGTGGACGAGGACGCAGAGGTGGTGCGCTTCATGATTGCCGCCTATGTCCTTCATAGTTGTGGTCAATGAAGGTCTACTTCAGTAGCATACAAAGTAAAGCAGTTAATGAGCAATAAAGCAATACGCCGGAGTTGGGAGATGTGATCGAAGGATGATGCTAGGGGTAATTGGCTCCCTTCTAGAGACAAAGCGTGATAATATAAAGAACGCGTGGTGGTGGGCTGCCTTGCTGCTCTTTGGTGGCTGCGGCTGGGGCGTTGTTCGCTGGCCGGGACGCTGACGAGTGTCAAGAACACCGACGGGAGTTATGAAGAGCACAATGGAGAAAGAGAGGAAGAGAGCTAATAACAAGTGGATTTATTAGGAGTTCAATGGTTCATTATCTGTGTTATTTGACACAACACTTCGATCAGGATCAAGGTGAACGTTGATAGAGCACGCTTCGGGATCCCGGAGGTAACAGGGGTATTGGAGATATCGGTGATATCGGCTTTCGCAACAATAACGGATCCTTGCGGAGGACCTGCGTTTCACAACGCAGAGGAGCGACAGTGGATGTAAAACCAATTCGCCGAATTCTGTGAACGACTTGGCGCGCGTTTGGATATGGACGATATGTCAAAGGAAGTCGGTATTCAATCCCCAATAAGAGAACTTGACGTCGACCACTATACCGCATTTACCAATGCCCTCTCCAATATTCTATCTACCGACCCGGCCGAGATAACGTATGCGCAGATAATTCACGGCATGCCCACGGCAGATACCTAGTATGGCTATGCCAATAGACGTCATGACCTCATTGAAAATCACCTTAAGCTTTGTCAGGGATCATTAGACACCGCAAAAGAATCCCTGGAGAGCTTCCGCCCTGACAACATCCAAGTTGATTCTGCGGTTCGCATCTGGCGATTGTGCGCCCACTGCAACTAGGTTAATTTATATTGTGAAGGTCGCGCAAGCCTACCAAGATTCGCCGGTTGGATCACGGACGTTCAAGCTGCGTTTGATGGAAATGACTGCTATCGTGTGCCATGGCCTTGCAGCTTTGCTATTTCAGCAATCCGATGGAGGCTTTCACAAAGGCTGCTATACTTGGAAGCCAGAGCCGACAATAACACTCCCCTTCGGCAGTTCTGATCCAGTCCCTAACCCATCACCTGATCCCCCGCCAACGGTCTTTTACCATGGCTCCTACCATGACTTTGATCAATATCCCAATGGCGTCGCGGACATGGTTGGGTATTGGGCTGAATCACAACTCTTCGATGGAGTCGTTGTATTTGACCAAGGAGAGCAGGACATAGCCGTACGTATTACCTCTAGTCCTCTAGTGTGTTTTAGGCGGCACTCAAATTGCTATATATTGTTACCTATGCTGCTATCTTTCTATTTCTTTTACAGCCCAGGATCAATTATTCGTCTATAGTGCAAAGATGTTTTTATCCATCCGTTTGGGCCTCGTCGTCTTATCTTGCAGCTCCCAGAAGAACAGATCGACCACTTCTACACCTTTCGTCTTCCCTCGTCGATTAAGAACGGGGGGGGTTTTATCTCCGTTGCCCTTTTTGGTCGAGAAACATGCCCGACGCTTAGATCCCTGGGACGCGATGGAGTCTCTGCACATTTTCCGCAATCGCTATGAGCGCAAGTTGCCAGAATTCCGAGTCTACAATTGTGTGCCCACAATTGAAGACTATCCAGAAATCGAAGATCTTATGAAGACAATCCGGGAGCGTTTTATTTAGGGGAATTTTTACACATGTATTGTTGCGAAAGCGTTTTATTACAGAGCTCGGCTCCTAATAGCTAACTCCAGTCGAGGTATAAGTATACTACAGGAGCTCAATCTCTTTTATATCACGAGAATAAGCTTCAAACTTACTATCGGTAATACGTTAAGGACGTCACTGATGGTACCCGCTATTTACACGTGCTTATCTTAAATTACTCGCAGTTAGGTAGTAAATACGATACGAAGTATCGTGTGATTATTGACTCAAGCGAGCTAACCGAGACGGCAAAAACGAAGAGGGAATTGTTGTCAAAGATTTAAACAAAATAGCAAAAGAAATAGCCAATTATCAGTTCCAAATGGGATACCGAGAAACTCAAGTTTTTGTTATCTCTGGCGGAGCGTCCAGGGTCTTCCTAGGTTGTCTGTTGATCAGTGGTTCAGCCTCGGAAAGGCGTTAATATCCCCACTGCACCAACAGGCCTAGTCGCCTGCCTCCAGTTGTTAAGGGAATTCTGCTTATTTTGATATATATACGTAATAGGCATCTTAGGTATTGATGCTCAGGCCCACAAGCACAAGGCAACACCTTAGTACTACCTAGGTTATTACTAACGCTCTACTACCCTAGCGACCTACCGTTAAATCTACGGCCTAGGTTTAAGTCTCTAAGCCCTTTTTTTCCTTCTACAAACGTAGCAAAACAAGGACTACCGTATATCTGGAGCGCATTAGAGGTGGTCACGGGATCCTATGTCACGAGGGCCAAGGGGGGAATCCTCGGTTAAACTACGGTTCTTGGCTTTCGCTCTACTTCGTAACCTCGAACACATCAGATCTAGAATTAATACGCCATCCTCCACTCCCCACGTGATATCATCAAAAGCCTGTTACGGACGGCTCATCAACTCTAACTACAGTTGAGGCTGAAGCGAAATTCAAGACATCGTGGTGTAACGTGACGTGGTGGGCTCCTTTGGACACGCCTGAGCAGGGCACTCCGCTGATGATTGAGCTCTTGTATGAAAGACTCAAGGAACAAAGGGACAAAGGGCCCGATCACCCAAGAGGCTCCCCAGCCCTTCTTAATACTCTATGGGAGCTCTCGATATTCGCGTCTCGAAATCGCCAGGATTCTGACCGTCATCATTAACTGGTCCACCCTTCGAAGATGTTCAGTTCCAAAGACCGCTTCTCAGAAATCCAATGTCCATATCAAGAGACATGTGTTCTTCCGAGGTGCATATTTGCCCATTCCAAAGGGTTGATAGACAATCAGGGAACGGTAATCGGTATCCAAAGCCATGCTGAACTCGATGGTCATGATCTTGGAGGTCCTCGAAAAAGGCTGAAAGTAGATGATGGGAACAAAGCACCCGCAATGGGTCAGCAGAAACTTTCATCCGTTACACGCCCAGTTTCGCCTCCTCCTTTACGAAGGAAGGTTGAAAATCGACACGCTGCGCCCACCAAGCAACCTCTTGTTAAAACTAGCTCGAATCCCGCATCCACGCCCGCCAAATCAAGCGCTGGGGCCAAAACGCCTGTCAAAGTCGTTCCCAAGAAGGAAGGTTTAAATCCCCGCCCTCTCAAGGTGCCAGCTCCCGCTACACATGAAATGAGATTTAGATTGCTACGAGCACTCCACGAGCAGTTTAATCGGCTTAACTCCGAGTTGGTGAAGGACGCAAATAAAGCAGAGGAACCACTTGTGCTCTCAGAACAAGAACTTATCACGAAAGCCCTGGATGCAGAACAAGAGGCTACTAGTAATCCCATCGTTTACTCCAACGTTGTGAAAAACAAGATATTAGTCTTCAAGCGGATGTCTGTGAAACAATGGAAGGAAGAGCGAGAACTGGAAGTGGCGAAGGTGACGGCAGCAGAGGCAGCATCGCGGTTCAACGCTCCCGTTTCCAAGCCTACTGGGCCTCCTACACCTATTGAAACTGGATTGAGTCTTGAGGAAGAACTCGAACTCATGCCGCAACTTTACGCCCCTGTTACGGGTCTATCGCAACATGGCTATATAACATCTATTCCATCGGATCAAGAGATCGACTCGGCAAAAAAAGGGATCGAAGCAGCCAAAGGATGGGAAATCTGCGATCGCTGTAAGGGCCGATTCCAAGTATTTCCCGGCCGTAGAGAAGAGGATGGTGCGCTTACGTCCGGCGGTTCATGCACATATCACTATGGAAAGGCCTTTTTTCAAGAGCGTTCAGCAAACGATCCAAAAGCAAAGCGGGAGAAGAGGTATAGGTGCTGTGGCGAAGCAATGGGCGATTCGCGAGGCTGTACGAAGGCCGACTCTCACGTATTCAAGGTCACCGAGGCGAAACGGTTAGCAGCGGTCTTGAATTTTGAGTGTACGCCTGAGAATACGGAGAAGGAGTCATCCAACCCGGTCTGTATCGACGGTGAGATGGGCTATACAGTCTATGGCCTCGATCTCATCCGTTTAACTGCTACATCTTATCCATCCGGCGACGAGCTTTTCGATGTGCTAGTGCGCCCAGTTGGTGAGATCCTTGACCTTAACTCACGCTACTCAGGCGTCTGGCCCAAAGATATGGCCGAGGCTCTCCCACACTCTCCATCGTCCCAGCCCTCAATAGTCTCAACAGAGACTAGCGAGAAGAAAAGCCTACGAATAGTAGACTCCCTAGCAGCAGCCCGCTCTCTCCTCATGTCCCATCTCTCACCGTCTACCCCCATCATCGGCCATGGTCTCGAGAATGATCTCAACGCTACCCGTCTCGTCCACCCAACCATAATCGACACAGCCCTCCTATTCCCCCATAGAGCAGGCTTGCCCTACCGGAATGCTCTGAAAATGCTCATGCAGACCCATCTTAATAGAAATATTCAGGTTGTGGTTGATGGGAAGATGGAGGGACATGATAGTAAGGAGGATGCGAATGCTGCTGGCATGTTGGTTAAGTGGAAGATTGGGCAGGAGTGGAAGAGGATGAAGAGGGAGGGCTGGGTTTTAGAGCATGGGGAGTTCAAGCCGCCGAAAGGGATCCAGGGGCTGGGGAAGTTTGGAGGCTTGGGAAGTGGAGCCGGGACTAAGAGATCGAGGGAGGGCAGCCCCTCAGAGGAGTTGGTTATAGGGAGGTTGAAGTGAGGATAATTGATATAGGTCTTGAAATAGTTGCCAAGTATTAGGCCATACCTCTAAATGTACCAATTAGCGGACCTCGAAGACACTCGGACATGCCGACATGGTCGATTATTAGGGAGCACTTGAGGATGTTCCTTCGTCGATAGCCGTAGCATGGCCTCGAGCACATATTAGCTCGATAGTAGAGGTTGAGACACTCCAGAACAAGGTATCCCGAAACCCATCATTCAGAAACGAGTCATAGCCATTATCTTGCAGTCATTATGCACAACCGTTATACGCCATTTTCCTTAACAACGCCGATACATGCCCTCCCATATTTATCCCGATCTTTAGAAATCCATCCCCATAAGATACTCCTCTAAAATGCGCATAAACTTAGCGACAAAGGCCTCCAGATGAAAGATGACCTTGGTACCCATACGAATCCGATGCTCATAGAAGGCCGCCCACTTTATGACATCAGCCTTCAGCGCATCGTCAATAAGGGGGATAAGTTTGAAAGTCAGGGTCTTGAGGATTGTGGTTGGTGGAATGCAATGGGTTAGGAGATCGTAGAGTTTCGCGCGCACTTGAAGGATCCGTGCTGGGGAGTGCTCGGCCATGATTTCTTGGGCTACTACGCCAATGAGGGCTTCCCAGTCTGGAGGTGGGATTGGCGTGTCGTCAGATACTTTCTCGCTGTTGAGTAATAAGTTAGTCAAGGCAAAATACAGCGACAACAATAAGGGGCGAGGTTGGGGCGTCATACTTTTGCGCATGAACAGCCTCATACATCAACAGCGCCCTCCTCAAATTCCTACCACTCTCCTTGGCAATCCTCTTCTCCAACTCCCTCGCAGCTAGAAACCCCTCCTTTTTCCCACTCTTAGCAAGCACCTCGCAAATCTCCAGCTCAGTTGGTGCAGCTACCCTCACAAGCAGCGTCCTCGACCTAATCGGCGCAATAATATTCGCCGTGCTATTCGCCAGCAAAATCAACCTCAAATTCGGACTATACTTCTCCATCGTCCTCCTCAGCGCTGCTTGTGCATCCCTTGTTAAATGATCCGCCTCGTTGATAACTACGACCTTGAATCTCTGTTTTGCGCTCTGATCCACCTGCTGCGTCTGCGCTACCTCCTTTAATAAATCCTGCACCACCACTCGGTCATAAATGCCTACATCTGAGGGTGTGATTTCGAGGTGATACACTGAGGCGACGATATTGAATTCCAGTTTGCGGTTAGAGGTCGTTTGGAAGACTCGGGAGTCGATCTTTATCTTTTCCACGCCGGGGCCGTACAGTTCTTTCAGTGTGGCTACTATACGTGTCTTTTTTCCTGCGCCGGACGGACCGTAGACTAGGAGGTGGGGGAAGTCGCCGCTTTGGGCCTGTGACGGGTCAATGTCATGTTAAATTTAGAGGGGGAATATGGGGGGAGACGGACGAGTGAGCGGAGGCGCTCAGAGAGGTCTTTGTGATATGTTAATTGATCGAGGGATCGAGGCCGGTGTTTATCCACGAGAAGCGCCATTATTTCGGGGGATTTAGGTTCAGATCGCGGAGTATGAATCGAGATGGTGATGGAGATGGAATTTCATGGGAGGAGTCGCGAATTGGCGGATTGGAAGACGCGTTGGTGAAAGTTCGCGTTGAGAGCTTCAAGGTGGTCCAAGCCACCCCTGACGCCAGTCTCGTCCAGGTTGGTGGTCGGGGAGGCAGATCACGTGGTATCAACGTCACCTCCTCGACTCCCACCAACCGTCGTAGAAAGTACTACCTCGTATATAAAGATTATCCTACCCCATCAACAAACTAAATTGGATAGTTGATCCCTTGGTGTTTGTCTCAAACACATTGGTCCCTCTATGCCAATGTCCATGCTGCGAGACCCAACATTTTCATAACCCAAATCACTTCCGCGCCTCAAACGCCCTAAACCCATTCATGACAATCTCAATCCCTTGTTTACTCACGAAATCTAAACCTTCTATCTCCCCCTTCTCAAACCACCCCCAATCCTGATGCTCCTCAGCATCTAACGTCACCTCCCCATCCTCTACCTCCACTATAAAATTCAACTTACACCACCTCTCCCCTCGCCTGCCCAAAAACTCCACCTCTATCGACCCCTCGTTCGCGTCCCACACCTGTTGTACAAAACCCTTGACAAGCAATCCAGTCTCCTCCCATACCTCTCTTACCACGGCGTCTAGCAGCGTCTTGTCGCTGCTGTCGACACTTCCTCCTGGCACCTCCCAGAAGTTGGGAAAGGAATCGGTAGATGCGCGCTTGACAAGGAGGATTTGTGGTGGGCAAGAAGGAGCGTGACGTCTAAAGACCAGGGCGCCGACAACGAGTCTGGCATGCGTGGTTATTGACCAGTTGGCGAGAGTGATGGAGTGGTGAGCTAGGGATGGCGGAACGAATGGGGCTGAGAGGTTGGATGGAAGATCACGTGGCATTGTGGTTTTTCGCCGAGGGAATATATTCGAATTGAAGAGTCTGGAAGATGATACTGGCGGATTTGAAGACGAGAGCTGCGATTTAGATATCGTCGTTTGAAATTTCTGGTGTTTTGTTAGGCATCAACGACACCGGCGATGAGTCATCACTTCTGATACGCAATAGTGCTTGGTCCTTTAGTGGTGCTAGGATATCTGCAAGGCACCCATAAAGTACCTAGGTAAGCTAAGGGGTTACGATTATCATTTTTATTACGTATTGGCTCTCTAACCATCAACAATAGGGAGGGTTTAACTCTTGCAAATCGTCCGCTAACTCTCGAGCTTGGGCAACTGGAAAACCAAAAGAACATCAATGGGAAATCTACCAGCTCGAGCGTCGAGACATACGTCCTTGATCTCTTGGATTGCCATAACAATCGGCTCCAAAACTAGTGCAATGCTATGCATAATGAGGAGGAGGGTCAAGATCAGATCGTGGGCACTGCCCTCATCAATAATCGCGACAATCGTTATGAACCTTCCATCTTGACCCTGACTGACACCCATCAGAGTAATATACCTAGTATTCATCAACAATGACTGGCATACCACACGCTTAATCAATGTAGAATGGGTTTATTCTTTACTGATTAAGATGTTCTGGCCTCCATACTGGATAACTGTTCATAGGAGTTGACGAAATGTAGAATTGAGAACGCCTCCTTGCTTTCAACGAGCTATAAGAGGAATTTATGAATATATTCAACAGGAGGAGCTATTGTGTGCGGACAAAACTCTAGCCTCTGGAGCACTAGCTACTGCATCTCTCATAGACGATGAAGAACGATTGGAACCTTGGGAGATTCTGGTATTTTAAGGCTTATCTAGTCCAAGTGGCTTGCTGAGCCTCTTTCTGGGCATATCTATTCCATGGCAGTAACATATGCATTGCTGCAAAGCCTGCTAATAAGTGTCAGTGTAACAAGAACATTCACGCGGCGTTTGAGGAATCGTTGGATAAATCATAGACCACAAGTAAAAGTCATAGCATCAAGATATTGCAAATGAGCAAGTCATAGTGGCAATGCCCATGCTCGAAAAGGGACCGCAATGTTCTCGAAATCGAGCAGGTATCAGTATAAATTTTAAACGCTGTGATAAACACCGTCGATACGCTCTAGAAATGGTGGAATCGTCCTTGATTTTGGTTATGGCCCACATGATCTTATTTTAATTCAAAGGGGGCCAAATCCTTCGGCTAACCCTCGGTCGAACACACACCGCTCCAAGTAACAATATATATCAAAATAAGCAAAACCCCTCCAAGAGACAGGGGACAGGCGAGTTGGCGGGCAGGGCAAGTGCTACAGCTATAACAACACGTAAGTCCTCGGATGAACCTGGATGCTCTGCTAGAGATAACCAAAGCCTAAAAACTTGAGTTTCTCGGTATCCCCTTGGGATATTTCTTTTGCTATTTTTGGCTATCTTCGATAGCATCTTTTTTATATTCTTAATCTTTTTTTCCGTCTGCTCGCTATGTTATGCTCGATTAAGCGACAGCAAGGCTTGTCCGTTGGAAGGTGAATTTTCGACCACGCCAAATTCAAACATACGAAATGCGGGTAGTGCATGAAAGGCTTCGATTCCTGCTAGGTTGGAGTCTACGGGTCTGGAGAAGATTGATATCAGTATCGGATTTGCTATGTATTGTACTTGCATGTTCTAAGATAGTGTTCACTGGGCCGCAACAAGACGCACTTACTCAAACCACTTGAGCCTCAACAAACTCAGATAATAGGCGGACCAAGTTACGAACTAAGTCGGGCGGTTCTTTTGACGAACTTTTATGGGATTAGAACACCTAGAAGGAACGTATGTCGAGAGAGTGGGGAGAGGGGCTTAGGAGAACGAACATACCCGATCCTACGGCTGTTGCTAGGACATGGCTGGAGAGAGAGAGTACCGATATTCTAGAAACTGGCACATTTTCGATGGGGAGTGGAGTTGAGCTACGGGCAAGTAAAATAAAGGCAAGGGGTAAGAGAAAGGGAAAGGGAAGAAGGCTTTGGAGCGGCACGACCCTTCACTAGAGTAGTATCAGAGGAGCCCGGAGCTGTATAGTCTAGTTGCATTGTATAAGCATTTGACTATGATACGGAGCTATTTTACTCACATGTTAGCTAGGTCATACACTCAAATTTCCCTTGAACCTGCTAACCACGAACTTGCCCTGGGCCCCTGAATTCCCATAACGTCAATAGTGCGATCTCCAGACGCCTCATTGATCCCTACATTAGAATACGAAATGTATCTTCCTTGGATGGCCCTAGTTTGATGACTTCGTTTGGGATTATGCCCGATCGATGTCGCATATCCCGGGCAGTCGTGGGAGTAACGTTTCCCTCCACCTTTTTAATGTAAAATACCGTGTTTTGAAGCCGCTCTGTTACGCTTAATGGACTCATACACATAGCTCATAGGCCACGATGTTTTGTCCTTCGTATATAACTAACTATTGCGATGCCTGCGGTCCTCCCCCCTGCTACTCCTTCCGTCCCCTTCTAAAAGTTACTATCTATCTAAAGCCCGTTCATATGTTCGCTTACTAAGCTACTATATATTAGTTTTGTAAAAATCAATATTCTCGCTTATAACTAACTACCTACCTAAATATTCAACTTATTAAAAAAAAATTAAAGAAAGAAGAAAGGCGCAATCCAGGAGTCGAACCTGGGGCCTCTCGCAGGCGCTTTTCGAGTCAACCCTCTGGGGTGATGGTTAGTCATAGTACAAGACGAGAGATATGATTTAAATACATACAAGCGAGAATCATACCACTAGACCAATTGCGCTTTGCTCGGTTAAATATTTCTGGATTATTACCAATTATAAGGTAGATCCTACTTGAAAATCCGGAGACTTCGGAAACGCTCGGGACTAAGGACTCGAATAGGTTATATATATTTTTAAAATTAAAACAAAATGAATTAAAGGAGCTGGTACTAGTAAATCCTACGATTATCTAAAAACAGGATTTCTTCCCTTTACAAAATTCTAGGTTATAGCGAGAACTTTTAGGTACTAGCAAAACTCGTCACTTTTAGAATCGCTAGCACTAGCGTCGGATATTGCTTTATGACGGGGTTACAAGAATATACTTTCAGCTATACTGGGTTTTTAGGTTTACAGCCTCTATTATGAGGGCTAACTACCTCTCAGCGCTATATACGAGCGTCTTGGCGTTTACGTGCCCCTTTTCAATAGCACTTATATCATAGATACTGCGGATGTATATCTATATAGACAGTATACTGGCTAGACTCCTTACAGTTAATAACGATCGTTAATTACTCTCTTTATCAATGTCAAGGTCTCATTCAATGTCTCCTTCAGCTTAACATAAAGCCTTGGCTTATAGATGAGACAATGCCCTGTCACACCTGATTCAAATCATAGATTATACACAGGTAAAAAGCTCGATTGTTCTACGAAGGCACCAGAGGAAGTATACCAGACAGCAGCCATCCTCCCAGATCCTACTAAGAGAGAACTCAGAGTAAGTCTCGCCATCTAGCATCATGCATTAGCGTTATTACAGGCATTTACTCTTGTGCTCCTCGGCAAAATCCTCTATGCTGTTTGTCTTCTCTGATTTTGTAGCATAGCGGCGTGACATCAATGAAACCGACCCTATTGAGCTTTCAAGCTAGTATACGATGGTATTTGCCTTAAAGATCCGCATGGCAGTACCCAGATGATCTTTCTGTCCTACTGTATCGTATATCCAATCATTAAAATCTGAACCGTCTTCTTTTTAACCCCATCCTTTTATTGTCCGATTCATCGAAGGCGTTTGCGAAATGATATCCGAGATGAAAGTATTCAGTCTGGAGCTGAGACTTGGATAGGGGTGCATTATGACTATAGTGCTGTCCACCTTGAGATTGAAGTTGCTCTTGAATCAATCTGCCGTAAGCGCCAATGCTCGTCGGTAAGGCCCTCGATGTCGCAAACGCGTCTTGGCGTTCTTTAGAAATCATTTTGCCTCTTACTGCGGGTCAAGACGCGACCTCGGGGTCCGAAGAGCTAGAAAGGTGAGACCGACGTTCCGTTCTAGACGATTCCAGTGGGAAGCAATCGGCTGGCTGCAACAGGGGAGAGAGTACATTCAAGCTTGTCCCGGCATATTGGCCGTAAAGAGCGGTGCCAAAATATTCTGCAAGCGTTTGATCAGCAAGGAATTCACATGCGCGACAAAACATCATTTCTAGGCAGCATTGAATGATTGAGATGCTGAATCCAGAAAAAGTCGCCATGTACTGCATCTCCTTCGGCATGCTCCAAAGCTGTAACCAATTTGCTCTTCGGTGACTATCTCCCATATTTAGGATGTAGTAATGAAGCGTATCGAAAGCGCCTTGTAAGATGTGCCTGCAGTGGGTATCGATACGGAGAACAACCGTGATGGACTGTCCAACATAGAATCGGACATAGAAGCAGTTCCGACCGTCAGTTACGAAGTCTAGATACCCACCAAACTCGGGCCACTGCATGAATGATTGTCCTTGTAACTGATCTTGCTGGACGTTTCTTAGGCTATTCTTCGTCAGATCTATGGCCAACTCTTGTCCTTGGAGGTTGAAGACTGTCGGATGTACAAAGCTCAGCATAGCACTAACTAGCGCGTTTGCACCGTGCTGTTGAATCTGTGCCGCATAGTCGAGATAGAATATTTCGGCGTGATTGCCGTCTCAAATAGACAAAATAAGCTCGTTTGCGACGCTCGCGAGAGATGACGGAAAGCGAACCAAGGTCCGTGGCGCATCGGGGCTGAACTATAGGTGTATACTCGTTAGCCTACATTCCGCGTTCTAGAAAATTCACCACGAAATCCTGACCATATCACTGTTGAGAGGCCTTTGAACCCCTGGTCTCATGCCGGGAGCTACCAATGACATTGGAACACTTCGCAGTTCCAGAGGATCGCGATTCGTGGAAGATCTGGGAATGCCCTGGTGGTTGAGCATGGAATGACTGTGGAGGCTTCCGGGTGGCCCCCCGTCACTTCGAGCGTTACGTGTTGACCTGAAGCGTTTTGAATGAGTTGTCTGCCATTCCGACACAACCGCCTGAGACTCGGCTGCCCTCTTCCTGAATGCGGGAGCTGACGGAATGGACCGAATGTAAACGGGAGGATTAGGAGGATCCGTAATACCGTACTCCCGGCATTCGTTGTCCCACGCTGTCCTTATCGCAACTCCTTCCATCGGGAGGGCCATCCTTGGTGGGAAGTCCAGGTAAGGATGGAGGAGCATGCGGAGAGGGTCGGGTCCCGTTGGATCTGGAGCAAACGATTTGAGAGATGGCGCCCAAATATTCAAGGATTTCCACCACGGATTTTTTCTTGGCTCCAGTGGATGGAGTCTAAAGAAGTCAGACAATCCACCGGGTCCACAAGTCTTGAATGGACAGTGTTCGCCGTGAGTGTCCGGACCGCTTCCACAGCTTGGGCACACATTGTAAAATGGACAATCCTTGAAATCCAGCGCCCGCGCAAGACAGCTAATACATCGCGGGTTTCTCATCCCATCTTGATCAGAAGTCACTGGAGAAATGACATCGAATCGGATCTGTGGATTGCTGTTCATCCTGGCTGTGAATCTGATCGAATTAATGGCCTATAATAGGGTGGTCAAATTGGTGGGAAATGTGTTATTGTAGTTTTGAGGAATAATGAAGAATTTGAAGGCCGCAGTGTAAGAGTAGAAGATGAAGGAATAAATGGGCGTCGCGTTGTGTTGCGGTTGAACGCGAGACTTGACCGTGATGATTGTTGTGAATAGCTGACCCCCTTCCACACATCGCAAAGTTCCTGTTGTACTACCTAGCAATCCAAATTGACTCACGTTGAGGCTCCTAACTACCTCATCTTCGCTATTCAACCTTGACTACGCATGCATGCTTCCTGGGAAGCCACCGGCGAGTTGAAGATGAGCACTACTTCCCCATGCTGTTGCGCATACCTTTTTACTCCTTACCACCACCGCCTGCGTCTTGCCAGGTTTTGGGGCCTTCATCCATTTCTCCCACCGCTCTGCTCCTTGAATCACTCCTCTCTTCGTTTCAGCAGTGCCTCGCCATCGAGGTCAGGCGGCCATAACCGAGCGCTCCCATCTGGCAACGCATCGTAGAGACGCATCGGTGCCGGTATTGACTGAGGAAATGGCAGTAGCCTCAAGGCTGGAAGCACTCGGATTGTTGTTGTCGAGAATTACAGGTCGGTCTAGAAATGTTTAAAGGCGTGCTATAGTACTAAAGAGCTTTTTATACCTTGACTACTACGCTTGCTATCATGCTTGAACGGCCTGGGGTTTGGTCGACCGATGAGGCTTATACTACTTACATTCTCGCCCCCATTCTCGCCCCATACAGCTTGAGCAGATGCGCAGGTGTTGTTGATCTGATCAGGTGTAGGAATTTGGAGGTCGTCCTCGCAGCCAATCAGCAGCGAAGAAGAATCTTGGCTAGAATCTTTAGAGAAGTGCGACGTAAGGAGGCACCAATCGTCGGTTCTGGCAGGCTCTGTTTGTTATTGTTGCCGGTGTCACTCGCAGTAGATCCGGATGCTTTGCAGGCATAATCGTCTTTAAAAAAACACATATTTTCCGGTTCAGTTCCAGTGGTAGATCAGGTTGGTTGGTGCTGTGATCGGCGTTCTGTGTGACCTCAGCCAAGGACACCCCCGCTAACACGCTGCAATCTCGAGAAAATGAGGGCTAATTACAGAATGTGGAGGGTGGAATATGTAGTTAGCTTAGCCGAAATAAGCAAATAGATGATAAAGGAGAAGAAAAAGAAGTAAAAGAAAAGAAAAATGCAAAAAAAATTATTAAAATAGAACTTCTGTTCTCCCCCGGAAAGGCTTGAACTTTCAACCTCCCGATTGCTTTACGAAGTATAACAGTCGCTGTCTTAGATTAGTGTGTGTTGCTAGCGAATTTTGTTGACGGTTTAGTAACTTACGACGCGCTAGCCAATTGCGCCACGGAGGATCTCTGTTGATCAAGAAAGGGGGTAAAGGGAAAGAAAAAGGGTGAGGGAAGAGAGAATGATACAAGGCGAGAAAAGTCGGGAGAAAAATATCTCAAAAACATAAACTCCCCCGGCAAGGTTTGAACTTTCAATCCCGATTGCTTCAGAACAGTTGCTATGTTAGGTTAGTTAGTATGTGCTGCTACTTGCGAATTGCACTGATGGTATAACGTACGACGTACTCGCCAATTGCAACCTAGGTAGAGCAAGAGGGTAAAGGAGAGTAAAAAGAGTACGAGAAAATAAAAGGAAAAAAGTTTTAAAAAAAATCTCCCCCGGAAAGGCTTGAACTTTCAACCTCCCGATTGCTTTACAGAGTATAACAGTCGCTGTTACTGGGTTAGTTTGAGTTGCTAGCAAATTGTTGTTGGTTTAACTTACGACGCGCTAGCCAATTGCGCCACGGAGGATATCCTTGGACTTTTTGAGATTCGAAATGCATATTTTAATATGTATAGGTCTTAGCGAATTCAGTGGTTACGGGTCTAATTTCCCGAGGTCCTGCCGGCCCCACCAGCTAACCAAGCTAAGTCCTCCAAACGCACAGTTCTACCTTCGACTACATCGAGGAATCATATTTTGTCATCTCCTGTTTACTTAAAAATTCTGCTACTGCGTAGAGTTACCTTACCGTTAGTAGCTGTTGAAATAGCTTTGAAACAGGAACAATTAAAAGACACCTAAAACCTGCGTGATGGTATGCTCTATGGAGAATATGTAAGGACGTCAAACCAAGGCAAGTGTACAGCAGACTAAAAGCCCCGAAGGGCGTACTGAGCACCTGTACAGCTCGTGGCAGTGGACGGGCTCCTCCGATGTAACTCCGTACCTAAACGACCCCCCTTTACACCTAGCCATTCCGCGTGTGGCATGTAAAAAGCGCCTACAAACAGCGGTCTAAATTTGGTATGTGTACAAATGCGATTCTAATTCGGCAATACTGTTTTCAATTTCAAAATTTAGTTTTGAGTCTGTTACTCTTGACTTCGCCGTCGAATGCGTTATCCATAGTATCCGGAAATCGGCGAGCAATATTTTCGTTTTTTATTTTAACAAATCAAATATTCCGAAATCGAATTTCAAATCTAAGAATTTAGAACACACTGATCTAACAAGGCAAGTATTTGTTTAGATCTAAGAGATAGCCCAGTTCTCTTCGTGATGGGCCTTCCTTATAAAATAACCATATTCGCTTTACAATCTGAGTCGTTATGCGGTACATTGCTATAACGATTACCCCTTTTTTACCCTCGCTTAACAAGACGAGGTAGCGAGATTTGGTTCCCCACTTAGGAGAAATTTTCTCCGGGGCTGTTGGAACTACGGAAGAACTATGTGGTGGAGGACGGTTACTCCGGCCAGTCGGTTTACCAAGACGGAAATCAATGCGGTAGGGAGATGAACATGTGGGTTCTGGATGATCGGCAAGTGGTAATATCTTGCTGGTAGATGCAGCTATCATGTGATGGAAGAATTTGATGCCGTGTTTCGATAAGCTTAGGATATGCATTTTAGATTAGCGATATCCTTGAACGTGGATCATTCGTCACATACTCCATAGTTCCCTTATTATGTGGAATTGGACTCTTCTGTCATGGAGGAGTATTTATAAAGCCTCACGAACAAATATCTCATCATAGGCATTTAAGTATCATACACAACAGTAGCCCGCTAGGACATATACAGAAACATCTATCGTATTTGAAGATCATTATTTTCTACAGTGTATTAAACGCTTCACATACATGCATCGAGGGTAGCTCCGGCCATGACTTATTTTGCCGCGGTCTGGCTTACATCCTCCAAGCCTACCGCATGAGTCTTATCGTCCGAAGAATTTCTCGCCTCCTGCGCGGCCAGTTTCTTCTGTAACACGCGCTCCACATCTTCCGCTCTCTTCTCCGCATCAACAGTGCCAAACAGGATATCCATATCCTCAAGACTGCGTCCCTTGGTCTCCTTAACGAAGAAGAACGTGAAGACACCCATGGCCAAACAGAAAATGCCGAACATCAGGAATGTCCGCCACCCGATGTGGTTGACGGCGCTTGGTGTGACCTCAGTGATCACGAAGTTGAAGAGCCATTGGGTGGATGCGGCCAGGCCAACACCGTAGGATCGGAGACGGGTGGGGAAGATTTCGGATACGTAGACCCATGGAATAGGACCCCAGGAAGCGGAATATCCAATAACGAAGAGGTAAATCATCGCGACCATTGCAATAGAGGCAGGCGAGACTGTATTGGTGTTCGTTGGTGGATGGTTGTGGAGGACAGCGCCGATGATGAACATCATCGTCATCATCCACGCTGCTCCAAAGAGGAGAGATTTGCGGCGACCCAATTTATCGATACCAATTATGAGGAAGATACCAGTGGTAACGACCTTGACGGTGCCATAAATACCGGTGGCGAAGAGCGAAGAGTTTGTCTTGGACACTCCCACAGTCTGGAAGATTCTATTGGTCAAGGCGTCAGCATTTCCAAAATTGCAGATATACTTTGAGATGCACAAAGCTACTTACTGTGGGGCATAATAACCGATAGAATTAGTGCCAGAAAATTGTTGACACATCATAATGATGAACGCGGTGATAAACCGGTAACGGTTCCCTGGGGTCAGGCATTCCTTCCATCTCACACCTTCAGTCTCGGCAAGTTCCTCATCGATAGCAGCACGGATCTCGGCGATCTCGTTCACGATTTCAGGATGAGTGGTCTCCTCACGGCGCATGTATGCCAAAGAAGCTGTAGCCTCCTCGTAGCGGCCTTGCTTCATCAGCCAACGGGGGGATTCCTTCAGGAAGAACAGGCCGATCAGGAGGAAGCCACCGGGGATAAGTTGGATCCCTACGGGGATTCTCCATTGCTTGGTGGATGTCGGGACGTGTAAAGCGACGCCATAGTTGAGCCAGTACGCAAACGTAGACCCGATGACGAGGAATTCCTGGAAGAGCCCAGTGATACGTCCTCGCACAGCAGGAGGGCAGTTCTCGGCGACGAACACTGGCGTGACAGAAGACATGCCTCCGACGCCTAGACCAGCAATGACACGGCCCGCATAGATTTGGCCGATGTGGTGCGTAGCTGCGGTTTGAATTGCCGCTCCGATTAGGAAAATGACGGAGAATCCCATCAAGGTATATCGACGACCATAGCGATCATTGAGGATAGCGGCAGCAATGGCGCCGAAGAAGCAACCAGCTGTAAGTAGGGAGACGACATTAGATGAGACATGGGCGTTCTTAGCATCGGCGAATCCATTGCTCTCTGTTGGAAGCCCGAAATCATGTTTGAAGCTCTTGAGGGCGAGCACACTGCCCATAACGCCCGTGTCATAGCCTATTCAAGGACCGTCAGACAAGCACCGCATGTTTCTAGGAGGAATATCACCGTACCGAAAAGCAAACTTCCCATATACGCCACGGATGTCAGCAGGTACACCCTGTAATTCTTGAAAAAGGAAACCTTCGCCATGATGGATTATTCGATCAACGACGCTTATTGACTAGAGGTTGGTATTATGTGAGCTTCCACTCCGATGATGACCACGAAGACAAGAAGAATAACCAGCAGTTCGGCGATGACATGCGAGTTCTTATGTATTTCTGGGGTACGCTTGTGTGCTTGCAGCCCATACGAAGTATCTCTGTATCCATTCGAGGGCCAGGGCAGCCTCACCGGACGCCTTGATTCGCGGATACCAACGACAGAAATGGGAGCACTATATTCCACCAATTGCGCGCCCCGAGACGGTCATAAGCTGGGGATTCTGGAGATGCCCATAACGAGTAATGGCCGCGATGATCTAGCATGGGCTCCGGCGAAAAAAGTCCCGGAAACGGGGCTCTGAGGGCGGACGAGAGCGTGCTATTGGGCTGGGCAGCGCGGGGCGGGGCGGGATCCCCATAGACGCCAGCGGTGGCCAGGCGGGACCAGGCGGGGTTTGGCGGGGTTTGGCGCTCAGGCCGGGGCGCTGGAGGATTTCTTGACGCGTTAGTACTCGTACAGCGTAGTTCATGGCCGCAGAGGAACTTATTTTATTAGTATCTAGAACCAGCTCCGCGGCAGCGAGTCGGCCGAGACTGGAGTCGGAGCTAAAGATGTTTAGCAAAGCCACCCGAACCACTCGTAAAAAGTACCGGAGGCGTGCCACGGGGCCAAGAAGAAGGCGTTTCGTGGGGAGTTGGGTCGTGAGCGGCATGTGTGGTCGGTAGGCTCGGCCGTCTCCCTATTCGAGCATCCGACAAGGAGGCGAAAGCGCGAAGGCCGCTAGGGGCGAGCTAGAGGCTTGCAGGCTTGAAGCAACAGCAATACTTCGTAAATATTCCGTACGGTTTATGTTCCAACCCGCGCTGCTAGTCAGTTTCCTGCCGTAGCTATACTCCGTACCTCAGTATGTATAGTACATGCATGTACCTAAGGCACCTAGTTGTTATTCAAGGCTCCTGTCAACTTCCTGTCCGGTTACCCGAAAAAAACAAACACTGATGGAAACCCATGATCGATCGTATGTTGTGCTTTGGCCTTGGTATCGACAACCAGCCAATCGATCAAGATTATAAAAGGTCCAGTTGTTTACTTCGTACCCTGGCATGAATTAATTACGTATTAATGATTCGACACGGCATTTAAACTCTGGTATTCGGCTCCAGAGCGCCGGTTTCAATGAAGTTCGGCGTTTGACGGTGTATGTATGTATACCTGGGGAAGTTCGTTGGTTTTATACCGGTACTTCGTAGTGCTCTTGCTACGGATCACGGATGGCCACCTACATACTTCCTACACCGTGACCCGGGTATTCGTTTCCACCCCATAACCACCTAAACCCCCGTATGCGTGTAGCGGCCGATGCACTTTTGAAAATCCACGAGATTTGACCCCCTAAAGAACCTTATTTAAGTTCTACCGAACCACCAACCCCGGAGTAATTCCGATAGGCGAAGTTGGTGCGGCGGAAAGCTCCGGAGGTACTATCAAAATGCCAGCTTCTTTTTTTTGGCCCTACAATAGCTTCCAGGTGGGAACATCGCACACAACCTTAGAGGTAGAGCTAAGGTAGAGCTAGTTGTTATGATGAATTACAATCGGCCAAAGATCATCGACGATACTCCTATTGCAAAGCCCTCAAGTCTTCCCCGCGTCCTTGAATTCAATCTGCAAAAGCCAGAAGCACCTCCTGCTCCTTACGCGCCTGGTCATCTTGGTGGTAAAGGTAGTCCGGACTTCGGCATTATTGCCTGAGTCTTCTGACTAGAAAGCAATCTCAGAAATCCCATACTCCTTCTTAGCTCCGCTGTCAGGTCCTTTCCAAGACTTCCGTTACCTTCCCACTCCTCTCCTCAAACTCCCGCCAGCCAAGATGTCAACGGGCTCTGACGGCCCACAACAGCTGAAGGACCGCGTCGTTCAGTCCTGCGTACACTCCAAACGCGACCAGTTATTGCATCTATTCATGACGATGATATCTGCCGCCCGGCATTGTCCCACCACAATGGTGACCCCTGCGAGTTTTTGAAGCCGTCAGTTGCCGGGAGCTACTCTATGTTACTTCGTTCGGTTTCTGCCGCATCCTGATATATTTCGCTACCTATATTGGCCACGGTAATGGGCAACACTTCCGGGATGACGATGTGGGGAAGTGGGTAGTGTGCGTGCCTCTGGCGCCGTGTCTGGGGTTTAGGAAGCGGAACAAGCCTGATAATGAGATTACCTCAATGTAGTAGGGTCGCTTTCCGTCTTGATGTGTATTGACTAATGCTGATAAATTCTACTTCCCTGTTATGTTGGTTGTCGAGAAGACGACCACTCCCATCTCGAGGGTCTAGGCGTGCGGCCTCGTACTCGCCCCCGAGCCGCTATTAACCTTCCTCATTCTCGAATATGTCGAGGGCGAGAAGCTCTCAGTTGCCAACTTGCCCGGTTAAAGATCCTATTAGACGAGCAGCGAACGCATTTATATATACTTCACTAGCTGATATTCACATCCAGCTTAGGAGGCTTGAGCTCCCTTTGATTCGATGCTTAATACACGGCTTAGACGGCTTCGAAGTCCGCAAGAAGACTGTTTCTATCGACATTTAGTATGCAGGAGCTAGAGGACCTACAGCCGTCCAAGATTCAAGATTCCTACTATAAAGAGGGCGGTATTCTGACATCGGTGATGACTACGTGGCAATGCTGCTGTATGCTGCTGATAACTCATTTGTGAAGGGGCGAGGCAGTGTCTTTGAAGATTCCCGATGCTAGAAAACTGGACGGATATATATTGGTTTGCAGATTGATATATTAACTGGAAATGTTACAGAGGAAGGTCAACCTGGATGTGCGTGTACCGGCGTCCATGGAGGAGGTTCCGACTCGCAGGTCCCTTATTGGAAGGAAACTCCAAGAAGGCAATGCTTACAAGGCTAAAGTAAATCGGCTCGACAACGGCTCATTTGGCGGGCACGTCAATGAAAGTCCGGAAGCGGCAGCCAACTACAAAGATAAACCTGCTCAACAGATGCAGCCGTGAGATAGTTCTTTAGGTAGTTATCAACTATCGAAAGATGCCACCTCTTTGTTCACTCCGACCAGCTGAAAATCTGTCCGTAAGGAGTGTGGCACTGTCATTTCCGTGACATCATACCTCCTCCAGAAACGCAATATCCGTTTCCTATTCCTACGCTGACCACGTATAGGATAATCACTCTTACTTCATCACCTCTGCGAACTCTTTGCACTATTTGAGCCCTCTCTCAACCGTGGAGAACCGCCCCTCCAAGTCCTCGATAGTCGGCTTCTGAGCCTAGACCTCGTCTTAGTAGTCGAGTCTAGCAATCAGTCAGAGAAGTGTGAGTTAGTTAAAGAGTAAACCAATATTGTGTTTCGAACAGTCTTTTATAGACCTTCGAGTTGATCCGTCCTGGAAAAGCAGACCCTCACGCGAAGTGCTGCTAACCGCACCCCTGGAACTAGTCTCGCCATTTAGAAACATCGAGAGAAGACAGATAGCAGACTACTCGCAATATTTCGAAATAAACCGATCAACATATGTTGAGGATTCGGCCAAGTGGGACACGGAAGCATTTCTGGATAACACTTGGAAGCATGCAGACCTGCCAACGATGCATAGGCAAAGAACCTATCGGATAGTGTGAATTGCCAGAAACAGAGCAGGGGGAGCAAGCTGGAAAATTCGTCTGGGACTCTATATGGGGCGCCAGGTTGCTTGTGACACGGTCAATTCTTTTACATAGTTGCAAGAGGCGCACTTATTAGTCCGCCACTATCCCGTCTTTTGGTAATGTTACCTCTGATTGGACGTGAATCAATATGATCTACGGGAATGCAGAGCAAAGCAATGTACTATTGTTCGGAATATACTTGTCCTCCCTGGTGTAGGCAGACGAGGAACCACCTCCCAATCAGTATGCCTGGCATCCTAGAAGTCTAAACCCATTTTGTGCCTGTTTTCTTGATCTCTTGGGGCTTGATGACCTTGTATTCCCTCCAAGGTCTCGCCAAATATCAATCTACCGTAGCAAGCTCCACAAGGCTGGAGAAGCCTCAGTTTCCTAGTTCGGGGAGCTCCCCGGCTCATCCCTAATCATATTCCCTTTGTCAGCATTTCCAGCCTTGTCCTTTATTAAATCCAACTCCCACGTCGCTCACCTTCTTCTCGATAGCCTCGAGATCCTAGGCAACTTCGATGCAAACCTGGCGAGCTCGGAAGCGGCGTTACACTTGCTCGTCGGACCCATCTCCGTAGTCGTTGACATGAATGAAGATATCATGGCATCCGTATACCCCCCGAGTCCGCTGTTCTGAAATTTTGGCTAAGGATGCCGAGGATCTTGTACTCAGCCTGGAAACAGTCGATTTCTACTCCACGGTTGTGAGGATACTTTAGCACTATGGAGTCATCCACCCAATCCAACAACTGCGTCCAATAGTAATCATAGCAAGGAATACTAACGACTACGCGAACTGCTTAAAAGAGAAATGGAAGCTTTCAAAGAAGAAAATGGCAAAAGAAATACCCCAACTATCTGTTATAGTTGGGATACCGAGAAACTCGAGCTGTACCCTTCTAGCCTTGTTATCTCTAGCGGAGCATCCAAGGTCATCCTAGGTTGTGTGTCGATGATGGGTTTGACCACTACACCAACTGGCATAGTCGCCTGTCTCCAGTGGTTACATGGTATTTGCTTAATTTGATATATGTCGATACCAAATACCAAAGGTGAAAGCCTTCAAGTTCATCACGTGCGGGAGACTCAACAAGCTGCCACATCGCTCTGAATATATTCTACCTATACACCCATACGTACCTAAGGTATATATATACCTTAGGTAGGTACCTAGGTAGGTAGGTAAGGTAGCTAGCTAGGCATATAGTCATCAGCAACCATTCCCAAAACATCACTCTTCCACAGACGAGAATACTAAACTCCGAATAATATTATTGCGTTTCTCAATCCTAAAAGGTTGCGATTCCAAAACGAGGACATAATAGGGTAAGTAGTGTTGAGAACCGAAGCCATACATGTCCCCGAGGTAGCATGTCTGACGCTCTATAAAAACACGGTGTTAAGTCATTTTAAATCAGGACTTAGGGATGACGGATTGCACAGTCTTGTGAAATTGTGGTAGTATTTAATTACTAGCAAGCGCCGTACCATAGAAAACGGACTTGGGGACGAGCTCCCTATTTTCCCAACATCATCACTGAGGTTTCAAAAGGAACTCAAATATATATCAGTGCTATGAGGCATAATCATGAAATAGACTTATAACAAGTACTGCCAAAAAGATTGGTAGTATGTAGTACTTAGGAATAGATTTCGAATATTATAAATATATTATTACAAGAAGTCGAAATGAGTTTCTTGAGAACCTATAGTTATCCCTTTAAAGTGTTGTAGTGGTTAGAAGTTTAGTCTTTGTTTGGGAGTTATTAGCCTAGCGGCCCGGTTCTCTCCACCGAGAAGTCTTTGTCAACTGCATTCTCTCCAAAACACACCGTCTTATCATGTCTTGATACTAGACCAGCATCCTTCGTCCCATCTCCATATTACGCCCGATCCGCAGCGATCACTTGTACGTAAGCGGTAATGCTCGCCCCTTTCGTGCTTACCCCAGCCCACCACGACGGTTCCAACAGTATTTCAGCCGCTGCAGGCTCCAGGAGTTGCTGCACTGATTTGCAGGCTCGATTGAACCAACGACCAAACCAGGTCGTATTCCGGCGTCCCGCGTTGACAGCCTGGCAGGATTCGGTATCCCAGCGAATCAAGGGTATGTTCTGGCCGTGGGCGCGCAGCTGCGGATGCGGTCGTAAATGTTGTGTAAGCTGAGAACAGAAGACGAGAGAGCGCTCTTGCGTGGGGGATTGCGATTACAAGCTACAGGTGTGTGGATTTGCAATTCGAGGGACTGGGCTTCGGCCGACATGGGTGTATACGAACCATACATACAGCGGGACAAGCAATCATTTGGGTGCTAGAGTGGTGTGCGGTTATTCCTTTGCCCTTTTTCCATTTCCATTGTTCCTTTCCCGTTAGCCGTGCGATCGTCGTCTTCCTTTTCTCTTGTGTATATTCAGTACAGTACTGTGCAATCATCCCTTTCCTTATATCTCTTGTGTCGTCCGAAGCGCTTTCCATCCGTATGGAGTGACGAGCTCCAGAATATCCCCGCTCTTCTGCAATGGCTTTCACGATATACCTGTTCCTCGCGGTATTCGCGCTGCTGGGCGCAGCGCGCGCGCAATTTGGCGACATGGAGATGTTTAGTCCGCGATTCTACATGGGATCGCCGGCGCTGGAAAGACGACAATCGGACGGCTGTGGAGCAGATGCGTATTCATGTAAGAATTGACTTTACTTTAGCTTATCGCGCATTTTGTTTGGAGACTTGTGAATAAAAATACTCCATCACGGTTGGGGTATCGAGTGTTTTTCTTTATAAATCTCCCCATTCAAACCCAGAAGATTAAGCTAATAGTATATTCTAGGCCTGGATGTTGGGCGCCCCGACAAGTGCTGCTCAAAAGATCAGTACTGTCTCCTAAATAAAAATTTCGATGCCGAATGCTGCGCAATCGGCTCCCCCTGCGATTCCCCTTGTCCCTCAACAGCCTATGCATGTCCCGCAACCATCACCGTGAGCGGCACAAAGACCACAGGCCCAGGCTGCTGTGGGAGAAGCTGTCCCAGCACAAGCCAATACAAATGCGCCGAATCGTTCGGCGGAGGTTGTTGTAGCTACGGCTTCGACTGCGCGCCTGGCAAGTCTTGTGTTTCAGCTGCTCGCCCAACAACATCCCCTCCTATTGTCGGGGTGATCCCCCCGGGGTGTTCGAAGACAAACCAATTCTCGTGCGCGTCGAGCCTTGGAGGGGGATGCTGTGATAATGGATATAGTTGCAAGATTTCCGATGGTGTAAACGGGTGCGCGCCTGCTAGGGGGACATCAATGTTGACTCGGACAGGCACGGGTGGCAGCATCGCTACGCAGACTCCGCAGGACTCACCTGGTGGCGGTCTTTCAACGGGTGCTAAAGCGGGAATTGGCGTCGGCGTGGCTGTTGCAGCACTTGGTGTAATAGGGGGTTTGCTTTGGTTTTGCGTTGTCCATCGACGACGTGCGAGACAGAGCCAGAAATCTGAGTCCGTACCTGCTATATCACAAGGCGGCTCTGAGAACCCTCCTGGAGGTTCTAAAGCCGGAGGATCCAAAGCCGGAGGTTCTAAAGCGGGTTCAAAGAGACCATCCGTTGGGAGGTCACAACCTTCTGATTATTTCGGGCCAACAGCTATTCCTGGACCTTTCACTGAGGAGCACACTTCACCAGGAACGACGCCCGGGACCAACAGAGGGGTACCAGCTGTCCCTCAGAGCCCAGGAGATATTGCAAGCCCTGTTGAGATCGATTCCCGCGTGCAATCTGAAATGCCGACTTCTAGTACCAACGAGTCTTCAATGGCTAAAGGAACGGTGCAACATCCGGTTGAATTACCCTGAGCTTCATATACGCCAAGTTCTCCCTCGCTATTATACAGAAGCGCGGGCGAAGTATCTATCTTAAAGCGTCAAACATTTGAAAATCCGCACACCAGGTCCCCGATTACTCGAACATATGGCCCAATCCCAAATACATTAAAACGCCCCAACCATAGCCAATTTTCAAACGCCAAACCATGCCGTCCAACAAAGGGATATTATGACAATGCGCCTCCAAAAGGCGTACTTTCCCTCAAGTCTGCCACCAGATCATCCACACTACTTAGAAACCTGCCTAGAAGAGCCTGCTTCTCCTCGGTCGTTCTAGTAACCTCGGTCTCGCTATCGGATCTTTTCCTACCGGCCCCTGTATCTGTTCGATTGAAAGCGCCTGCTAACTTGCTCGGACTGCGCTGTAACATTGCGGGGACGGAGACGGTTGAGTTCGCGCAGGGTATAGAAGGAGTCTCGGGCATGAGGTAGAAGTATAGGAATTCAACGAGCTTGAGCTTCACCTCCCGGGTTGTTTCGCGCGATTTGAAGCTCGAGGTTATGGTCCAAAGACCTTCGAGGTTTTCGAACGTGCGGGTGTTTGCCGGAGTTTCGATCAGGGCGCAGACCAATGTGATGATGGTTGCGGATTGGATCGCAGGGCAGTTGACAGGTTCGAGGAGGTCGAGGAGGTGCTATCCCAATACGCATCTAATCAGTATACTAGAAAGAGACAAAGTAGTAAAATCGAGATATACACACATTCATATATAACTCCCGCGAAAACAAGCTGCGCGATGGGGGATGTAACAGCAATATGCCCTGAATCAGATCCAGCGTCTGGATAATCAATAGGTCATTCTGCCCATCATGCGACTTCCCTAGCAACCGATCTAGACAGTTGACCAAGCGCATGGCCACATTCCACTCGAATCCATCCTGCAACTTGAAGAACTCCCGGAATGCAGGATCGCCGCCTAATTCGCTGAGCGCCTTCAATGGCGGCGGTTCCTTTCCGGGGTCGATGATCGAGCGTCGTTTCTCCGCCGCGCTCTTCGGCGATGCTGAGGTTGTCGAGAGGCATATCTGGGCGAGGAGCCCTTCGACTTGGCGCAATCCTTTACGGATCTTGCCTTGGTCGTAGGAGGAGAGGTTGTCGAAGGCGAGAGAGAGTAGTGCCTCCATATTTGTTTTCTAATTTTTCTGGTTTTCTATTCTTCGATTGGGGGGATGATGCAGTTGCAGACTCGAGTTGTTTGTTTTGTTGATTTGCGGTGTGAGGGATGGATTTCCCAAGAGTGCGCCGCGACGAGATGAGCAAAGAACAAGGACACGCTGAGCAGTATTAATACATGAATATGAAGTGAAGAGTTTGGGCGCTGGGGCTTGCGGTAGAAAGGGAAACGGGGGAAATTTGAGGCCGTGAGTTGATATATCACGGATCCTAAGGGTTGCTGCTCGTTCACACGGCAACGCGCACTGTGTACTCTGAAGGTGGTCGTCCTCCGTCTCGGCGACGGGGTAAAATGCTTCGTCTCGGGCTCCCGGTGCACGCGGTGGCACGAGCGGTCAGCTGGCAGAATTCCGGTGTTTTAGGAATAGCGTGACTGATTAATGCTTTTATTGAGATATCAATCCGACTTTCTTCTCTCCCGTCCACATATCCGGAGGAAGTGTGTATCGTTGTTCTAGGAATTGCTCAAGTTCATATCGTGGCCAGCATAGGATCTAAATGTCGTATCGCTGCTGGCAAACCTTGCCTGTGGTGGTTGTCTCTCGCATACTCGTATTATTTATTATAGGGACAAGCATGTGAAGACGCGGGCTACGTATCCATGGCTCCCGTCGATCGGCTGAAACTGCTTCAGACTGCAATCCAAAGCTCCATCATCCCTTCTGAACGTCGTGCAAAGGCATAAATCCTCCAGCTCCTCCCTATATTCGCCCACCCGTCGCCTATAGAAACGCAGGTCAGTGGGCATTGCGAAGAATGTGGTGCAGCTGCAGCTGGTGCGGCAAGTGAGTCGTGACGTTTGGCGGCCACGTACCTATGCTCCGGAGGCGATCAAACCATCATAGCACGCTGTTCCTTTCACCCACAGGTCGATAATATAGTACTCGGCTGCTATCATCGAGTTTGTCTCTGTCTGTATCTCGAATCGCAGATAAACGAGACTCGATCTCGCAGCAAAACCCCCCGACATACTTCGTACCACGCAGAACTATTATAAGCCCAACCTCAAGCTGAAGCTCGTCTCGACTCGATTCAGCCTTGCCCCTCCGCCCCCACCCCAGCTTCCTTTACAGCCTCCGTTGCCATCAGGCACATTCCTTCGAACTTATAAAGAACCTATAGCGCGACGATAATCTCGCTTATCCCTTGAGGACATCTGAAGACGCTATATGCATATGAGAAGTCAGATGTGAGTCCGCTGAAGGAATCGGAACCCGTGGCGGTGCGCAAGGCTAACCGACACTGCGAAGTTTCCTTATATAGGCACCCATTACGTCGCCTCCGTGAACGAAAAATCTCCCTTAGGATACCTCTTAACTATATCTGTCTTACTTCCCTCGTCGTTGCGCAGCCTGGCTCTCCAGTCCAACCCGATTTCGTGGGAGGAGAGGAGGAGCATTCGAATGTTCCAGTCCGAAAACAGATCCGCACGAGCAGGAGTCGGACCCTCAAAAGCGAAAATGGAGCATCTACGATCCCCAAACGCTATCCCACCCCGAACATCTTCTTCGGGCCAGAATGGACTGTTCGGGACGCCGCCAAAACAAGTGCTTCGAGCAAATGTACAAGAAGGGGATTGGATCAGCAATAGGAAGCAATCACTCTCGAGTCCTAATTCTGTTAACCCAGCTATACCAGCATGCCCCGCTCCTGATCCATCCAAATACCAAAAGAGCGACCTTGCATTTTATGGGAGGAGCAGCTGGTCGCCACAGAAGGAGCTGATCTTAGTTGGTCCTTACGAGTACCTGATCGCTCAGCCGGGAAAGGATATCAGATCACAGCTGATTGCTGCGTTCAACGAATGGCTGGAAGTCCCGCCAGAGAGTTTGGAGATCATAACGAAGGTGGTGGGCATGTTGCATACGGCTTCGCTACTCGTAGATGATGTCGAAGATTCATCCGTGCTGCGTCGAGGACTGCCAGTTGCACATAGCATCTTTGGCACTGCGCAAACGATAAATTCGGCCAATTATGTCTACTTCCTCGCACTTCAGGAGCTTGGCAAGCTGAAGAATCCGAAAGCTATCAATATTTATACTGAAGAGCTGTTGAATCTGCACAGGGGCCAGGGGATGGATTTGTTCTGGAGAGACACATTGACTTGTCCGAGCGAGGATGATTATCTCGAGATGGTTGGGAACAAGACGGGCGGTTTGTTCAGATTAGCGGTTAAGCTCATGCAAGCCGAGAGCAAGAATCTTAAGTTCGTATTACTCATTCCCTCACTATGTAGCACACAACTAATATTTCACAGGGATTGCGTTCCTCTTGTTAACCTCATGGGAATCATCTTCCAAATTAGCGACGACTACCACAACATTTCATCCCCAGTGTACACATCCAACAAAGGCATGTGCGAAGATCTAACTGAAGGGAAATTCTCCTTCCCTATAATACACAGCATACGGGCGCGGCCTGAGAACATGCAGCTCCTGAATATCCTTAAGCAGAAGACCGAGGATGAGCAAGTGAAACGGTACGCCGTTACATATATGGAAAGCACTGGAAGCTTGGAGTATTGCCGGAAAGTGCTAACCACATTGATGGAGCGGGCCAAGAAATTGGTTGAGGGGCTGGACGATGGTGGGAATAAGGGGAAAGCTGTTTTGAAATTTCTTGATAAGATGGCGATTTCATGAATTTATGATATGGGAGGCTTGGGTTGATAAACAGGGTTATTGAGGGTCAGAACTGGGCCATCTTGAGAATGGTGGCAGATAGCATTGAACTACGTACGAGGCGGTATAATGCGGGGCGTTTAGCTGAGGCGAATTACTATTTGATATCCCATTGCATTACGATAGCTACTGGTCAATCCATTATTGCATACTGCTTGCCATATACTAGTTAATTTAACCAATTTCCCCAGTCTAGCGGGGTAGATTCTCAGGTGTAGTTATCACTCAATTGCATAAAACTACTGAGGCTGGAGGCTAAAGGTGTGGGAAATAAGTTTATCATGGGCGATGGAAAAATGATATAATATCATGCCTAAGTACCCTACGTATCTACCTCATAGCTACACAAACCCCTTCCTACTAAGCCCCTTCCTTTCCAAATCCAAGCCGTGGCAACCTCCCTATGTACTTTACCTCGCTTATCCGCCCCACCATAAAAGGAAATCCCCCTAAAAGAGAAAAGTCAAAACAAGTCTAAACCAAAAAAAGGAAGGAAGGATTAAAATAGCAAAAGAGTTCATTGCTCACAGCCAATTAATCTCTGCCAGTTCAATGTTGCCGCTAGACCTAGTTATATTTCTCCTCGATATGAGTGTCGTGTGACACTTGTGGGGTCTTAAAGAACTACGTTGTCGTTAAATGCACATTTATTATTAAAATATATATACTTACCGTCTGTTACTAGCGAGGTTGTGCCGGCCGGCGAAGGGGATTGGTGGATCATAAGCCGTGATTCAACGCTGTATAGGTTTCTACCTATTGCGGTCTGGATTTATTATCATGATGTTTGTCTTCTACAGCGCTCACGAGGGCGGGGGCTCTAGTAGGTTGCCATATTCGACGGTGCGTAGATTTGGGTTTACATATGGGTATCTCGAGTTATTTCACACCATATAGATAGGCAGTTTATACACGATGATTAGATCGCACCATTCGCCTTCTATGCCAAAGGAGAAGATTCCATCCCCCTCTTCACGAACCTAACCCTAACCTTCTTATTCATCCTCATCGCCACCCCCGTGCGCCTATCATCCAAATCAACCAGCGCCTTCGCCCTCGTCTCCTCCCATCCCTTGCCCTTCTCCCTCACCAACTCCACACTATGTCCCCTCAGCAACACCGAAATCAGCGTGCAAAACTCAACCTGAGCGAATTTTCTGCCCAAGCAGGCTCGAAACCCACCATTAAAAGCAATGAATGCTCCTTTGGGAGGACAGAACAGGTTGGCATGCGCGGGGGACTCGTTGTTTGAATCCGGGGGTGGGGTGTATGAGGAGGGCATTAGCCAGCGTGAGGGGACGAAGGAGTGGTTGTTGGGGCCCCAGTACTTTGGGTTCCGTTGCACGGAGACCACGTCAATCAATACTCTACTATTGGCGGGGATAGAGATGGTTTGGTTGTTGTATGTGACGCTGCTGCGAGCAGTGGTTATTTTGGGGAGCATGACTACCGGTGGGTAGACGCGAAGGGTTTCTAACTGCGAAAAGGTTAAAATCGGGCTCCAGAAAGAGCAGGAAATAGGTTCTTCATTAAGCGGAGGGAAATCGCTCCTACCATAAGCGCCATTATAACCCTCATCTTCCCATAATCATCGTACGTGAGATCTTCTCCAGTCTTCTTTCCTGCCCATATCTCATCAATCTCCTTCTGTACCTCCATCCGAACCTGCGGCTCGCAGGCAAGTAAAATCAGAGCGGATTGAAGCGTAGTTGCTGTCGTTTCGTGGCCAGCCAACGTAAAAACGAAGATATTCCCAACCATCTCCTCTTCACTAAGGCCTGTACCCTTATTGCCGGTGCTGGCCTTCACAATACTGCTTAGTAAATCTCCTGGGGCAGAAGAGCTATCACCGTCTGTAGAACCAGATTCAATTTTAGCCTTGTGGGCAGAAATTAATTCGTGCATATACTTCGAAAAATGATCAGATGACTGCTGTGTGATACGCATTATCTTAAAAGGACTGTTGCGCAAAATCCAAGCGGGAAATGCGATGAGAATACGGATATTATTCATGACGGTATCGAAACTCTCCTGAAATGGCAAACCCGCGGTATTTGATTGTACTAGGTTGCTGTTGTTATGCCCGGATGGAGGCTTGAATTTATAGTTCTTCGCAGCAACGGAATGAATCGGCCAGACTGCGTTGATATTGAGCGACGCACTGGATATTACATTGAGTGTAACAGTCATCATCCAGTGTATTAGATCTTCAACAACGGGCTCTTGCCCTGCGGGTGATTCGTTTCCCTCGGCATCATAGGTAAAAGATGCCAGCATTGCCTTTCCCTGGGCGTGGGTGCCTTCGTGATTGGGGGTTACAGTTAGCATTCCGAAAAGCTGCTGAACTAACATGGGATAGGAATATGGAGATTTGCGATGCGCTGAGAGTACTTGGAGTAAAGAGAAAATAATTTAGGAAGTCAATCGTACTTACGATCAAATACGAGGCTAAAGGCTGGTCAGCAAAGTATCCTCATATCTTGATGCTGGATGAGGGAGGACAAACCTGCTATTCTTCTCATTAAACGGCGGCCCAGTAATTTTTCGATGTCGCTGCCATAAAGCTCCCTCGGTGGTAACAACGTTAAAACCAAAAATGTTTAGAATTGCATAATCGGAAACTCTCTTCACAAAGTCATTGCGTCTGTGGACAATCTGGGTGATCAAATCTGCATCGGACACCCATAATTGAGCACCACCTGGGCCAACAGCCCAGTAAACATCACCGACTTCCTTCCTGGCCAAGTCGCCCTTTGTGCACCACGAGAAATCTCGTTTCACATAGAGCACCCAGTGTCCCAGACGGAATGGGAGGCACTCAAAGAACGGCGCTATATATGGCGAGAATAACCAAACTAGTATCGAGTCCCGCCATGTATAAACGGTAACACTTGGAATGGGCGATGTCTTTGCAAAACGTCGAGACGCGAACAACGTGGTGAAATAGGATAATAGATACGGTCCAAAATATAAGATTGGGATGCCGTAGGCAATTAGAGACAGATAGTCGAGCATTATGGGTGGCAGTTGTCAAGGACCACTGGAAAGAATGATGATCGTGCTGAGATCGAGTTGAATTGCTGGTCGTGATCATACCAAGGGGTATCACGTGGATGCATTCCACGTGATCTTCTGACGACTCTCGCCTACCTAATTAGTACTAGCTTTTTGTGCGGACCCCATAATCCTAGTCCCATCCGTCACTCAATTCGAGGATTTATTAATCAGGGACTTCATCTCGCCACCGCGTATATATGTCCATTTGTCCACTGTCCATAGCTCTCTAGGCTGTCCTCAATGCCCAAGGGATCCCCACACCGTCTTATCTTGGGGGCGGCGCGTTTGCGTTTGCGTTTGCGATTGCAATTTGTTTTGTTTCCCTAGTTCGCGCTTGCTCTTGGCTACCCCTCCCGTCTACAACGTTGTGAAGGGCTTGGTGCGACGAACAGCGCGGCTGGAGTTCCGGCCAGGCCAATCAGCAAGAATGATACGGATACTCTCGGGCTTTGTTCCAACTAGCCGCTCACCGGCATCAAACTTCCTCTTCCTTCTAGCGAAATGCTGATCACCTTCAATAATGGCGATTGCTATGTCTTGTATCAAGAATAAGAGAAAGTGAGCTCGCTGACTAGGGGATTCTAATGGGATTCAAGGAAATCTTCGTTTTATGATATATTTAAGAACTACCTGCTTATAGGTAGATATGGAGTTCACTGGAAAGATATCAAGTCTAGATGGTCACGTGTTTTGCGCACCCATCCCCCCCTTTTCCTTCTCCTTATTCAAGAGGTCGAAATGGGCTTCCTCTCTACACATCACAAATTGGCATCGACTATGCATGAGAAGGTGTGGCCACTCATCTGTTTGTGTTAGCAATCAAAACCGTTCGTGAACCATGCTCAAACCTCAAGTGGAGGTCATTCATCATCGAGGCCGGATCAAATTCCGGCCACGGGCACAAACCCATAAAAGCAGGAAATTCTCCCAAAACCCCCAGATTTCTTTGTGTTCTTTTCATCAACAGCAGCTTCCCCATTACTCCTGTGAACCTTCTCATCAAATTACCTCACGTTCTCATCAAGTTACATTACACTTCCGCTTTATAATATAAAACATGGGTTCCTCAGCTCCGTCGTTGGACTTCAACGTCCTAGGCGACACAAAGCCAGATGACATGGCACTCCCAGCGTTCATGGTCTCAACGACTCGTGGATTCCTACCACGGCAAGAACCAATCGTCAAGCTTCCAGCTGAGTTCGATGTTCTGGAGTCCATCCTATCCCGCATGCCCATCAAGACTTTGGAGGGAACACCAGGTCTGCTTGCAACTGCCACACTAGGCGAGACCGTTCTCAAGGAGCTGCCCGATCTCACCGCCTCTATCGAGAAGTATAAGGACAATCTCCCTCTGATGAACGCCGTGTACCGTGATTACTCCTTCCTGGCGTCCGGCTATCTGCTCGAACCATGCCACGAGAGGTTTATGAAGGGAGAGAGTTACGGCCTTGGCCGTCAGACTCTCCCATCAGTCATCGCATTACCCATATCCCGATGTGCTGAGCTGCAAGTTACCCATTTATATAGATGTAGTATTGTGGCTAATAATGTGTCGAAATATAGAGCTGGTTTCAAACCCTTCATGGAGTACGCTGGGTCGTACGCACTCTTCAACTATCGCCTTGAGGACCCAAGTCGTGGTCTTGACTACGATAATCTTCGTCTCATCCGTGCATTTGAGCACGGGCTCGATCACAAATCCTCCGAGGCAGGTTTTGTTCTCGTGCACGTCGATATGGTACAAAACTCCGGTCCACTCATCGATGGTGTGATGTCCGCCCTCGATTCATGTGAAGCCCATGACCGAGATGCCTTCAACATTGGCATGGAGAAAGTCGTGACTAGTATGAAGAAGGTAAACTCAGTAATGGAGAGTATGTGGGCAAAGAGCAAACCTGGAGATTATACCTCTTTCCGCACATTTATATTCGGGATTACTAGCCAATCTATGTTCCCGCATGGTGTTGTCTATGAAGGTGTCTCCGAGGAACCTTTGTCGTTTCGCGGCGAGTCAGGGGCAAATGACAGCATGGTACACACGTTCCTTCTTTCTGACTTTAACACTAGCTTTAATTGTGCAAATGGCTAACCCGAGAATCATAGATTCCCCTCTGTGATAATTTACTTGAGATTACCATGCCTGACACACCTCTAACCAGCATCTTACAAGATTTCCGATCCTACCGCCCCGGCAACCACCGTGAGTTCCTAGAGTATGTCAAAGCTCGCTCCGGCCATCTCTCTCTGAAATCATACGCCTTTCAAGACACTAGATCAGCTGCGCTCTATCTTCTTGCGTTGAACCAGGTCCGCGATTTCAGATGGCGACATTGGTGTTTCACACGTGAGTATATCTTGAAAAAGACAGCTCATCCTACTGCGACCGGTGGGAGCCCTATAGTCACCTGGTTACCGAATCAGCTGCAGGCTGTCATACAGGGCATGGTGGATGTGTGGGAGGCGAATGGGACGAAGTTAGGGAAGGAGTGTGCGGCCGTTATGGATATGGTGTTTGTGCAGAAAGAGACGTTGACGAAGGAGGTGGAGAAGTATTGCAAGGAGAGGAATGCTGATGTACAATAATGGGTGCTTCAGAGATGGGATACGCACGCTTAAGCTTCGCTTTTGGGACGGATAGCTTCTTCAAGCCCGTTCATCCAGCTCTAGACTAAAAGTTCAGGAGCTTGGGGTGGTGGTGGTCAGATATATCGACCTCGGTCATAGTCATGTCAATACTACTTTAGCACACAATCCACAATTCATTCAATGATCTGAATTGGCCTTGAATATCCTTATTCCTCAAAATAGATATATATGATGTGAAGTGATACGAGTTGCAGGGTTTCCTGTGGCCCACAAAGCACTTGGTCATTCCTCTCCAAAATTCCATTCTGGTAACACGATTTGTTTCAGATCAGACCCAACCCAACTCACGTAATAAGCTACGCTATCGGCTCGCACTCCCGCAATTTGTTCCATGATCTTCAACACACCCCACTTTACTCTGTACTCTGGGCTCTCCTGCCCGCCACCACGCGATACAAACGTTGGTTCTCCGAAGAATAGCCAAACGAGATATGCTATCTTCCCCGAGGAATACCCGCCCTTCCAATGAGACACCATCTTTAATATCTTCTCTTTCCACTTCAACCATTGAGAAGCAAACGTTGCCGCTCACAGACTTACCCAGCCGTGCCGGCCACTAATAATACATGAAGTGCACACTAGCACTATGCAAGATGCAGCCGTGTTACTCGTCCCGGAGGACAAAGCGAGTAGTATTCGCAGGGGGAGCTTGGAGCTTGCAGAGCTCTCTGCGAGTCTCGGACCGGAGTTCCTACCTCATCATCCAGCTTTCTTGTTCCCCTTGATGTATTAATAACCGCGTTCCTTCTTCTCTTTCGTTTCTTCTTTAAGTTAATTGCCCCATATACCTCATATCTCTATTGAACCGCTCCCGAGCTGTTATACCTCTCCAATCTCCCCCCGCCGCCCACCCCCCCACCGAATCAAACAAGACAAATTCTCCCCAATATGACGACCACACTCGACGTAGAAGATGTCCTCTCCAAATTAACTCCCGCGGAAAAAGTCTCCCTGTTAGCAGGTTAAACTCCCTCTTCCGATCCCTTCACTCAAATCAATCAACCAGCTAATATCCCTCCAGGAGCTGACTGGTGGCACACCGTCCCCGTAAAGCGCCTCAATATCCCAGCAATCCGTGTATCCGACGGCCCCAACGGCGTCCGTGGAACTAAATTCTTCAATGGCACCAAAGCAGCTTGTTTCCCTTGCGGCACCGCTCTAGGCGCAACATGGGACGTCTCACTACTCCACAAGGCCGGCGTGGCCATGGGAGAGGAGAGCAAAGCCAAAGGCTCGCACGTTATTCTCGGCCCAACTATTAATATGCAGCGTTCTCCCCTCGGTGGAAGAGGATTTGAGAGTTTGAGCGAAGATCCCGTGTTGGCAGGATTAGGGGCAGCGGCTTTGGTTAATGGCATCCAGGAGACAGGTGTTGTTGCAACCATCAAGCATTTTGTGTGTAATGACCAGGAGGATGAGAGAAACGCTACCAACGCAATTATTACGGATAGGGCGTTGAGGGAGGTCTATGCCTTGCCGTTTCAGTTGGTTGTTCGGGATTCGAAGCCTGGTTGTTTTATGGTTGGTTTTGACTCGTTTCCTTTCTGATATCCTCTGCCAGCTTTTGACCACGACGGTAGCAATGAAATACTGATTTGGGGATGATAGACAGCATACAACAAAATAAACGGGCTCCACGTGAGTGAGAACCCTAAAATCATCCGGGACATCTTGCGAAAGGAATGGGGTTGGGAAGGCGTGGTAATGAGCGACTGGCAAGCCCTCCCCCCTAAACTCTTATCCTCAAACTCCTTTCTGACCTAGAAAATAGGTGGGGAACATACTCAACCTCAGGAGCCGTAAACGCCGGTCTGGACCTAGAAATGCCCGGCACAACAAAATGGCGTGGTGGAGCCCTCCTACAGGCCGTAGGCGTAGGAAAAGTCCACCCACACGTCCTAGACGAGCGAGTTCGCAATATCTTGAAGCTCATCAACCGTGTTGCTGGAGCAAAGATACCCGAGTATGCCGAGGAGAAGGCGGCGGATACTCCTGAGACGGCTGCGTTGTTGCGCAAGATTGGTGGGGAATCTATTGTGCTGATGAAGAACGAGGATAATATTTTGCCCCTGTCGAAAGATAAGAAGGTAAGTGGTCCATTGTAGGTGCCGGAATAGGGACTGATATGAGATATTTAGACACTTATCATCGGCCCTAATGCAAAAGTGGCAACGTATCATGGGGGTGGCTCTGCAGCTCTAGCAGCATACTATGCCGTTACTCCTTTTGATGGTATTAGTGCACAACTGACATCTCCGCCCGACTTCACCGTTGGGTGTTACGCGCACAAAGAACTGCCGCTCATTGGTACCATCCTCAAAACATCGAAGGGAGAAACTGGGGTCACATTCCGAGCCTACAACGACCCGCCCACTGTGAAAGACCGAGAGGTCGCTGACGAAATTGTCCTCACCAAGACAGAGCTTCTGATGATGGATTATAAGTGCTCGAAACTCAAGAACGACCTCTGGTGGGCTGATATTGAGGGATATCTCACAGCTGAAGAAGACGGTGATTTCGAACTAGGTCTTGGTGTTTATGGAGCTGCGAAACTCTACGTTGATGACAAGCTAGTTATTGATAATGAGACGAAACAGACGAAGGGAACAATGTTCTTCTCTTGCGGAACGGTGGAGGAGAAGGGTGTGGTGGCGGTGAAGAAAGGTCAAAAGTATCATATCAAGGTGGAGTTTATCAGCTCTCCTGCAAGTAAACTGGACCAGGGAAGTAATGTGCTTTTCGGGAATGGAGCGTTGAGGATTGGTGGTACGAAAGTTATTGATGCGGATGAGGAGATCAGTAATGCTGCTGCAATGGCTAAAGAAGCGGATCAGGTCATTATATGCGCCGGATTAAATGTATGTCATCTTCTCCTTATGTCCCTCTTTCCGCTGAGCACCCACTTATTGTTATAGTCCGACTGGGAAAGCGAGGGTACCGACCGACAAAGCATGGACCTTCCAGGATCCATGGATGCAATGATCTCCGCCGTCGCCGCAGCTAACCCCTCCACGGTGGTAGTCATGCAATCCGGGACACCTGTCACCATGCCATGGATTTCCTCTATCAAATCTTTGATCCACGCTTGGTACGGCGGCAATGAAACCGGTAACGCCATTGCGGATGTCTTGTTTGGAGACGTCAACCCTAGCGCGAAGCTACCTTTAACTTTCCCCAAGAGAATTCAGGATAACCCTGCGTTTTTGAGCTATCGTACGGAGAGAGGGAGGACGTTGTACAGCGAGGATGTATATGTGGGGTATAGGTGGTACGAAGCGCTTGATAACCCTGCTCTGTTCCCATTCGGTCATGGGCTCTCATACACAACTTTCGAGTTATCTGACCTGAAGGTTGAGAAGACGGAGAAGGACGTGAAGATTAACGTTAAGGTGACCAATACCGGGGATAGAGCCGGTGCAGAGGTTGTCCAAGTATATGTTGCACAAAAGAGCCCGAGCATCAAGAGACCTACGGAACTGAAGGGGTTCCAGAAGGTGTGGTTGGAAAAGGGGGAGAGCAAGACGGCGGAGGTATTCGTTGAGACAAAATATGCAGCGAGCTTTTGGGATGAAGTTCGGGATGCATGGATTATGGAGAAGGATGAATATCAGGTGCTCGTGGGCACGAGCAGTGGCAACCCCAAGTTGAGGGGATCCTTTGAGGTTGAGAAGACGAGCTGGTGGAATGGGCTGTAAATGGGCCACAGCTCTCTGGTTATGCGATAGAACATAAATATAAAAGCGTTCTCTCTTCGGCTGAGCCTTCATCGAGGTTGACATGGAGCGGACCATTCGGCGGTACCCGGTTGACTCGAGCATACCAACTAGATTACCTACGAGATGCCTAGTGAAACTTTCGAATCAACTCGCTTTGAGACTTTGAAATTGCCTAAATAGGAGATCCAGGAATGGGGCACCCACGACTATACAACAGATAACATTGCTTTACCGACATAAGCCTTGTTTCTAGCCTTGTTTCTACGGATATCAACCCCCGCTAAATGTACCTCATTAATCTACCTCCTTATATAACTTCGATGGTCACCTCGGTGTAACCCGGCCGCCAGCCGGAGTGATTTCCTGTGGCTCCGCTGAAGGTACGGACCTTAGAAACATAGTGGGCTCTACAGCCGTAGCTCCAGTTGAAGTTACCTGAGAGCCGTCCTCCTTGGAGATTGTTGCAAGCCTTTCCACATCTGCTCTCTTGTCTTTGTCTAGTTCGAGCTGTGTACTTGCAATCTTCTCTAAAGTATACTCGTTAGTGATATCTACATTGGGCTTGGGCTAGAGTTCGTACTATTAGCATTTGCTTTTCTGAAATTTTGTCTCGTCCGTTCCTCTAAAATTTCATCGTCAGTAGGTCCATTCGCGAGCGATTAAAGATATGCCCACAGACCAAGAAATCCTTCGGTAGCGGCCAAGAAAGGCAAGATCAGTAATATAACGGCAACAAGTTGCCCAAAAGACCACGAGCTCTGATCGCCAAAATTATCCGCAACCAAGAGACCGGGATATCTGCCTAAATCACGTATGTGCATGGCGCCAGATATTCCGAACACCAGCGACATGATGGCCAAACCGAAAGCTGCTAGCATGAGGAGGCCTAATATAAATGAGATAAGTGAGCCAGGGGACTGCTTTTTATAAATGGCATTCCAAACGCCGTCAAAAAGCGCGATGGCCATGAGTACGACAAGGGCAGTGATGCGAAAACGCTCATCCAAAGTCGAGGCGTGCTTCTCAACACTACAGCGCGCAGGACACGACGCTGCGGCACCGGGGAACTCGCCCGAACTTTTTGCGAGCAAGCCAGCTGTGTTTCCAAAGGTCCTTGAGCGTCTTTGCGCAAAGACATAGAGTGCGAAGACGGCTAAGACGCCGAGGCCGCGTAATAGTTGCAGGGCTTTGGACTTTCGAGTGAAGTAGTCGAGGGAGAGAAGGGCTACCACATGAGTGAAACTGGAGAACCATGCGATGTATACGATGAGATTGTAGTGGTATGCGGAGATATCATCCCAGCCTTTGAGAGCACCGATTAGAATCGCCAGACCCGTGACCATTTGCTGGTCGGCGAGACCAAGAATAAGGGAGTTCAATGCTGCATCAAGCCTTTGCGTAAAGGGTCTCCCTGAACCTCCGCAGAAAAACTTCAAGCCTGCGGCCGCGAGCGTGATAACCGCCGATGCGATGAAAGCGACATAAACCTTGGAGTGGTTAAATAAGCCAGTAAGCCTTGAGGTGGGCTTGAGAGGAAGAGCGCTCACCCCGACTCCTGCAATATCTGGGTTTGGCTGCAACGCCCCGCAGTTCATGGGAAACTCCGGGCAGGTCGTTGGGGACATCTTGGTTGTTGGATTAGGTTCTGGCAATCACCACGGATTTGCAGAAGTCGGGAAACCATGGCGTTATGAAGGACATGAGGCTGAGCATGTTGCGTTGTTCAGCTGCATCGAGCCGCGATGCTTCAGACATAAACCCTGTGTCCCCGCCAGGTCTAGACAAACGCCACTCGCGTCGTGGTCGGGCACGCGAGGCATACATAAGGTATATATAAGGACCGGGCGAGTGATTACGAGTGATTACGAGTGATTTACAAAGTCGATGTACTCCGTGCTCGAGTATCGTTCGTCATGCAGTCTCGAAAATGCGGCACATCGCCCATTAGCAGTGCTTCTAGGTGCGCTCACACTGCTTTTGTCTTCGCACCCATCCTCGGCCTGCCAAAACATTCATGTAGGAGGTAAAGGGGTTCGGCAAGATGGGTTGTTTGTGTGAAAGAGGTATAGTAAGGAGGTAGGCGAGATCAGCTGATGGATTTGACAACTTCAAAACGGCGGCTTGCCGACTTTCGAATCATCATAACAAACAAACGGCACTTGTACGCCTAATCAGCCCACCATACCATATGAGTTGTGTCCAGTCTTAATGGCCTCCCCCTTTGTCTTGAGCTGGGCGATCAACCACAAGTTTAAGGGCCAACCTGACTGCCCTTGGCAAACTCCCGCGAAAGACGACGCAAATACACTGGTTAATATCGATGCTAGCGAAGCCCGCGCCGTCAAAAGCGTAGGAGCATTCTTTCGAGGTAGGTCGGTAGCCGTCACTATGCAGACGAATTCTACTGTCTCTCCCTTCGTATATTAAATACTAAAGAGACGAACGATTCTATTTACAGATCATCTATAGTAGGTGCCTTGATTATCGAGTAGTGGTAAGTCCTTGGCGAGACCGTTGAGTATCCGTAGTAACAACATCAGGAACAGCCACAGACCGTCCCTCTAGGACCGGAATAAGATCCTAACGTTGCTCGAGGCGGCCACTCGTCAGCCTCGTACGAGCACTCGAATACATGGCTTCCTGATCCCACCGCAACAGTCTTCTCTTCCCCGGCCCTCTGCGCGGCAGGAAGTGTAACTTGCGCCCTTGAGTTTGGCGGCACTAGAAGATCCATCTTAAACTTATCTTCCTCAACTGTCCACTTACACTCCACCCTGCCATATGGCCCATCAAACTGTGTTTCCGCCTGATCTATACGGCCACCAGGGATAGGCCTCACGACAACCGTCCGCCATCCATCAACAGAGCTGATGCCACCCACAGTGCTATGCAACCACGCCGCCACGGCACCCAGCGCGTAATGGTTGAAGCTGAGCATCTGCCCCGGGTTCAAGCTGCCATCGGGCAGTAGTGCGTCCCATCGCTCCCATACCGTCGTCGCACCCATTGTCACGGGGTACAGCCATGACGGGCAGTGCCTCTCCATCAGCATCCGGTACGCCAGGGGAGCCTCACCTACCTTGGTCAGCGCGGGCAGAATAGCGGGCGTTCCTGCAAACCCGGTCGAGACGTGGTAATGTGCCTTGTGCACAAGGCGCACAAGACTCTGGCGCGCGGTCGCAAGCTGCGCAAGACCCGGGTAGAGGTCAAATTGGACGGCAAGCGCGATAGCCGCCTGTGTAAAGTTGGCGAGGTTTCCGAGGGGTGTGATGTATTTGTCGCGGAAGGCGCCTTTTAGCACTATGGCGTCCAAGGCGTAGAGCTTGCTCTCGACCTCGAGGCCAAGGGCGGAGCATACCCGCGACATCGTCGTTGTGATGTGAACGAGGTAGGCGTCGGCCACGAGCACACCGTCCGTCCGTCCGTTTCCTGGCTCAGATGGCGGTGCAGCTGGATCGACCCAATCGCCGAGCTGCCAGATGTTAATGTCCCAGAGGCGATCGGTGCCGCGGCGGATGGCGGTGTCTAGCCATGCGACCATGCTGGGATACTGCCTGCGAAGCACTTCGAGGTCACTAGAAGATTGGTAGAGATCCCATGGTGTGAGGATCGTAACATCATGCCATACCGCCTGGGGTGTTGGTGTCCAGAAATCCGCCATAACGTCAGGACAGACAAGGGGTGGAATTTTCTCTTCGTGCGCCATCTGCTCCGCAGAGAGATCCTCAAGCCAACTCCCGAGCTGCAGAGATTAGCAATCCGCTTAGGTTTGATGTGCTAGCCCCTTGATCCATCTGGAAGGGGAAAGTGCCGAAAATCACTTACTATGCCCATGGTATCGTATAAGAAACTCGCCGTAGGGCCAAACACCTGTATATCGCCGGTCCACCCCAACCTTTCGTCCCGCTGAGGACAATCTGTCGGAACGCTGACAAAGTTTCCACGCATGCCCCACACGATATTGTCATGCAATTTATTTACTAGCGGGTTCGAGCACTTGAACCAACCCCTACGCCTCATGTCGGTGTGTATCACTAGTGCGGTGAAGTCTTCTATTGACGGTTCTTCCCCCTCTGGCCACCCACTCAGCTGCATGTAGCGGAAGCCGTGATATGTGAACTTCGGGCACCAGCCGAGAAGCGCGGTATCAGACGTCACGACAGTATCTGTACATTTAGCCGCACGTAAAGGTCGCATGCCCATTTCTCCGTCGACGAGTACTTCGGCATGCACTATGGACACCTCGCTCCGCGGGGCCACTTTTCGAATACGCACGAAGCCGACGAGGTTCTGGCCAAAGTCAAAAATCGTCTTCCCGCTTGGGCTGGTGATGATAGAAACGGGCTTGACCTCTTGGGTGACCCTAACTGGTTCAGCATCTGATGCAAATAGTGCGGCCGAGGGCATGGGCAACAGCTTGACAGAGGTCCAGGAAGCATCGTCGAAATCCGGCAGCTTCCAACCACTTTGCTCTTGGCTCATGTCATAGCGTTCTCCGTTATATATCTCGCTCGTGATAGTAGCACTTGGATGGCATTTCCAGGTGCCGTCCGTCCTTTGAACAATCACTTCGCCGTTATCAAGCATAACCTCCAGTTGAAGCAATAAAGCAAGTTCATTGCCATAGTTAAATCTCTGCCCTCCTCTGATGCCCATCAAGCCAGCATACCAGCCTTCCCCAACCTCGGCGCTAATAACGTTGTTTCCTTGCGAGAGCAAAGCCGTGACGTCGAACATCTGGTATGCGAGTCGATGCGAGTAGCTCGTCCAGCCAGGGGCGAGGACGTGATCACCCACGCGGGTCCCGTTGAGATAAACCTCATACAAACCAAGTGCTGTGATATAAAGTCTAGCTTTAACGACATCTGTTTGGGGCAGAGAGAACGCCTTGCGGAATCGCACTGGACGCAGAGTCGTATCTTCCTTCTCGAACTTCTTGGAGGGCGCAATCGGCGGTGCAGACCATCTTCCCTCTTCTAGGAGCGCGGCTTCTGCTGTAGCCCAAGGGGACCAGCCGGTGATACCGCTTGTACCTCCGTAGCTCCTAACTCGTACTGCTGCGACTGCTGCGGAATCTAGAGCTCTCCCGGGCCAGGGCACGAGCACTGACTCTGAGCTCTCAACATGATACGAGTTGGTGTACATAGAGCCTTGTCTTCTAATCTCAATATCATATGCACTCTGAACCCAAGAATTCACCGCCTCGGATTTAGCATCTGACGGATGGGAGAACCGCCATGAGATGCGAGGACGACGATGGTTGAGTCCGAAGCCATCGGGGTGATGCTCGAATCTTGGGATGGAAAGAGTTGGTTGGGGTAATACCTCTGATAGGAATTGGGTGTGGAGGACTGGACTACTCTGCATGATGATTGTCTGGCGGATATTTGGAGTGTGAGAAGCTGAAGACATAGGTAATATTGGCCTAGTTCAAGGGAAGTCGATGGAGTAACGAAGCATTACATGTAAGAAATGTAAACTTTCAGCAGACCAGACTAAACAAATTGAATAGATGGGTCTATGGCACCATCTACTCCCTAAATGTGGGCTAACCGTCTTAATCTCAAAGGCTCAAAGAGACCCGGTTAACACATCCGAGCAGTCGGCAAGATTCTCATATTCCTGCCAACCCACCGGAGTGGTCGCCCGGGTCCGGAAGTCCGGTAACAAAGTAGACTGCCCTAACGGCTTTAAAATAGCTTCTGGAGGGATGTGGTTAGGGGTCGACCGTATTGATTCACCAGCAACTCCCCTCGGGATATAAGCCTCTTCTAGAGCGATGTATCAGCCCGAGTCTAGATGGCTCTCTTTCTTCTCGGCCTAATCTCGTGGTAACATTGAAGCGAAGGATACTTATTACCTTACCATCAGATAGAGGCTTTCGTAATATTAGTAGGTGGGTTGGGGAGCCTTGGGAGCAGTAAGGATAATATCACTATTGTGTAGTATCTTACTGTAGTGGGCGTATAATGTACCTTAGTGATAGACTGATAGCCGTACAAACGTGATATTATTTTATTAGGATTATTATATCACCCTCTCGAAAACCTACTATCCGACAGTATGGTAGTGCTGGCACTACCTAATGTGAGCCCCGTCGCAAATCGCATTCCGGAGTAAACGGTGAGAAAAATCTCCACATCGAACTTCCCCACACCGGTATCCACACACTTAGGTCGCCGGCTTGACATAGCGTCCGGGTCCGAACCGGAATTCGGACCCGGACGCTCATTATGGGTGTGTTTGGCAAGCTTAGACGGATAGCTTGCCGAGGACATGCAGACAGAACCTCATATCTCATATCTCATAGACAACCCCTAATAAACCCCCAGAAAGTCAGCCGGTCAAGTGGAGTAGGGCTTGAGGTAAAACGCGGGGAAGTCTTCCTGGAGAGCGGAGAAGCTATTGGGACATCTCAGAGCCTTGGTGAATCACTCTTCTGAACGAGCGCTAGTCCTTTCTACTAATATATAGATAGGTACCTATGCACCTCTCTCGCTTTCTCAGATCAGCCTCGCAGGGCATTCTTCCTCCTTTATATCCTATTATCCTCCTGTACTAGTCCTTCAGACGAAAGATGTCCAGCCGAATCCTCCTTTACGTTTGGACGATCTCCCTTGGGGGACTCGTGATTGGAATTGACAGTGGAATTGTTGCCTCCGTCCTATCCCAAAAGAACTTCAAGACCTTCATGTATCCGCCGGGGACGCCTAACACCACCAGTCTCATCAGCGCTATTGTCTCTATGGCAGCAGTTGGCGGGGCCATTGGCAATCTCATTAGCGGCCTCTTTCTAGAGAAGCTGGGACGAAAATGGACCTTATTCATCTCGACCTTCTTCACCATCGTCGGATCCGTTCTCCAAACTGCTGCTAATGGCGTTGCCCTAATGATTGTCGGCCGCACCATTGCGGGTATTGCCTTGGGCATGCTGCGTCCGACTGTGCCAGTTTACATCGCCGAAATCGCACCGGCGACACAGCGCGGCAGGCTCATTGGCATTTTCGGCCTTCTTATCTCATTTGGATACGTGGTGGCCGGCTGGGTCGGATATTCGTGCAGTTTTGCTGCTGGCGACGTAACTTGGCGTTTGGCTCTTGCATTGCAGATTCCCGCCGCCGCTATTCTCATGGGACTTTCTGTCTTCCTGCCAGAATCCCCTCGATGGTGTAAGTAAATCCTGTTTCCCCGAAATGGGGGCATCCTCCGCAGCATATCTCTTATTGACCATGGATTACCATTATTTAGTGGCCCAAAAGGAGCGCTATGAAGATATGGACATGAGCATGCGAAATATTTACTCAAACGAGGACGAGGACTTCTTCATTCGTTCAAGATTCGAGATCTGCGAGCAGATTCGGCTCGAGGCAGTGCAGCGGACTAACAGAACGTTCGGCTACGCGCTGATCGAGTTGTTTAACAAAAGGAATATCAAACGTACAGCGGTGGCGATAATGGTTCTACAGCTCGGATGCCTCTCGGGCACTCTCGTCATCCAGCAGTACCAGTCCATCCTCTATGCCTCCCTAGGATTCACCGGCCAGAAAGCGCTCCTAATCACAGCTTGCTATAGCTTTATGGGCTTTACGGCAAGTTAATCGCTCGACTTCCACAATGGCAAATACTTATAGTCCACAGGGCCAAATCCTAAATATAATTTTCATTGCGGACAAATGGCCACGAGTTCGCACGATGTGTACGTTGTCCTACCCACAATTGATCATTATATCAACAGCCACTGACGATGTATAGGGGTGGGCTGTCTCGCCCTGGCAATCGCGCTCTCACTACTAATGGCACTCTCGCGCTTCTACGGCGACGGGCACAACGAGCAAGGTGCTGAGGCTGGAGTCGCCTTCGTCTTCATTTTCTCAGCGCTGTACGCCCTCTTTTTCAACAGCACACTGCACACCATACCGCCCGAGTACTTCACGGTCCACCTGCGCGGTTATGGCCTTGCCGTGGGCGACTTCTTTCAGGGCGTCTCCAATATCTGGCTTAGCTTCGTGACGCCGCACGCCTTCGACGCCATTCAGTGGAGGTATTATTCCGTTTTCATCGCGTGCCTGGTAGCGCTCGGTGTGTTCTACATGGTGGCGCTGAAGGAGACGAACCAGATGACGCTGGAGAGCACGGCTGCGCTATTTGGCGATGAGACGGTGCATGGTGCTAAGGACATGATGGAGCATACTGAGGAGGCCGAACGGGGGATTGAAATGGGCGACAAGGACACTACAAAATAGGGGGGTGTGACATGGAGGAACTATATGTGGTACATATTCACCGCTGTGAATCGGGGTGCATTTCGAGTGGGAATTATGACTTCTGAGTGCCGCTACTTGTCAAGCCAGTGAGGCTATAGTCGTACACCTGCGCCAAGGGGCCGGGTTAGTATGTATAAAACAGGTCAATTAATCGGAACCTTTAATACTCACTTACCTCCCATCGCGATACACATCGTCCTCATCGAACATCTGTATTCGCCGCTATTCGCCGCTATCTGCCTCTATGCTTCTAGCGTTCCTCAAAAACCCCCCAGCAAGAGCAAGTCTCTCAGTCACTGTATAGAAGCGCATGGGTTTTACCGCAACGTGCCCATCAAGTGGTGCTACCTCGATGGATACCTCAGCGACCCAAAATCAAACTCGGATCCTTCTATGCGACCATCTACGAGCCCAGGAAAATCGAAGATAGAGTTTGAATAATATTGATCGAAGTCGCTAAGCACCATACTTTCAGATGGTTCGTCGACTCCGCTCGTAGCTGGCGTCATGGCCATAGCTCCAGGCTCTCTCTGAGCGGCTACGGCAGGTGCTTGTCTTCGATTGATGCGTTCAATAGTTGCGTCAAGTTTGCGGAGCACTGAACGCCCACACGCAGACGCCCCATGACTTCTGTCGACACCTAGGTCCCTCATAAAGGATGCAATCTTCCTGATAAGGCCAAGCTCCAACGCGGGGTCCGGGAAGAGTGTTGGGAATAATTGTATAGCTTCTAGGATAAATGATGAGCAGAATGAGAGGGTCACAAACAGAAAGCCCGGGGAGTAACGCAGCTGGTCTCTTTTGGCCGGGCCGAGGCGGCCGGAAATGCTTAGGACAGATACAGCGGAGTCCACAGACCTCTGAATGGCTTCAACCTCGCGAGATTGGATATTAACTGAAGCTAAGCGCCGGATGAAGTGGGTATTGAGACAGAAGCGGGTGTATTGGAAGTAGTACTCCGGGCTAAGGCTCATAAATCCTTTTCTATTACCTAGTTATAATAGTGTTAGCACTGGAAACTCTGCTGTAGGAAGAGTTAGTGAATTGGCTAACTTATACGGTCTGAGGATGACTGGGCTTTCCATTCATTGAGCGCGGCATCGACATCCTCGAAGGTAATAGGTGGCATTTCGCTTGTTGAGTCATCATCGTGGTCTATGGAGCACCACCACTCCTTGAGACTCGGGTCTTTCTCGCCAAGCTATAGTCCCAGCACACGAATTAGCATAATGCATTCAATAATACTGAAATATTATGGAGAATAAATTTACTTTGTCCCAGAGCAGACACAATTGGGCCTCGCGGAGTGTAATAAGAACGTCATCGTTAGATTGAATGCTTTGTAGAACGGTTGGAGCGGCTCTAATGGAAGCATCCGCGTTTATACTTGGTGGTGTACCCGTCGCAATAGAGACGCTGTCCATTTCGTTACCATGTTGAAGATGGTCAATGCGTCATCAACATACTGATGAGCTGTTGTATAAAGCCAAAGCCAGTACAGATACTTCCGTACACATGTATCATTCCTCTTCAGAGGGTTTCCTAGTTGTAGCTGCCGCCTGATGCCATCACTTGATCGATGTAATCTAAGCTGCATAGCTAACATCTCGCACGCAGCTTTGATTGACCAAAAGCTAATATTGTTTGAAAATATTGACTCTGAAGGCCGCTCAATCACATTCGACCGCGCGAATACATAGAGTATTATCAAAGCCTGCATTGTGGCTAATTCTTCCTCCGCGTTAGCTGCTTTAGTATTATATGCGGTTTGAAGGAACGCTGAGACAACTGGGACCAGGCAATCCCTGACCTCCTCGTAGCCGGGTATGTATCTAGCAGTGACATAAGATATGCAAGAAACAAGGTTGGGGTATGTTGCGATGAGTCTTTCACCGTCCTCATAATCGGCGGGGATGAGTATTGGTACCGTCACAAGAAGCCTATCGCGGAACCTATATAACCCATGTTAGCGCCTTTCCGGCTTTCTTGAAATCAGATGATAATGGCTACAAGTCAATTAATTGCATAGTATCTTCTGTCGAGATGCGGCCACTAGTTCTTCCATGGGCATCTCGTGCCGTTGATGTTTCTGGAAGGTTGTCACAAAGCTGTTTATCTTGGGGCCCTGTGCCACCGTAGCCGCGGCCAATATGGGGGTATGGCAAAGAGGAGAAGATACTGGGCAATATCGGAGCAAGTGGCGTCCCTGAAGGCGCTGGGTCCTGGGGTAGATGACGGGGTTGTTCTGGATATCTCGTCTCAGTTGTCTGATTTCGCGATGTAGCTGGGATTCGTCTTCTACGCTGCGGAGCAGGCGACCCGGTCGAAACGACTTTAACGCATTCACGGCCAGTTTTTTGACAGCGTATACAAGGAGAATCCGGTTCCTTAATGCATTTCATCTGAGTGGGTAAGCCAATAGCAGGGCATATTGGAGGGCTAGACGCCGAGGGAATACCTTTTGCCTGCGACACGCTTGGCAGGCTGATCCGGCTGCTGATCTCGATGAGCGTTCCATACTGACTGGGCAGTAATTGACCAAGTAGTTGAATTGTGAGCCGGGTCAAGTCTTCCTGATGCGAGAAAGTGATCGAGGTCGTCGTCGTTGCTCGGTTGGTCCGGGGCGTACGGCTCCGGCTCCGGTTCAGTTCCGGCCATTCGGGCCAAAAGAGTCCGCCTACTTATTATGCCACAGGGCTAAAAATCAAGATGAACCGAAAAGAAAGATTACTCGTTCTCATTTAGAGATGATTGGTTAAGTTAACATGCGTATGTCCAAGAAATGGTCCTTAGGTCTATCCTCTGCTTCCACTGCACGTCTTGTTTATTTATCAGTGGCAATCATCGATGGTCTCAGTATCCGCCGAGGGCCAGGGCTTTACCGAACTAGTGTCTTTCAAGATCGGCGGTGCTACGGCATGGATAACGTCTAGTCAAGGGACTATGTGGTATCAATATATATAAGGATATATATTGCCATTGTTCGACGGTCTCCGGAAATCTAGAAATTATGGCGGATCAAGTTCCTGTAGAGACATCGAGACCCGTTAGCGCCTCGTTTTCTGGCAAGGTAGCCATCGTCACTGGCGCCGGGTCTGTTGGTGGCGGTATTGGCAATGGCCGCGCGATTTCCATTTTACTGGCGGAGCAAGGAGCATCAGTTGTTTGCGTAGATCGTCAACGGGACTGGGTTAATCGCACCGTCGAGATGGTCGAGGCTGAAACGAAAGGGAAAGCAATCGCTTTCATCGGGGATGTTACCAAATCCGAAGACTGTGAGAAGGCGGTCGACATGGCAGTTTCTGAGTTTGGACACCTGGACATCTTGGTGAATAATGTTGGGATTGGCGGTGCGAAAGGGATGGCTGTAGAGGTAGACATGGTGGAGTGGATGGAGTTGAATGTTAGTAGTATAGTATTGATGGCTAAGTTTGCAATTCCTGCTATGAAAAAGAACACAGGACAGGTACGAGGGGCGATTGTGAATATGGGCAGCGTGGCAGGGCTGAGAGGCGGCACTCCACATTTGCTGTATCCGGCCAGCAAAGGGGCAATTGTTAATATGATGCGTGCGATGGCAGCTCATCACGCAAAAGAGGGCATCAGGGTGAACTGTGTGTGCCCTGGGATGTTGTATACGCCTATGATGTACGCAGGTGGGATGAGCGAGGAGGCAAGAGAGGCACGAAGAAATCGACGCTTGCTTGGGACGGAGGGAAGTGGCTGGGATGCTGGATGCGCTGTTAGGTTTTTAGCTTCAGATGAGGCGAGATGGATTACTGGAGTCATTTTACCAGTTGATGCTGGTACTACAGCTGCAGTAGGGACCGAATTACCAGCGTCTGCTAGTGTTGGAAACTGATCAGTTTCCTCTTCACAGGCCCTGACCTTCATCATTTTCTTCTAAGACGAGGTAAGAATTGAGGTATGATTAAGGCTAGTTTCCGATAACCCCTATCATGTGCCTCCGTCATGTTGAGATAGGCGAATATTGCGACGCAAGTGCATGCCTTCCTGAAGACCGAGCCCTTCCTTACTCCATCCAAGGTAACTATATACCTCATCCCATATCCTACAATGCCATAACATAGACGCCGATTCCCTAATACCCGCTTTGTTCTCTCCTATTATCTGAGCTCTTCGCCCCCTCCCCCGCCTCTTTAATAGCTTGCTCATCTCCTCTCATCTTCGCGAAGTGCGCTTTGATATCGTCTGCACTGATAGCCTTGCCGCTCTCCGCAAATTGCTGGAAGAAAGGCTTGAGTTTATCCTTCAGGTGATTGTATGCCATCACTCCTTCGATCGCCCTAACACGATCCACGTTCTTAAGAGCATTTTCACCGCGATCATAGATGCTCCCGCTTCCCATGGTACTAGCTCCATCACCGTGCTCATTTTCAGAAAGCTCCGGCTCGTAGCTCTCTTCCTCCTCAAGTAGCTGGTTATGCTTCGAGAGCTGTGGGAAGCACTCTGAACAACGACAGAGATGATCTCGGAAATCGGCCTTGAAAAAGAGCGACATCTGCCCCTCTGGTGCTGGTGGAAGTTCCTTGGCTTTGCATGTTGAATTTCCGTCTGCGGCAGTTTTTCGTTGGCCACTCAGACCTATGAGCGTTGAAATATCCGTCGCGTCAGTCACCCCAGCAGTGACATCCGATGCCTCATCTTTCCTTCTCTTCGAGGTGCTGGATCTGTTGGATTCTTCATCATCATCTGCCTTCCGCTTCTTAGAATTGGAGAGGTTTGGGGTGATGGAGTCTTTACTCTGGTCTAAAAGTCGTCTCTCTGGCGATGGTGCCGTACTGCGTTTGAAGACGGGACCCAAGAAGCCAGGTGCACCCGCATAGCACTTAATCCAAGGGTTGGCATCCACGCACTTATAACATATGAAACCTTCGAAGTCATCCTCCTCGGGAAATCCAGGAGGCATAGGGGGGTCCTCGTCCTCATCTTCTTCGTTATCGGCAGTGCCACCAGTATTTTCCGATCGGTTCATTGTTCCACCTTGGACTGCTTCTTGATTCGACTCATCCACAGCTACCTCTGCAACTTCAGTAATTAATGCCAACAATCCTTCATTATTTTGCTTCCCAGCTGCAGCAGTACGGCTTGCAGTCTCATACCAGTCCGGTCCAAGCCCGACCATGCAACCGGGATGCCACCAGTCTTCTCCACAGCCGCCATCTTCGGCCGTTCCCAAACCAAGACATTGAAACATGGTACCCTTTTGCGCGTGAGGATCGTATTTGCAGGCACACCCGCAAAATCTATTTTGGAAATTGTAGTTGTAATTGTTATTTGGGTCGGGAGCTTCGGAATGCACGCCACCTTTCGTATTGCTCTCCGATTGTGTCCGCAATGTGCATGGCGAAGTAGCAGGCAACCGGGTTGTTCCGCAGTCACAAACAAAATCCCTCTTGTTAAAGAGTTCCACCAACGTATGGTCACCGTGGCATTGTATCGAGCAGGAATAGCAAACACCTGCCGGGGTATAGGGATCGGAAAGGTTGTCGGGTGGAGGATTGCATGTCAGGCAGGATAATAGAACTTGACGGAGCTTTCCTAGAGGCCTGGTGCAGTTGTCGAATTTCTAAATAACATAATAAGCTTGACAATCTAGGATGGGAGGGTGAACGGGGGCAGTACGTATGGCAGAGCCTCACGCGCGTCCGCCTCCAGCTGAAGTTGGTTGTCGATGAACCTACCACATCATCAGCATTGAACACAAGAACATAAATTGTTGCTAGTCCACTCAGGTGAAAGTTCGTCGAGGAGAACATACTCAGCTGCCGTGTATGAATCGTCTGACTTGTGCGAGAAGCTCTGGCTGGGCGGCGCATCCGTTTGACTTAGTGGATGGTTTAGTTGTTTGTTGGCACCGGAATCTGGGACTGTAGAGGAGTCCATGGCGACCGGATTCAAGAATCGGTTTGGCAGTACTTGATGTAAAGAATGATAGAGGGCATACGTAGGTATGATAGATGATAGCTCTGATAGCTGGCAGCGATCGCGACGAGGAATCGCGGGTTGTTGCGTCGCTCGATAAACCACTTTACGCGTGTTCTAGATTCGGCTTAGCTTCGGAAACGCGAAAGCGCGTTTTGGCAATCCCCTTTACGCGCCCGTCCCTCATCTGCGTCTCGACTTCGACTCATGAACACTACAGGAAGCATTGAAATCTCGTAACTTACAACCACCAAGATACGAAGTCACCATGAGGTATGAATAATGGCAGCCGTTCATTTATGCATTTATCTTCCCTCTATGCCGTTAGTTCCACGCTGACTGAACCTAATAGTTCCCCTTTGCGACCTAGCATGTCTTCTGCAAATCGAGGACCAACAGGCGGAAAAAATCGGCGCAAGCGCTCAAGAGAACCGGAAGATCTTCCCTCTGGACTCGGTGCACCTAGTCCGGCGGGTGATATTAGATCTTCACCACCAGCATACCCAATCCAACATGGTGGAGATGATGACGATGATGTAGAAGAAGATGTTGAGCTTGCCCTTGACATCGATGATGCAGACGAGATGGCTGAAGATGAGGACGGAATTGATCTTTTTGGCGGCAATTTCGAGAAGGATTACAAATCTCGCGAAGATGACCAATATGACGATAGAGATATTGATGACGACGGCGAGTATGAGGAGCTCGATGTTGCTGCTAGAAGACAACTAGACGCACGCCTAAACCGCCGGGACCGTGAGGTTGCCCGACAAAATCGCATGCCTGCAGCCTTCCTTCAAGACGAGGATGAAGACGGTGATCTAGATCTCACAGCCCAACCACGACGTCGGCGCCATCACTACGACGAAGACGAAGACGAAGATATGCAGGACGACATTATGGAGGAGGAGCTCTCGCTCGAGACGTTACAAGACGTTAAGGCATCCAGCCTAGTCGAATGGGTTGCTCAACCCGCTGTCCAGAGAACCATCAAAAGGGAGTTCAAGGCTTTTCTGACCGAATACACCGATGAGCACGGAGACTCAGTGTATGGGAATCGGATTAAAACTCTAGGAGAGATCAATGCGGAATCCTTGGACGTCTCATACGATCACCTATCTTCGTCGAAAGCCATCTTGGCGTACTTCCTTGCAAATGCGCCGGGTGAGATGCTCAAATTGTTTGACGAGGTTGCCATGGAAGGCACACTTCTTCATTATCCTGACTACGAGCGAATTCATTCTGAGATTCACGTTCGAGTATCCGACTTGCCAGTTCACTACACTCTTCGTCAGCTACGACAATCCCATTTGAACTGCCTGGTTCGTGTCAGTGGAGTTGTCACCCGCCGAAGCGGAGTCTTTCCTCAGTTAAAATATGTCATGTTCGATTGCAGCAAGTGCCAGACAAAGCTTGGTCCTTTCCAACAAGAGTCCAACGTGGAAGTCAAAATAACTTACTGCCAAAATTGCCAGTCGCGCGGACCATTCAACCTCAACTCAGAGAAAACTGTCTACAGAAACTATCAAAAGCTTACCCTCCAAGAATCACCCGGCACTGTTCCGGCCGGTCGCCTTCCTCGTCACCGCGAAGTCATCCTCCTTTGGGACCTCATTGACAAAGCGAAGCCGGGAGAAGAGATTGAGGTTACTGGAGTCTACCGCAATAACTATGATGCCCAGTTGAACAATAAGAATGGGTTCCCTGTATTTGCAACCATCCTCGAAGCCAACAATATCGTCAAGTCCCACGATCAACTTGCTGGTTTCAGGTTGACCGAGGAAGATGAGCATCAGATTCGCAACCTTGCACGCGACCCTCAGATTATCGACAAGATTATCCACTCTATGGCCCCAAGTATCTATGGTCATGCTGATATCAAGACTGCCGTTGCGCTTTCATTATTCGGTGGTGTCTCAAAAGAACGAACTGGTAAGCTCCACATTCGTGGTGATATCAACGTACTGCTTCTTGGTGATCCGGGAACAGCCAAATCACAGGTTCTCAAATATGTAGAGAAGACTGCCCACCGTGCCGTCTTCGCCACCGGCCAGGGTGCAAGTGCTGTTGGTCTGACAGCTAGTGTCCGCAAAGATCCGTTGACCAGCGAATGGACACTCGAAGGTGGTGCTTTGGTGCTTGCCGATAGGGGAACTTGCCTTATTGACGAATTCGACAAGATGAATGACCAAGATCGAACATCCATCCACGAGGCCATGGAGCAACAGACCATTTCCATTTCCAAGGCAGGTATCGTAACGACCTTACAAGCTCGCTGTGGTATCATCGCTGCCGCCAATCCAATTGGAGGTCGATACAATTCTACCATCCCGTTCTCACAAAATGTTGAGCTGACAGAGCCTATCCTTTCTCGGTTCGACATTCTCTGTGTTGTTCGAGATACAGTTGATCCGGTTGAAGATGAGCGACTTGCCAGATTTGTTGTTGGCTCGCATGGCCGATCACATCCAGCTAGCCAAGATCTTGAGGATGAAAATGCCATGGATACGGAGCAGGATTCGGGTACCCGTGGAGCTGTCAACGGCGGGGAACCCAAACAAGAAGGCGAAATTCCCCAAGAGCTACTTCGGAAATATATCCTCTATGCAAGGGAGAGATGCAGTCCCAAGTTATACAATGTCGACGAAGAGAAAGTTTCTAAACTCTTCGCTGATATGAGAAGGGAGTCGTTAGCCACAGGCGCTTACCCAATTACTGTATGTCCCTTCCTCATCCTAACAATGCTCCACCTAACACTCTCGACAGGTCCGTCATCTCGAAGCTATTTTGCGAATCAGCGAGGCATTTTGCCGAATGCGCTTGTCAGATTATGTCTCTTCCCAGGATGTTGATCGTGCTATTGCAGTAACAATTGAGTCCTTTGTTGGAAGTCAAAAAGTCAGTTGCAAGAAGGCACTTGCTCGCTCCTTTGCCAAGTACACCCTAGCTAGACCAAGCGCTGGTAAGAAGAATGGAGGTGGAAAGTTTGACCGCGGGAACAGAGCTGCGACTGCGGCTATGGCTTGATTATGATATGATTACGATGTTTTATGGAGTTATGGATACCTGAATGCGATGTTTTATGGATGGGATTGTACCTAAGATGGCTTGCTATGACATAATGAGAGATTGTTTCCATGCACCACTCGCGTTTCAATATGTACAGAAAGACATTGCACTGAGACTTGCGTGGGACCAAAGGCTTTAGATCTTTGCCATCTAAGATATCGCGATATGGCCAACCGATTGTTTGGTATAGCGGCAGCCCTGTGGTTCAGCGTGTAGTGGTACATTTTCAATTGATCTGTTCGCGATGTTGGAACAACATATAGGTAACTTTACAGTTGAGAAACAGTGAGAGCGTATCAAATATTATCTACGTCAATGAGAGTGCGCGATTTGGCATAGTAGGGTGCTGTAGCTTATTATTAAACTCCGTTAACTCCAGTAAATTTACCCCACCATTGACGCCATCTGCTACCCATCAGGGCCACCACAACCTTCTCATTGCAACAACTCCATAAAAGCTCAACTCAAAATGCCTTTAATCACCAGCACTGGAAAGCCGAGAGTCATCCTAGGTCTTATGACCTTTGGTGAGGGCGCTGAGGCAGCCGCATCAGGAGCCCGAATCACGTCTCTAGACGAGTTCAACAAGGCCTTGGATCATTTGCAAGCGGCAGGCTACAATGAAGTAGATACGGCACGCGGTTATATTGGCGGGAAGCAAGAAGTATTCACAAAGAAGGCCCACTGGAAGGAGCGAGGTCTCACTTTGGCGGTACGGATTCCTCTCTATTGCAAAAAAAAAAATCATTGCCCACCCCGCATGGTCGTCTTTTCCGCTCTTCCGATCATGATAACTATTTTCGTATTTCCAATTGCCGGGTCTTCTGTGAATAATACCCAATTGCATGCAAAATTCTAACTATCAGTATCCTAGACAAAAGTCTATCCCACGGAGCCTGGTCGTCACAAGGCCGAGGTCATTACAGAGTACTTTGAGACCAGCTTGAAAGAGCTCGGCACAGACTGTGTCGATATTTTCTATCTCCATGCTGCGGTATGGAACTCCCTATCCATCCCAAGTAGAGAAACTGATCACTGCAAAAGGACCGATCGGTGCCCTTCACAGAAACCCTTGCGGCGGTTGACAAGCTCCACAAGCAGTGAGTGTCTAAATCCCCACACAAAATTGTATTTACTTATACTCTGCAGAGGGAAGTTTGTCCAGCTTGGACTTAGTAATTTCACCGCATTTGAGGTTGCGGAGGTAGTCATGCACTGCAAGTATAACAATTGGGTAAGTGACTTTAGGATGGAATGTCACGAACCAAAAGCTAACGTTTTCAGGTTCGCCCTACAATCTACCAGGGCATGTATAACGCTATTACCCGGTCTCTCGAGCACGAGCTTATTCCAGCTTGCAAACGCTATGGCTTGGACGTCGTTGTCTACAACCCAATTGCGGGCGGTCTGTTCTCTGGCAAGATCAAGACTACCGATATCCCCAAAGAGGGCCGCTTCAGCGACACCTCAAAATCCGGCGAAATGTACCGGAAGCGGTATTTTAAGGACAGCACCTTTGAAGCGCTCAGCATCATTGAGCCGGCGGTTGAGAAAGCTGGCCTTACTATGGTTGAAGTTGCGCTGCGATGGGTAGTCAACCACTCGGCGCTGAACATCAAGGATGGCAACGATGGCGTGCTCATTGGAGTCAGCTCTGTTGCGCAACTTGACGAGAATCTAAAAGATTGCGAGAAGGGACCCCTCCCGCAAGAGGTACTGGACGCTCTGGACAAGGCGTGGCGGGTCAGCAAGCCGGATACGGCCAACTACTGGCATTTGGACTTGAAGTATACATATGACACGAGAAAGGCTCTCTTTGGTGTGTAGACAGAACATAGAACAGAGGTAGAGTAGAGCATAGCACGAGCAGTACGAGCAGAATCAGTAGATCAGAACGAAGTAGATCGCAATCAAAACACCGCCACTGTCAGCCAAGCGCCCCAAGCCGAGACCCTGCACAGTGGATACGCAAGGCGCAAGCCCCATTTGCACCGCCATACTGCGAAGTACGTACCCATCGCCTCGCCATCGCCATCGCCGTCGCCGCGGCGGGTCTCGGGTAGTGACGTTTTCCCACCGTTGATGTTGTTGGTTGGTTTTGCTGTTTTTACGGAGACAGCTGGCTCACTCCTGTACTCCGTAGACGAGCTGTAGGTCCGTAGTACGCGGCCTAGACAAGCTTCTCCTACAACGAAAAGGCCTAGAGTAGATATTTATCGATATCACGCTCTGCCTTCCTCGAACTCCTCGTACGTCCCACTTGCGATAACCTCTCCAAGAAGTTCGCTATCGATTACTCCCAATTGCCGAGTTGGCCGTGCTTGATTTGGCATCAACATCTTCTGCAGTCAGCTTGCAGCGCACCACCAACGTCATTTAGCCGCTCTCACTTCAGAATCGTTAGGAGCCGCCGTTCCAACTCCTTCATTGATCGACCATCAATCGCAAATCGAGCATGTCTTACACCCAATACCAACAGCACGGTGGAAATCCATACAACAATGGACCTGATGCGGAGGCCGGACGAGGCGGAGTGGTGAGCATTTCCCCGCTCCAGTTTTTGCGCCCGCTTGAACGATGAACCAGAAATGAATAATTGGCAACTAACACATTGCGCATAGAACGGTCAAGATCTAGGACATGAGATGTCCGGGTATTCCGCGACATCCCAATACTCCAGTCACGCATACGGCGATTCTGGAGCACCAGCGCCATCATCCACGATCCTCACTCAACAAGACTTCCTCGCCCGCGTCGCCTTGGTCAAATCCGAAATCCGGACCCTCTCCTCCAACATCCAAGAAATAGCAGCGCTGCATCAACGAGCGCTTTCGTCGCCTGATAGCAACTCGTCTGCCCAGCTCGAGAATCTCGTCACTCAGACCCAGCTGAAGAACACCCAGATCCGGGATCAGATCAAGTTTCTAGAGGCCGATGAGCTCAAAACACAGGATGGGACGAAGAAAGTGAAAACTAAACAGGCGAAACAGCTCAAGGGGGAGTTTGAGAGGGCGTTGAAGGACTATCAACAGGAAGAGGTTGGGTACAGACAGCGGTACCGGGAGCAAATTGCGAGGCAGTACAAAATTGTGAACCCCGATGCTTCGGATACTGAAGTTCAAGAGGCGTCCGAGATGGATTGGGGTTCTGAAGGTGTTTTCCAGACTGCTGTGAGTTTCTTAAGCAAGTTGCGCTTTGGTCCTACCTTCTAACGTGATCCACAGCTCAAGAGCAATCGTTCCGGACAGGCCTCGTCAGTCCTTGGCGCAGTGCGTGCTCGCCATAATGAACTCCAACGCATTGAAGCTACCCTAACAGATCTTGCTGCCATGTTCGCGGATATGGCCCAAATTGTAGAGGTTCAGGATCCAGTTATCGCGCACACCGAGGAAAACGCAGTACAGACAGCCGCGGACGTGGATAAGGCCAACACCGAAATCGACAAGGCGCAAGAACATGCCAGACGTCGGAGAAGGAACAAGTGGTGGTGCTTGTTGATCGTCGTTCTCATCGTCCTGGCTCTTGCTCTTGGCATCGGATTGGGTATTGGCTTGACCAAGACCGCCACTTCGAAGGCGACGTAGGGGTTTTGCGGATGAGTTATGGGTAGGTGTTTTCGTCAATGTTGGTCACTCGCAGTAATACATAGTAATCATCGCAGCCGGTATGGCTGCATTGTACCTAATGAATGGATGCTCTAGGCAGAATGGGTAGAATTTTGATTCTTGTATTGTCCCATAATTATCAGGGGCTGAAGATCAGGGTGCTCGGTGAGTGAGATAACCAAGAAGCATAGGTATTCTGTAAAAATTCCATGTTCATATACACAATCATTCGTCATTCTCATGCGCCCGCCCATTCAAAACGCCGTCGCTCATCTTTCGCCTTCTATTCCCAAGTACGGTTATCGCCCACGCAGTCAAAGTAGACCCCCAATGGCCAGCAACCAACACACCGCTTAACACATTTACCACCTTAATCATAAATCTCAAAAAGCTATCTCTGATCTCCTCCACGGTGAGCATCATCGGCTCAATATCGTATTTGAAAAACAAGCCTGGCACTGATCTCTCGCCCACGATGTACGATTGTTCCGTCACGGCGTACTGATTAGTGAAGATCGTGTTCCCCTTAGCAGGATTGCTGCCAACAGTATAAACGGTGGGAACGACGGAGACGAAGTATTGGAATTTGTGGAAGTGGTTTGGTGTTGTGGCAATGGTGTGGTCGAGAGGGTTGAGGAGGGAGGGGTAGAAAGCTCCGAAGGAAAGCTCGGAGATGATGTGGGAGAAGTTGAAAGCTATTCAAGTGATTAGTATATAACTCCCAAGAAGCCACGCAAATGATAATACGCACCGGTGTGGTCCAAATGTGCGGCGCCCCATTCCTGATAGCCATGTCCCCGCGCAGTAATATGGAAATCTCCTTGTACTTTATTGACATATAAACTGCCAAAAATCCGACAGCTATCGCCTTCACCCGCGCCTCTCAGTCTCGGCGTCTTCCCAAACTTAGCTCTCCTTCCCACGTCAGCTGCAGCAATGATGTCGTGGACATGCTCCTCGCCAAAGCCCTCCTCCTGATAACCCTCCCCAGTCACAACATGCCCCTCCGCATCCCTCCCCAACTTCCGTACTCCATGGTTATCGGCCCACTGGAACCAATTCGTAGGGGCTTTCGTTAATACCTCGCCCGCGAGAATCCTATCCCCGGCCGCGTCTTGCACATTGATATGGATATTCGGACATTGCATCGCGACGACAATGTCTAAATTGATTTGCATATCGTGGTTCACGCCCTTCTCCACTGCAACGGCATGGTTCTCATACCCCCGCCACCAGCGCGCGAATTCACTGAAAATGAGGAAGGATGAGACGAAGAGCATGGCGACGGTCCATTTTCCGCCGCCTGAAGTGCGGGTTACATATTCAGGTTTGGATTTAGCTAGGAAGCACAATGTTAGCTCTAAGTTCCAAGCCAATCCATGTATACCAAAGTCCAGAAAGCTCCAGCAATAATTAGGGAGTGGGTGCAAAGACTTACGGAAAGCATCAAATGCCGAGACGATATTGCCCTTCTCCCCAAAGGCATCCTCGTCCAAGCTATGGTCTGAGAAGCCCTTCATCTCCTACTCGTCGCGATTTCGATGGCCCTTTTCTTATACCCTCACATCAATTCGAAAAGTCTGAGTGATGTATGCTCGGGCTTATCGTCGTGCCTGGGAAGGCTTTGTCTGCTCGTAATTCATAGACGGCTAGATTGACGGAAGAGGACAGCTTTGCAATCCGCTTGGTTGCTGCAAGGCTGACGATTTTCCGAAGCGAGTCTTGGCAGGGGTGCCGGAGCTTGTTGCAACTTCCCCCCTTTGATAGTTCATGGACCACGACACCGTTTCACGCTAAATATTCCAGTTCCTTGTGACATTTCGTATGTGAGTCTTGAGTTCTAAATCTGAAAACAACGAGCTGCTAGAAATCATTACCGATATTCAGTCGTCCATTCTTTAAATATTTATTATTTCCCTCAAGCGGTCGTCCCTGGCCGACCTGCGAGAGAGCTAGTAGACTTTCATACTAGTACGCTTTGCTGTTGCAGCCGGTTATGAAAATACTCTACTATCAGAAAGTTAGAGTATAAGAGGTAGGCCTTTTCTTCGGAAGAAGTGCTAACTCTGGAGTTGGCCAGGCTAAGATGGGCCAAGTTCTTTTGGTATCAGACATACTCAGTGCCTTGGCCTTAGCCTAGAATATGGCTCTCTATAGGTAGAGTTTGCCACTCTTTCTTTATCCGAATCAATCACCCTTTTCAACTGTTTTTTCGAGGCCCTCCAGAACCTCAACACTCAAGTACTAGCAACTTAAGATTCGATTGCGCATGTTAACGAGACCAAAGAAGTCTATAGCAAGTTACGATGATTCAAGACTCGATAAGCTAAGTAGGATATTGTTCATTTATTATATTACCTATGCACGATATTTCCGCCCAACAGTGATGATGACATTACAGGGATATTGCCTGTCAAAATGGAGGCATTCAGGTTTCTCCAACACTATTGGCCATCCAACAAAGAAGGGAAGCAATACTTCATGTAGTCAAAACCACTACCACCAGTCTGTTAATATTTATGAAAAACACAAAGGGCGAGAATTGTGTTTGAGTTTTGACAGCAGCCTTCGTTGACTGAAGGGTCACTAATGGGGCTGTTCTTCCCGCTCGAGCGGTGCCGTTGATGAAAGGCAAGACAACATTCTTGCAGTCCTTTCCGCATTTCTGGTACAGAGATATCAAAGCTGGTCCGCCGTATATTTGGTTCTTGTTTCCAGCACAGGACATGGAGCAGTCTCGAATCAGGCCATCGATAGGGGCTCGGTCAGCTAGAGTGGAATTGTCGCAGAAGCAATGGGTTGAGAATTCAAGACCTATTTAATAACGTCAGATATTGCCAATTAACAATATTTATAAGTTGAGGGACATTTCTCCCCTCGGGTTAGGCGTCTTATAATCCACTCACCCGCAACACTAAAACCCTTGCTAGAGCAAAAATCAAAACAACTCTTAATAGTCATGCTAGAACTTATATTACTAGATCCCTTAAGCGTACGTGGCTGCCCACGAAGGTCGGTGCCACAACCAACATAGGCAAATCGCTTGGACCAGATGAGATCTGTGAATGGCCAGTGGGGCTTACCGATGGAAGTTGGAGCACCGCAATTTGGTTGAGGCCTCACGTCCTGAGGTCCCCTTTGTACGGGATTGCAACCTGGCAAGGCATTTAGGGTACCAGAAACGTACTCATCGATTGAAGGTGGAACTTTGCAGTTCTTAGCAACCTCATTCGTGGTGAAGTTGAAGTATGGGCACTTCTCGATGACGCCATCACCAGAGTTGCAGTTATCGATAGCAGATTGAAGAGTTGGAACATGACATCTAGCATGACCCGGTCAGTATCATTTAGTCAAGGTAGTATAGATGATGCTATCCTGCAGAATACTAACTTGGGGTAAAAATGCAACAGCTGAGAGCGTGCTTACCCGTTGACAAAGTCCGCATGATACCCGACGCCAGTTGGGTCACCATTTGACACCACAAAAGGTTGTGAATCACCATACCACGTATTAGCGAAGTCTGGAGTATTCCAGATAACTTCATAGAATATGGAAATAAACCGCTTTGGAAAATTAGGGGGGCAGTTGCCTATAGTGACTCCGGAAGGATAAGCCATGTGCGACTTATAGTCAGGGGATTCTACGTTACGGCCGATCCAGCAAGACGGAAAGAAGACTTGGGCACGGAGGTCATTGGGACAATTGTAATTTGGGAACCCGTTCGTCTCTGCATGGTTGGTGCCAAGGCAGGAGAAGGTAATAGCTTTCTGTTCCGTTGTATCAGTGTACTTTCGCAGGTTCGGATCTCCGGCGATCATTCGAAACCGCTCGGGGAAGGCGATAAGGTTAGGGTAGGCAGGGTCTTTGGGGTCTGTTCAATACCTATTAAGTTTAGTCATGCATCCATATAGGATCTCAAAGCTTAGCAGTAGCTAACAAATAGTAGATAGTAGCTCCTCCAGTCTGAGTAATCGTGGCGAAGCTGCCGTTCCAGTATCTATAATAAATTGTCTAGATAAATGGGACTATCAGCTGATGTATCAGGGACACTTTGCATAATATCAAAGTTCATGGCAGTTTTGAAGGCATAATAGGGGCTACCGATCTCCTAGATAGATTATCGAGCATTGAGATATTTCAGAAGCCGCCAGGACAAGTGCTACGTCGTGGAAATATGATATGCATTGAAATCATACTCGACCAGGGCTAGAAAACTCTCGCCAATATCGTTGCGTGAGCTGCAACACTTTTTATATTGGAACGACTTACAGGAACCCAGTAGTTTGACTTGTCCTGGACTACCGTGCAAGAGGAACATGTGGAAGCTTGGGTTGCAGCGTAGTCCATTTGGAAACCAAAGCCACTGCCGCCCATAACACTATAAACATGGCCCGAGACCTTGCCTGAATTGACAACAGGATCGGCGCGCTCGATCACTATTGGCGCAGCACAGGGGATGCGGAAGAAAGACAAGGCAACGCTTGCGAAGGCAAGAACGCACAGAGCGGATAGAGCGGCCGTTTTTTCGGGCATTTTGAAGAATATGCTAGTAAACTTGAATTGTTGTCGTTATGTTTGAGATATTAACGTATGTAAACAGGACGAAGGGGAGCAAATAGTTTACTTGGGTGGCAACTTTACCTATCTAGGCCGGGGCTAAGGGGGCATTTCGAGTGAATATATCTCGGTCCAAGCAGCCGGCATTTTAGTATCAAATGACACGATTCCCAACAAAAGCAAAAGCAAGAGTACACAGTAATACAAATCTGCTCCTTCCCAGGCTTAAGAGGGAGGTATTACGTTTCTCCACGCTCCATCTTCCATGTTAGCTCAGATTGAGGGATACAGCCAACTACATGTACCTATTTTATTTGCTGCCTTGGGGTTTATTCGAGGAACTCAGGGGGGGTACCTCCGAAAGATTCTCGCTGGCAAGCATCCAAAACAGAAATCTCAGCATCCAAACCTACTAATATTAGCAGATGATACGTTGTTATTTCCCGATTGGGCGAGCTAGGGGTTCGAATATGGGAGTGGCCGTGTCCATGTGGGAATCTAATGCCAATGGCATGCTCTTCCCTCATATCAAACAGAAAATTGTTGTACAGGCGTGTTTCTTGCAGCATCGGGCTTTTGCTCTCAGGCTGCTTAGCAGGGCGCGTGGTGCGTACAGTCAGCCACAGTTATTGTCGTACACATCTAGTCATGTCGTAATTCAAGCATTCGAATTCGTCCGAAAGGGACGCATTGCTGGATGTGAGGCAAGGAAAGATTATTATTTGAAGAACCAGAACCAGATCGGTCAGATCTCATATAGACTAGCATTATCCGTTTTCAGGGTGGTATAAAGGGCGATATGTATGTGGAATCTCCCACATTTCGGTGAGGATCGCCGTCCACGTTCAACCTATCAAAATTTAGAATTCAGACCCCATGGCGCATTAAAATAATTAGCTACTCATGGCCGCGGGCCCTCATGGCTCAAGAGCGGATATAACTGTGAATGTTGTGGGGAGGAATATAGACCAGACTGACGGAGGTGGTTTGCACTTTACCACAGAATACACCGTTGCAGCAAATGCAATAATACGAACCAAGTTAAGAAGTATCTGGGAGACTGCGGATATTGAGCCGAAGGGGCAGACGGACCAGAAGCCCCAGGGCCAACACCTATTGTCGTTCATCGGCTCCGTATGTCCACAAACGCTATGCCCGCTAACAAATATTTCCCCCCTCAGGGTACATAAATCTCCAACAAACCAAATCAACCCAGAAGCAGGCCAAACAAAACCAAAGAGATGGACACCGGTGAATGCCAGGCTGGGTGGCAGTATGGCTTAGTGCAGGTGGATAGTGGTTGTGGTGATGGGGTCTCGGTCACCATTATCTGCAATGGCAAGCGCATCATTGTGAGCTTCCAACCCTCTGAGTCCCTAGACGGCACCATAGAGGGACCTCTGATCACGCGCTACGAGGCGGCTTGTCAGGATGAGGATGAGGATGAGGAAGATGCTGCCCAGCAGGAAATTGATGACATGATTTATACCGTGGGAAAGCCTATCTTTGCTCGGCTCGCATCGCCTATTGCCAAGAATCTGCTCTACCCGGAAACCATTTTCATGCGCTCCGCGACGATCAATGGGAAAGCAGGGATTTTGGAGCAAGAACATGGTTCTCACCCTGAGCAGAATCATCCTCCTCCTCCACTTCAAATCAACAACGATTTAGGGTTGCCCAAATTCTCATCGAATGATATTCAAGTCTTGGAGAACTTCATGGGTCAAGGTGAAATTACTCGAGTGTTGGTAGATGGACAGGAGAGGTGTTGCAAGAGTGGAGGGCCTTTCAACTGGGAAGCAGTAGCACGGGAAGCTGATTGTCTCTGGAAAGTCGCACGCTCTGAACACGCCTTATCTATTCGAGTACCGAAATTGACGGGTCTTGTTACATCAGCTGATAATGGGCAAACTATTGGGATCCTGGAAGAGTATATACCGACCGATCTGAAGGATCTGTCTACGTTACGAGACGTAGACACTGCTATAATTGACCTTTCACGGAGGAAGAAGTGGTCATCTCAGATTCGAGAGATGGTTCATTTGATGCATGAGATTGGTGTTGTGTGGGGTAATGGGAAGCCGCGTAATGTTCTTATCCATAAGGATACAGACGATGCTTGGCTCATAGATTTTGGAGGTGGCTGGACAGATGGCTGGGTGGATGAGGATTTAAAGGAAACACGAGAGGGAGATGAACAAAGCTGTTAAGAGAATTGCTGAATTTTTGGGCGTTGAGGTAAATGTCTTCATTTTGTAAGCCAAACCCAAAGGTGCTCATTAACATTACGAGCTTTACCCGGGATAATATACTCTATTGCAGCCTTCATATTGTATATTTAGCAGATTGAAGTGAAGAGGGAAATTAAAGAGATTGAGCAATAGTGTTAGGCTCCTCTTTAAGGATCTATCTAGACTTTGGAGTTGGAAGGAAAAGTGACTGTGGCTGAGAAGTATTATTGAGCTGCAATGGTGCCTCAGGCTCAAATTTTCAGATTCTGGAAACATAACACGTGAGCTAAATTTGCTTACTCACCCTAATTTTTCGGCGTTGGAGCTCCAATCTTCTCTGCGTTCTATCTTCACTCGACCCGTGACCTGTGACTACCGTGAATTCAAATTGCGATGGACCCGGTCAACTGTTGTTATAATAGGATAATAAACTCCCGCTCCTAATGCCATAATGTAATATTCGGCCAAAGTTATGGCAGACTTCGATATCTCTGCCACCTTCATCCCCTCGCTTCACAAGCCTGCTTCACTACTTCCCATTGCCCGGCATAGGCAGAGCCTACTCTATCTCATAGAGACAAACCCGGTCACAATTGTCATTGGGCATACAGGCTCTGGAAAAACAACCCAGATCCCTCAATATCTTGAGCAAGCAGGATGGTGCGGGGATGGCAAAGTCATTGCTGTCACTCAGGTATGTCATCATTTCTGCCCCGTACTGAGATACGTGCTAACCACCTGCAGCCTCGGCGAGTAGCAGCAACTACAGTTGCTATCCGGGTGGCCGAAGAAATGGGTTGCAAACTCGGTGAAGAAGTGGGCTATTCCATTCGTTTCGAGGATGTCACTTCTGGCAAAACCCGCATCAAATTCTTGACGGATGGCTTATTGCTCAGAGAAGCTCTTGTCGATCCCTTATTATCGCGGTATTCCGTGATAATGGTTGATGAAGCTCATGAGAGATCGCTGAGTACTGATGTTCTTCTTGGGGTGCTGAAGAAGATCCTAAAAAGAAGGCCGAATGATCTTCGGATTATTATTAGTAGTGCAACTTTGCAGGCTGAGGACTTCCTCAGGTTTTTTGGGAGAGATATGACTGTCCAGCTAAAGCCGGCTGCTCCAGATGCTGTTACTTTAGACGAATTGATCTCTCAAGGCGGTGCAAACCCTAAAAGTGTTGACAGTACACTTGGTGGCCCTGTTGGGCAGATCATCAGCATCGAGGGAAGAATGTTCCCGGTCGATATCCTCTACTTGGAAGCACCCACTGAAGATTATGTCGAAAAAGCCGTCCAAACCGTTTTTGATATCCATACACAGGAACTAGATGGAGACATTTTAGTCTTTCTGACAGGACGAGAGGAGATCGACACGGCTGTGCAAGCAATATCTGAACGGGCAGCCGCTCTACATCCCCGGGCACAAACACTGATGCCACTCCCACTATACGCTGGCCTCTCAACAGAGCAGCAAATGTACGTCTTTGAAGAAGCACCCGAAAACACGAGGAAGGTCATCCTCTCTACAAACATCGCGGAAGCATCGGTCACGATTGACGGAATAGTATACGTCATAGATAGCGGATTCGCGAAACTACGTGCTTTCAATCCCTTGACGGGAATCGAGACTTTGACATCTACGCCTGTTTCCAAAGCATCAGCTACCCAGAGAGCTGGTCGTGCCGGACGAACTAGACCTGGAAAGTGTTACCGGCTTTACACCGAGGCCAGTTACCAGTTACTCGAAGAAGCCACCGTACCAGAAGTACAAAGATCGAACCTCGCTCCAGCAATCCTACAACTCAAAGCCCTGGGCATCGACAACATTGTCCGATTTGATTTCATCACCTCCCCGCCTTCAGAACTAATCACCCGCGCCCTCGAACTCCTCTATTCCCTCGGCGCTCTGGATGACTACGCTAAACTAACCAGACCCCTTGGAATCCGCATGGCTGAACTTGCCGTCGAGCCTATGATGGCAAAAACCCTACTCTCCGCACCATCCTTCGGATGTCTTAGTGAGATATTAAGCATAGCCGCTATGACAAGTCTCGGTGGAAACATCTGGTTTCACCACGACGGCGAGAAGAAGAAAATGGAAAGTGCTCGGCGGAAATTCGCCGTCGAGGAGGGCGACCACATCACGCTATTGAACGTCTACCAGGCATTCGTGACAAAGGGCAAGAAAGAAGCTCGATTCTGTCACGATAATTATCTCAATTTCAAAGCCCTCACCAGAGCTGTGAGTATACGTGCCCAGTTAAAACGGTATATTGAAAGATTCGGCATCTCCGTCGATGAAGCCCTCTCGTCCAACCCCAACAAACATGTCTTAGCCGTAGGCGGACCAGATAAAAGCGAGCAGATCCGTCGATGCCTTACCACGGGATATTTTGCTCATGCGGCAAAGATGCAACCTGATGGTACCTTTAGGAATGTTGCGGGCGGAACGGTACTTCATGCTCATCCGAGCTCGTTGATGTTTAATAGGAAGGCGGATTGGGTAGTATTTCATGAGGTTATGGAGACCGGGGGGAAGACGTACATTAGAGATGCTAGTAGGATTGAGAAGGGATGGTTGGTGGAGTATGCGCCGGAGTTTTATAAGATACGGTGATAGCTATAGGGGCGAATTTGTAAACCCGACATAAAATCTATAAGCCCTTGATCCGGGGTGTGTTTAGATCGAACAACTTTGACAGACCCCCACTGATTCGTTCAAAGAAAGACCCTTCGTTCTGATGCGTATTTATTGAGTAATTTACAATCTCGCTATGAGATATCAAATCTCGGACAAACCTGTCCTCTCCATCCAAAACTGGCATTCCTCCTTCGCCCACAGATCATCCACAATCTTCACCACCACCCCCTTCTGGTTCCCACTCGCAAGCTCATCATTCCCTTCCCCAAAAAGCGCGACCTTCCCCACTCCCTGTGCATAATCATACTTCGGCCACGTAGGTCTCTCCTTGGCCAAACCTCCCTCAGTATTCGGATCCCCGGTAGTGATAAAACTCGTCCAATATGCATGCATATTCGCCGAGATTTCCATTACACTGGGCGAGACGTTTCGGATTTCCTGGCTATAGGTGACGAAATCGTTATGGTCCCCATGATCCGCACCGCCATCTTTCCTGCCAGTCACGGCATAGTGGTATAGATATACCGGTGCGGGTCCTTTGGATGCAAAGCGCGCCGTTTGTCGGACAGGGGCGATGTATGCGTAGTGTCCATATGCTTGTTCCGTGCGGAAGAATTGCGCGCCGAGTCCAATGTTCTTCCTCGTTTCGGTATAAGGGGAGGAGGGGTGGGTGATAGGGTCGGGATATACTTTACCTAAGGCTTCGAGATCATCAGGGGAGAAGGTCGGTAGCAGAGTTGCGAAGAAGGATGTGAATTGTGCGGAGGTGGAGATAGTTGGTTCGATGAAAATTGCGCCCTCGTTGGTGTTGAATCCTGTTAGGATGGGTACTTGGTGCCATTTTCCCGCTTGCCAGGCTTTGATAGGGGCTATGGGGATTATGCCGCCTTCACCGTCGATGACGGGTTGGAAGGGCCAACGGACGGAGGTGTCGTATTTTCCATAGATAGTTTCTGAAGCTGCCTTGATTTTAGACCAAGGTAAGGCACGGAGCTGGTCTATTAGCTTGTCAGAAGGGACATCCAGGAGACCTGCATGCGAGATGAATTCTTGGAATTGCGTCTCAAAGAGGGAGTTGTCGTAGGGTCGAACGGCTCGCGCGGTGGCGCCGCCGGATTCTATAATTGCTTTGTGGAACAGAGGAGGTTTATCGGGATTATTTAAGAGATGATGTCCAACCTATATAATGTTAGCTTTAACTGCATGAAATGAAACTTGAACCGGCGAGAAGCGGTTGTGAGACAGTGTGGCTTCCATATGTGACTAGTTTTCCATGATCATTGAACAAGGACAACACTTCTATATCCACATCCAACCAGCCATAGGGAATCCACCAACTCTTGAAGAGGGAAGGGAAATGGAGCGGCTTACGGAATGTGCCCCGGCACTACTGCCCATGATCGTAACATCATCCGGATCTCCCCCAAACGCAGCAATATTATCCTTAACCCATTGCAACAGGAGCTGCTGATCCTTCAGTCCAACATTCAAAAGTCCCTCCTTTCCCATCAGCTTCGAAGAGAGGAATCCAAATGCCCCAAGGCGGTAGTTGAAGCTAATTCCGATGAAGGGCTTCTTAGACCACGCTACGAACGACGATATCTGTCTGTTATTTCCCGCACCGAAGTTGAACGAGCCCCCATGTATATGCACTAAAACAGGGAGTTTGGCTCTTCCATACTGTATACCTGGACGGTAGATGTTGAGGTTAAGGCAATCCTCACCCAGGGGCGTCTCATCCGCATCACCGGCAGGACACCGGTACCCATACTGCCCAGCATCAAACTCTCCATTTGAGGCTCCGACAGGGACAGGTGGTCTAAAACGTCTCTCGCCAGCTGTGGATAAGGCGTATGGAATGCCGAGGAACTCATCGAGCACCTGGGGGGACTTCCCATGGTTCCGGTCAGACCTGGCGCCGACGATGGTGCCTTGTCGTATGGTCACTCGCGGTCTGCTAGCACTGTCTGGCATGGTGGGCAGCGGTAATATCTTGTCTCCCCGCGGACGGTAGATTAAGACCCATGAAATCAGGACTCCTAACGTAAATATGCTGCCTACCCACGTGGACTGTCTGCGGAGGTTCTTCGACGTGGTGGTCATGTTTGATGCTAAAGGTTACGGCTGCCAGACTTTTATCCGAGATGGGCCGTTGTGATTCCGGGCTGCATCCCTGACCAGAGAACACGCGATTCACTCTCTCCAGGCCAACGAAGGTTCAACTCCAATCTTCTCGGTGGCCATTATTGGATTATGAAGGATACGAGATGGCAGACTCTAGAAGGATGAAGTTGCGGCCGAGTCACTAAGTTCGGCACTGGGGATCCTCATGCCCTGACTGGTTCGCATAGATTGGGTGCAACCTCACCACGAACCTTTACCTGCTTGTCAGGACGAAGCATCGGGAATCCATTTCATTTACTGCACTCTTAGGATGGTTAGGGCTCTACCACCAGTTTGTAACAGATTCTTAGTGAATACATGGGAAATATAGTTGGGGGCACAGGATGATTTGGGATTGCAGGTCGAATGACTACTTTTAATTTTGTAATTTATGAGGAAAGGTACTTGAGAGACCTTCACACTCTGCAGAAGCACTACTTTCAGACCGCTATCACTACAGTTTCCGTGCGATCGATTCACCGATCTCTGGCGTCAAGGTGTGCTAACGCCGATGACCTAGTAGGTTCAACCCGCTAATAATAAGACCAAAAAATCCGAACTCCCTTACACCACACCGAGGGGTATGATAGCAAATAACTCCCGTCGCCGCAGACGCTTAGCCATGAACGCGAAGCAACAAAAAACCTCCCAAGTACAACTTACACGCAATTATCCCTTCAATCCCGCTTGGCTAGCTGGACTATTATCAGGAACCATACCCTTACCAGCCTCAACTAGCTTCTTTACCTTCTGTCTCTCTGCCCACTCTCTGCTAGCCTGGCGCCCTCGCTCAGCAGCCTCTGCCCTTGCGCGCTTAGCAGCAGCCTCACGTTCCAGCCTCTCCTTTTCTATGTCTTCTGTCAATCTAGCATCTCGATTATAAATCTCCTTGGCACGTTGACGCTGAATTTGGACCTCTTTGGTAGAGACAGTTCGTTGCAAAGTAAGACCGCTCATGGAAGGACCACTTGTTGTGGAGGGCTTGCGAGTTGGCTGTCCCTTCGATCCGGGAGCACGAGGAGCCGATATGTTGGGTTGGTTGAGCAGCTGCGATACACGACGAGCAACGGCCACAGAATTTCTCTTGGTTACCGAAAGTTCACCGGCTTCCATATTATCGAGGCCAATGTAACTCTGTCGAGCACGGCTTGCAACATTACCACGAGGCATATGCTCGGGCACGATGCTTTTCCGGACTGGTTTAGCTTTGAACTCACGACGCTTGCGCTCTTCTTCTTCTTGCGCTTTAAGACGCGCTTCATGAGCTTCTCTTTTCCTTCGCGATATTGCCTCTCCAGGAAGCTCGAAAGTCGGCTTGGTCGGCGGCTTATAGGGCGTGGTGGCTTTGGGAGCGGTGACGGTTTTTGCGATAGCATCTTCATTAGCCTCTCGTTGCGCAAGACGAGCCTCCCGTTGTTCCTTCAACCTACGAGAAATAGCCTCCCCTGGGAGCTCAAATGTCGGGCGGGTAGGCGGTTTGGTTGATTTGGCAGGCTGCTTTGGCGGGAGAAGACTAACTGGACGTTTGGGGGGTGCTTTGGAAGCCGACTCTACCTTCCTTTGCGCGACGACTAGTTTTTTATTCTCGGCGACAACTGGGTGGAATGTCATCGAGGTAGCTTTCTTAAGATTAGGTGGTTGCCTTGGCGCTGTTGATTTCACTCGCATGGAAGCATAACCGGCGTTTTGTGACTTCTGCTTCGATGGTCTTAACTCGTGAGTAGCCTGAGCGAGGGCATTATGCGATGCCATTATTTGATCTCGCTGAGCCTTGCTACCAAGCTGTGTTGAAGTTTCTCCTCGCCGGGCTTTTGCTCTTATCTTCTCGGGCGAGACTATATGTTCGGCCAGTGCAGCTTGGTCAAGAGCATCGATAGCTTCTTCGAGCTTGTCCAGAGCTTCAACTGAGTCTTCAATGCGGGAGACCGGCTTTGCTGGCGATCGACAAGTAATCTGTTCGATAAAAGAATCCTCATCGCTGATATCGGCGGTAGTTGAATCATTTTGTTCTCCACAAGAACGTTCGACTTCTTCGAGTGTCTTAACTGGCGATTTAAGTTGGGTCCTAATAGCGTCATTTGGCTCCGCCACCATATCCTGAATGGTGTCTTCTGACGAGAGGGAGTCTTCCCGAGTCTGGTCACCTAGCCTGAACAGAGACTTGACTTCTGGTGTAGATTTTATTCCTGCATCCTCAGCTAAATATAAATAATAATCAGCCAAGGCCTCTGTAGATGTCGGCGTTATATCATGGAGGGTGGTATTATCATCGATTGGGACATTCCGAGCTCGAGAGGACCCAGCACGACGACCTCCAAAAAGTGAAGTAATGAGAGAATAGTCCGGTTGGCGGCGCTCATTCATCGAAGATGGACCATACCTACGTAGTAAAACTGACGAATAATACTGACCTACTTGTTGCTTTGCCAATTGCTGTCGGGTTGCTCGTCTCGTTGTTGCTAGAGGGTCTGGTGCCTGATGCACTAATAACCCTACTGTTAGATCCACGGTGGTTGAGTTATTGAGGAGAGAAGCCACGCTACCTTCAATGGCCGGAGCTGGTGGGCAGACGGCCTCAGAGTCGATATTTTCTGGTTGGTTTTCCCCATTTTCCACAGTATGTCCTTCGTCAACTGCCTCCCGTTGTTCTTCTTGGTGACCCGTCCTCTTATTCCTAGGCTTTCTAATCCTCTTTCCAGAGCTAATGGCATCTCGGTAGGCGGCTTTTAACTGCTTTAATTGGGCAGGAATAGAAGAGCCCTCCACGGTCATAGTATCGGCCCCCCCTTCGTGGTTGGTGAGTTCGGTCAAAGGCTGACCTTTCGCGGAAATGTCGAGTAATGGTTCCTGAGTTGCAATGGCAGTATTGTCTTCGGCGATATTTATTTTTCGCGATCGAGTCACGCGAGCCATATTATTGCGGGGAATAGACTCGAAGTTCAATTGATTGGGAAATTGAGATATGCTGCCGTGGTCATGTCTCGGAGGTCTGAACGCGAACAAAATCGGTGCAGAATCAAGCCACAGCAAAAGCAGTTGAAGGAGTTTCAAATTTCTTTATGGATACTTCGATGTTGAAGTAATTGGGATGTGATAGAGCGAATTGTATTGTCAGTGCACTCACTTATCGATTGTGGAGAGTCAGGATGTCCATGTCCATGCGAAACGATCAATATGTGACTTCCTAAGATCTCTGGAGATTGGAGTTGGATGCGAAAACAGGCTAAATCACCATGGCAACGCGCCACAGGAAAGAACCGACGCGACACTTTTCGCGGACTTCCGAGACCGCGTCGCGATATGCGAGGTTCTACCCTCTACCAAGTACTCTGTACCATACCTCACTTCGCCATCTACCAGAACAAGTACAGGCACAAAGTGTAATAGAGGGTCCTGGGGGAATATATACTCCTTTATATATTTTTCAAGGCATTAGAGTACGCCCCTATTTCCGTCTTCCAGCAATGGTCCAAAATGGCATCCATCCATACTCCTATGAAGCTTTCATTCACTAACGCCTTGCCTATGCCCATGCCCATGTCCATACTCAAAAGCAATTCATGATTCATTTTTACATCTTCCAGACATAATGGGTAGCATATATCATTCCTCAGTACCTTTCCCGCCGGAACTTGATTGTTGTAGCATCGGCGCATGCTCTGTTGGTATCCTCACAAGAGTCTGGGGTAATTCCACATCAGAGTCGCTTTGCTTCTGTGGGCCGTCGCCCTCATCGCCCTCTGTGTTCTTTGGTTTCGGGATTTTCACTGGGTCGATGTTAGATCCTGAATATGAAGAGCTCGGGAGATGGGCAGCCTTACTTGACGCCATGCTAATTGCCCGGAGAACATTCTGCCAGTTTCCTAACACGGTGGCCACAGCTAGAAGAAGCACAATTAGATAGCTGAATTCCTGTAATTCTGTACTACTCATACCTTCTGTGCCATCTGAAAGCGTCGACAGTTTCTCTTCAAGCATCTGCATCTGCCCTGCCAACCCCGCGCTAAGGTCTCTCAGCTGTTTTAGATTCTCTAGTTCTGCCTTCTTTTCATTTATTCGTGCTACTAATATGGGGGATTGACCAGTTGATGCTGAGTTTGGGTTCCCTGACGTCGACGCTTGCCGTAGATGTGAAGTGAGGGGTCGATAAGACATGCTGATTGCGTTGTGGTGAGCTTCAGGAAAGTCCAAGGAGTTGCGAGGTTCGGGACTCGAGTATCGATACTCCTTAAAGGCAGCTCAATGCCCTTTTATTAACTATATGGTAGCGCAAGCAGTTTATGATTTGATCAGATTTGATAGTTGAATGCGACCTCGCCACTTCGCCAGTCGCATCGGTGATCGGGTCTCACAGGGGTCTAATTCGGCCTAACCGCTTTGATCTGAAAGTAAACATTACCATTTCCCCAGCGCAAAGTCTTTGATTGTCCATTCCCAAAGCTTCAATCACGACCACGACGTTTACTTTGGCATGCTTCCCGGCTTGATTTTGGGCTCGGGCTAGAAAACACCTCAAATTCGAGCATCATACGTACAATAACTGGCATACCTCCCCGCATGATACCTTCCGATGGCCCGCCTGAACGAGGTTCCAGCCTCGACTGAATGCATTGAGTCTCGTAAGTTCTGTCCCTTTCACCTTGCGCACCGTATGTTGACATGAAGTGTAGTCAAGCGAAAGTTTATGAGGCAAAATCGCGATATTGCTAGAGTCAATTCGGCACAGTCACTTCGAATCCGAAACCTCGAGAATGAGACTTCCAGGTTGCTGGCCGAAAATCTCGGCCTACAAGCGCAAATATTGCGACTTCGGGGCGAATTAGAAAACGGACAGGCGCAAAGGCTGGCAGATCATACGCAGGATGTGAAGTTTCAGCTCGAAAGTAAATTATTAGAGATTGGCGCAATTATAAATACCCTGCGAGACGACCCACCCCGAAAGAAGAGGTCACCACAGGCAGAAAAGAATACAAGAACAAGCCCATCTCGAAGCCCCGATCAGATCAATTGGAAGAATATGTGCACTCTTAGTGAAGCCATTGGAGGCCAAGATGGCAAGTTGCCTACAATTGTGGAGGGTAAATCTTATCCACGAAAGACCTTAGAGTAAGTTTCGAGAATATTTCTTTCCATCACCAGAACATTTATGCTAATTTAGCAGCCATCGAGAACTTGTGGAAATCATATCGGAGATGGATGCAGGAGTGGATACGACGGGCTCCCCAGAGATTGGATCACCACCAGTATCGCAATTCGTCAATGAAGACCCAGTCAAGATCGACCTTCCACAGCGGCCACACAGAAATGTCTCCGATGACACGATTAATATTGACCCTACCTTATCTATCAACCTGGAGCAGCGGAGGAAGCGGAAGGACAGCTCAAGCTCAGGCGATCCTAATCTCGTCACCAATGCTGAACCTGCTCAGAAAGGTCAAGAAATCAAGGGATCCCTCAAGACAGGAGCGAAACGGAAATTCAGTGTCAGGGAGGATGAAGACCACCAAAGTCGAGCTGGATCTCGGATTGACAGCTCACCTGATAATTTCGAGTTCACCCGCGTGGTCAGCGATGACAGACCAAAAAATAAAACTACACCACTCCCAGAGAAATCGGGGACGAAACTTACGAGGGAGCTTGCTGTTGCCAAAGGAGTTGCTCGTGAGAAGCGCTCCAGCACTGCTGTTTCGACAAGCAGGAAAGCTCTGGCGCCGAAGAGTATCAATAACTCTCCTCACAAAGCTACGAAAGTCCAGCTCCAAGACGAAATGAAGACTAGGAAACCTGATCCCCCCAAATTCAACCCATTGAGGGAACGTTTAAAGGATAGTGAACCAGAACATATTCAAGTTGAGCATAAAAATGAGCCTTTGTTGGATACCATTGGGCTCAGGCCCGAGCCTGAAACCCCGGCAGCTGTCGATATCCTCTCGCCACTATCACAGCCTTCAACGGCCCGAGCCGAAACTCGGGACACCCCTCCTCCCCCTGATCTAGGCTCGGGAATCGACGGTCATCGACCTAGTCGGAGGGCTCGCGGTGCTGTCAGTTACGCAGAACCGAACCTCCGTGACAAGATGCGGAGACCAACAAAGGATTTGATCGATGCAGTGACTGGAGAAAGCAAGTCTCGCCAAAGCATTTCCTCTAAACTAGCAGGAGAAGGTACATCAATCTCATCGACGATTAAGACGGAGGTAGAGGAAGAAGACAGCTGGAAAAGAATGCCGCTTGCATCGTCAGCTACCGTGGAAAATAGCCCTCTCAGGAGCAAGGCCCCGGAGCCCGAGTCTAACGATTTACCCAGTAGCATTACTACTCACCGAAAGAGGCGAGAGTCAATTCTTCACCAAGTGCAACTAGACCTTAATAAATCAGGGTCAGAGACTGCCATATCAGCGCTCATAGCGGAACACAGGAAAGCCAAGGCTGCGGCCAGAGAGAAGGCGCTTGAGAAAGAAGGCACCCTGGCAAAGGCTATGGAAAAAATTGATATATACGACTTTAATGGTTCCTCGCCTTCGGAAGCTCCGGTCAAAAAGGTTGTGAAGGAAGAAAGGACAGTGTCAAGGTCGTCGAGGAGACAGTCCTCCATTCCACAAGATATTGAAGCTGCCGGGGATGGAGAAGCTTCCGATATTGAAGCCCCAAAGAGCAGGGGAGTGACCGCAAACCGTCGAAGACAATCTACGCTAGGCTTGAGAAATCCATCAACAAACGCACAGCCCGCGCATGAGAGGCACGCAGCGGCCAAGAAAGTTCAGAAATCCATAAGTATGGCTGATTTAGCTACTGGAGACACAAGGGGCGACAGGATATCGGCGAGGAGGAGAAGTATGATGTTATGAAAAATTTGATGACAGTTGATATGGGCGTTCAATACCCGAACTTAGGGGGTTTCTTGTATACTTTCCAGCGTTTTGTGAGCGTGTTGGGGCCCCTTTTCCCTTTGTTATGATTCTGATAGGTGATTGCGGTCAGATTAACGTTAATGATTGATTGATTAATATGATACGATACCAATAAAGTTGTTCCTAATCCTTTTGTCTGGGAAGTCTAGATAACTCTGCCAAACCTTATTTTCTAGCTGTAGGGGACTACTTGATAATATCACAACCATAGGAGTAGGATGGCACGCATGGATAGAAGAGGCGCTTGGTTGCTGGTTCTAATTTAATACACTAGTACTATGGAATATAATGTTCATCAATGGCAGCTTAGAATCCACCTATGCTTTGCTCAGAATTAGCACATCCCGTGGGGAAGTGTGTTTGCTGGACTTCCATGCCGTATGGATCACGTGGGACTTAGACAATAAACGACCATCCACAGAGACGAGTAATATAAGATGTGATGCGTGTTTGCTAATTAGCATAGTGGTATTGTATAGAGCCAAGGCTCTAAGAAGCCCCTTGTCGATAGTTCGATAATGCTTGGAGGCAATAGCCTACTTCACGCATTAATTAATCCTCGCATTAGATGCGGCGGTTATCGTGTCGATACTCTTCATCCCTACGCAGCGTATCAGGTGCGGAAGGCATAGATAGCTGCACGGTGCCCTTCATGTCATGAACCCCCTTTTAGACTCTATTAAAGGAGACTCCCCATATTATTTTTCTGTCATGAGCCCCCCACAACCTTGGTGTATGTAATCTTTTCCACATTGACGCTCTCAACCCCATTCGCATCTTTCCTGAGTTGATAGACATAAAGTGTCAGTCCAATTCCTTGCACCTATTACACCACAATTGTCAGCAAACCCCAGCCTTCAACCTCCATTTCCAAACTCCTCAGGCGACACAGGACAATCAGCACTCACATCCATCAAGCAGAAGCTCGGCACTACATCCTCTCCTTCCGCAGTCCACCCCGTAGAAAACGCCCCTGTCGCACTCCCTGGATTCACAAAAAACTTGTTTTCATACTCAAACGCATCAAAGCGATGCGTTCCGCCCCAGCATAGCACATCCACATCCATCTTATTCGCCTCAGCTAGCATGAGATCCATTTCCATTGGGGCGACCATTGAAAAGCCCTCGAGGAACCCAATCTTGAGAGATCCATGTGTGACTGTCTGCGCAAGCGGTAATGAGGTCGCGTCTGCATCGAAACGGCCTTTGACTATTTTGAGGTCCGGTGAGATGCTGCGGAGGTATTCATAGGTGGGCTTGTCGGTGAGGTTTCCGAGGCAAAGGGTCTGGCCAATTTTACCCGGAGTGAGGAGCTTTTTGAACTGTACAGTGAAGAAGAAAATTAGTGACATATCGCAGAGAGAAGCATGGGGTAGTCTGATTACTTTGGGTGGGATGTCTATTGCTCGGTCTGGGATATGGAGGTCCCCAATCACAAGGACTAGGCGGGAAGTCATATTTGCGGCGGGAGAATTACGAGGTATCGGGAGGTGCTATGGCGCAATCATAGATTGTATTGGCCGCCCTCTTCCTCTAGATTGCAGATGAAGGGTTTCTCTTATTTCAGTGCTGGCTGTGCTGGCTTCAGCGCAGTGTGTTTGCTTGGGAGGGTCCGATGTAGTTGATAAGCTACGTACTACCGTTGAGTTTGTCATGTTTGCTCTGCACCCAACTCATCACGTGCATGCTGTTGATACTTTCAAGAGTCTCAGTCCAATATATTCTCTGTGTGCACGCCCATTCTATTATATTTCAGCTTATAGATACTGCCTTTGGCTGCTTCTTTGAACACTTCGATTATAATGGAAGTTGGCTACTTTTCCAGTACCTACTGCGTGCTATGCATGGGGTTTTGTCAATCCCACATACTCGGGACTAACGGCAATGATCCACCAACGTTTTACCGACTTAATATGGCTAAATAACGCAAATCTTTCACAACAGGAAGCAAACATCTTTCTCTCCATCTTTGATGGTCTAGTGGTTATGATTTCCGCTTGTCATAATATGACAAGTCGCGGGAGACCGGGGTTCGATTCCCCGTCAGAGAGAATTGTATTTTTTTTCGTCTTCTACTTTACAAGTAGAATATTCAATAAAGGCCCAAATTGTTTCGAGAATCTGTTGTATCTTTTTTTTGTCTTCTTTTGCTGTCCCAGAACAACGTGGCAAATCCATAGATAGGCGAGAGAGAATTTTCTCATGTTTAGCCAAGCACAGCTGTGGGGCCCCACTTTTGCCTATCGCGAAACGAGTAGCAAGATCATTTGCACTTTTGTAGCTTTATTATCTACGTGAAATAGGCATCGATTTTCCGTCAATTTAAAGAACCCTTGGAGTGTATAAGTAGCCTACCAGGTAATTTTTATTTGCTTTGATTATGTACCTGGATGGCCATGATGACCAGGGAAGAAAAGGGGCGTAAGCGAGAAAGGGGTGATTGTCTCCGTGCTGAAATACCATTTAACGACGACTAAAGCTATGGATTCTTTAAATCAATGTTAAATATTCAATAGAATTGAATCAAAATCGTTGAGAATCTTATTGATATTTGGGGATGCGAATCAAATTATGGTTTGGGGGACTTCGGCGTTAAGAGTAGTTCCCAACCCCTTCTTTGAAACCCACGATTCACAGCTGTACTCGAATCTTACATGACTTGCCATTCAGGTTTGATTAATTACTTTCCTCACTCCTTTTATTATTACAAAGTCATCAGGTCCAAACTCTCATAGGCTTCCGTATACCTTTTGTAAGCTCACTCGCAGCCCCTGTTTGACAATGGCTCTGTTGGACCTTCAAATCTACGATGGCACGGATACTAGCCGTTCCCTCCGCTACTAACTATAGAATAAATATCGAGGCATAAATGCGGTAATCCAAACCCCCCCCGTTTCGCACTAAAGCCGAGGGCGGACAAGCGATGCCATAATTTGGAACGTTTCTATGGAGTTATATTGATCTAGCTCAGGGCAGATTCTTAAGGTTATGAGATGGAGCTAATCACACTCGCGATGGTATAAAGAAGAGGGAGAGGTAAATGCTGCATTGCTGATAAAGGCATTAAGAGCGGTGTTGGTGGAGAAATGAATGACGGGGAAGAATGAGGCAGTGAGGTTGATAATAGTGAAGGGGGTGTTGAAGGCATAAATGAAGAAAGGCTTCAGCAGGAGTGCCCAATGCCGCTGTTGGCAGGCTTCTTGGGCTATTCTTTTGCCGCTACAGCAAGCAGCAGTAGCATCTCGCCGATGGCCAGCCTAGCTAGCCCCTGCTACCATAACATCCTTAGAATTTTCGCTAGCAGTCGAAGGCCACTTACCTTTCAAAGGATACACCCTGAATAATCTCCCCGCACTCACCTCCACACTCATCTATACCGAGCGACTCCACCTTTTGGTATACTCCATTCCATCCTGCGCTTATACCCGGCCTAATATTCCCCATCGTTCGGCTAAGCAACAATATTGCTATTTCAACCTCGCATGGCGCCTATCACCAGTGGGCGAGTCAAGATGTCGTCCCCGAAACACTTTATCCCACGCAATCTCGTGAATTCGGCCCTAAAGGCATTTCCTAAGAATCCCTGACACTTCAGCGAGGCTATAGTCAGCGGAGGCCCACCGTCGCCCCTCCTCTGCAGGGCAACGATGGCGAGACGGTGTTTCATAATGACGATATTCAATCTCGTCATGGAGGACCACCGCATCCATCAAAGAGCTAGGTGATCATTTGATGCTTGATGTCGATCTAGTGATCCAGTTAGTCAAAGTCAAGGACAGCATGGCCAATGCTCAATACCGGTTGTCCTTTGTTCATCATCCAGTCGATAAGCACGCGATCAGATAGCTAGGCATCCCCACCAAGGTCTGAACTACCCGTTCGTTGCCACAGAAATGGAACGTAGATTTGCTTCTAGAGGTGTTATCAAAATGGCTCGCCCACAAATCGCGGCCTAGCCGGCTACAGCGGTTGCTTGAGAAGACATCGAGGTAAACTAGAAAGAACAAAGTACATTACCTGGTTGTATTGGCACTTCACTACCTCAACCCCCTTCTACGCCCCTAATAGCAGCGTCCCATTCCACCCTCTATACACACACCATACGGAGTACTAGACCAGAGAAAGTTACACCAGGATCATACATGATCTGTGTTGATCAATGTCTCCCCGATAATCTTGCAATTTAGGCCCACAGCCTTGCAAACTCCTACTCATTTCAAGCAAGTTTTCCACTTACGTACATGGCTGCCGAAAAGGCTAAGATGTCAACCATTCGATTATCTCCCCATAACCCGGGGACGATGTATCCACGATACGGCACCCGACGATTGCTAATAGCATGGGAGATTCGGTTGAGCTTGTGTGACCAACAAAGAGTTTGTCGATCCATATGCAGCAGTCCGGCGTCACGACAGGATGTCTCAAGGCAACCGTTGGTTGATTCGAGGCAGCACTACTCACCTGAATAGCTGACGACGCGGCCTTCTAGCTACAGAGGCAGCTAACCGTATTGTCTTGCATCGGGAGTTACCATGGAGCACGAAGAAGGAAGCAATCTACAGACAAGAGTTCTGCTGTAGTTCATTCGTCCGTATGAAGGACGAGTTCGCAACTTGGAACGAAGCCAGGTTGGAAATCCCTCTGGCCAATGAGTCTGATTGGAGGTAGTTCCTTGAAAGCCTAGTGAGACATTCGAGATCTTCAGTTCGAGGTCATGGGATTGTGGCGGAAGTATCTCCGCACGACGTACTTTGCACGAACCGAACCGTTCGAAATGCGCCCATGGTCGGCCGTTTCCCACGGCACGATTGCAAACGGCATGGACAAGGTCTTGTGTCGCCAGGCGGGGACCAAAACAAGCAAGACAACCAAGTGAAAGCGGGGATGCCCTGCGATGGAGCAGCTCAGCTTCGGGTCGCCTTGCTGTAGAATCGTAGATAACCAAAAAGCAAAATCCTTTCCCAACTTCCCCGGTTGAAACTATTCAGCCCGCTCTGTGCGACTTGAACCCTTAGAAATAAACAAATGTCTTGCGGCATAGGGACAAGCGGGAAAAGATCAACAACACTATTAGTAGAAAAACAATCCCTTACCGGGTAGGGTCATTCTGGAAGGGAGACAGGTCGCTAAAGAGCTCACAATCCAAGACATTCCACGGACCGCTTGAGACGTCTAAAAAAGCAAATTCAGCAACAACCGCATAGCCTGCCGTGCCTGCCTACCTGCGATCGACGGAGAGCACAGAATCCATCGTGGTACAAGCGCCAAAGAATGTTACACAGAATCTGCCACTATTCTTTTTTACTTTTGCACCTGAACCCCGATGATTGGGCAGCTGAGGTGTTTCTGGTGGAAGCCCTCAGATCAAAGGAATTGACATCTGGCACCGCCTAGACACCAGATGCCAGTAGAGGCGCGCGCCACTAGGCGTGTTCCAGACTTGAGGCTTTCTAGGCTGCACTTCCCATCAGCCAGCCACCCATCCAACATCACGGCTCACGGATCACGGCTCTCACAGCTTACGGCTCACCCGCTCCTTGGTTCCTGCAACGGAACGAACGAATTCTCAACTATCGGTTCTACGCATCCCGAATTGGGTCCCGAGCGAGGCGCCCCGTCCGTCGCTGTCTAATTCCAGCAACTGGAATTCTGGGAGCGGTGGAAACGAGCCGTCGGGCACACATTCCAGCAGGGCGCCAAAACGCCAGACGCCAACGACTGAACTGACTGCGACTGGTAAGGAATTGGTAGGGAGAGACCTTTTTTCGGGAAATCACCTGTGGAAATTATTCCTCGAGGGTGGAAACGTTTCATTCCACTCGTCCGTCGTCCTTCCTGACTGCTTACAGCCCAACACGTGGAAAATTTTCGAAAGACATACCCAATATACAATCCTACCTATGAGAAAATTTTCATTCTCCCTTTTCTTTCAGCCCCCTTATCTCACTCGCAGCACCACGAACCAAACACCGAACACCCAGGCTGCAAGCCCCCTTGAGTGACCGGGTCTCCTCCGATGGATGACACACCTCAAGGCCGCAACAGCGTAAATGGCACTTTGTGGCAAGTTTGTGCTTCGTAACGAGGTCGCTCACCCAAACAACACCGAAACCACCCGATGACAAGAAGTATGAAAATTCGGCCCCATCGCTTAGAACACGCTGTTACAGTGGAGACGGTCTCCGATCAGACAGACAGACGTGTAACGTCGATATCCAATGCCAGCCCGGTCCATGAACTGGTCCCAGACAGCGCCCAGCCTTTTGCATCGGTCGTCCTGCATTCCTTCCGTACTGCTGCGTACAGTACCTGAACTGAACCAGAACCAGAACCAGAACCTGCTGCCGCGGGAGTTGCTGCTTGCATCCGCGACTTAGCTCGGCCGCGGCCGTGGAGGAAGCCCTGAGGCAGTGAGGCCGATGGATCAATTACCGGACCATACTCCGTACTCGTTCGTACGCTTAGCAGGACTTCTATTTCTAGGCATATATGAACTTCTGGCATTTTCTTTTCCCTGCATTGCCGAGCGGTGGATGCGATGGATCGAAATTTCCCCGGCAAATGTTTATTTCTTTCTTTTCTTTTCCCCTGTGTTGTTATGGTGGCGTGCGCCCCACGGTCGATCTCTTACAATGTTCAGCCCTGGGAGAGGATCCAGGGCCAGTGGTAGCCCAGGACTCCAGTGTCAGTGCCTAAGGTACCTGGGTACGTACATGTACAGTACCAGGCTCGCGAGCGGGAAGAATGGCGGATAAACGCCCGGGGCATGATAAACCTGGTCCTTTTTTTGAAGACGCGGCCTGTCCGGAGGATTACTCCTTTGAAACCTGCCCTTTAGTTGATTCCTTTGCCTCTCCCCGAAGAGTGAATGAAGGTTTGCCGAGATTGATGATATTAGGAAGTTCTCGATTGAGCGAGTGGGTATTGTACGGGTGCTACGTTATGGTCCTGGTAGAAACCCCGTCGCCCGGCAGTGCAAGCAATGCAGTGTACCTAGTATGTAACTTACAGTATGATTTGATCCATCCCTCTCAGTACCTTTCTCGTGCTTCTGCCAGAATACGTGCTTTTCCCCCTACAGGGCATGCTCAATACTCCGTAATGACAGGCTCTATTACCGCATCTGATGCACTTCCTCCCAGACGTAAAGTAATAATTTATATTATCGCCCTATGGTAATAATTAAAACTTACCAGTAAGGTTTTCCTGTTCGCATGGCTAGGAATTTTTTATGTGGCGTGACGTGGTGTGGTGGTGTTGACTTCCGTCCTATCGCGGATGTTCCTGAAGCTCGTTCGAGCCTGGTTACGGATGAATTGGATACTGCACTGTGGGCATTTTGGCGGCGGCTGCTTCCTGCACCGTCGATCATTCTTGATTGCTTGCGCAACTGGCAATGCTACATTTACGAGGTACACGTTCCTTGCTTTCTTTGTAGTATGAGGCGAGTGAGAAGGTTCTTTTGAGTGCTATGGCATGTTCCTGATTTTTTCTTCTACCGAGATTGATTAATACATACCGAACCTAGGTAAATACATATTTGAGATGCAAAAATGTAATTCCGCCCATTGAAGGCTCCAAGAATAATACCGAGAATGAACGTAGTACGCGGTCTAGATTTCATACCTAAAACTCACCTTGTGAAGATAGCATCGACAAGGACTCCCCTCCTAAAAGACCGCCAACAAACGATTGTTTTGGCAGCAGCCAGCGGCGGTGGATTCCGAAGAGCTGTTCCCCGTCGATAAGGTAACAATTGACTTTTTTTCTCGCCATCGCCATCGAAAGATAAGCGGAGCCCACAACAAGCCCTCAAGTGGAGAGCCCATTCCATTAGTGCAGTTCCGCTATCTGGCGGCTCCGGCCTGGGCCTCTACTCCATGACGTTGACCACAATAATAATAGGCCGTGAATAGCTACCTTACGCCAGTACTACCAATGCCCAAGGAGGCCCCATTATCAAAGTTCACCAATGAGCATATCCTACCGTAACACCAACCGCGACGACTGGCGAAATGGCCCGGGGCCGGGGCCATCAAAGAGATCTCGCGGCCCCCACCGTAAACCCACAAGTACCCGCAATGAGCATTATCATTGCCACCGCAGAAGACGTGATACTCGTTACATCTTGGGTACGTGGCTAGCTGTTTCGCCGTCTTCGCATCATACCATTATGTAGCTAGATATGCCGCGAGCTCCACCCTCTTCCGAGCTGTGGATCATATAGCACAACAGCGCATCCATGACTGAGATTGATCGCCCGACCCTATAGGCGCATCGGCTTTCCCCACGTCGTTGTCGGAGCCTTGTTTCGAGGATGGAGAAGAGAGGGAAAAAATTTCGCCATTGTTCTCCGCTGTCGCGAGGATTTTCATAGGATGCTGTACCTAGGTGCCTGCGTAGTCATTAATACAGTAGACAAGCAGGCAGATAGACGATATTCCATCGTCGCAATGATGCAACTCGTCTCACTCAGTAAGGCAGGCCGGAACGAGACAAACGAAATGAGGCGGGAAAAAATGAATAATAGAGTTTTGCCACTGCCTGCTCAAGCGAGGACATCTGGACGTTTCTAGTAGAAAACTTTGTTTACACGTACCGGATTGTGCGAAGGGATCAAATCTCCGTCTGCGTAGGGACTGCCCCGGTTGGATGACGGATACGTACCGTACGTGCCTTGTGCCTTGGAGGCGAGGAGCGAAACGTCAATCCTTTCTTTCATGCAAGGGCCAAGGGGACCTGGGACATCCGAACAAGTCATCAAATTCATAATGTTTCATGTCACATAATAGAGCATGGTATTAAAGGGAGATGATTTGAGCTGGTAGAGCTCCCAGGACCCGTCATTGGGAAATGACAGGACTGCTGGGGCGAGATTGATTGATTTGCTATACTAGCCTTCCCTCCTTTCTGGCCAGTCTCAGGCTTCCGCCACACCCAAGGCTGCCTTGGGTGTTTGCGATGAACAGGGTACATGATTTGAGGTCGACGCATTCATTTGTATGCGGAATATCCTCTGAAACAAACTATCGTTGACAACACTGAAGCTCCTCAGAGCCAGGAACATGATTGATGAAAGCGCCCCTGTGCTATGATATCCCATATTCCATTTCCATGCTGAACAACGCTCCAATGATATTAAAAAGAAAAATGTGTGTGTGTGTATTGCTTCGTTGTATGGTGAACGTAGCCATTGTTGTTGCTGTCCTGAGGCAACATGAATTCCCTCCATGCTCCAATGTCCGCTGCCCCAGATGACTCGAGGAAACTTTTTATAGCCCAAAAAAATTGTGTGAGATGTGATGATGATGATGCTCCGTAGAATGCTTTTTGTACAACCCGATATTCGTAGATATGCATGTGTGATAGAACGCCGGTCCTTACAAGGACGTGTGAGAGGAGGTATGGGTATTGGTAATGTATCGTTAACGTATTGAAAACATCTTGAGAAAACGCCAGGAAGATGCTATGACTGGTATAAAAATCGGAAATCGTCGACCGCTGATGTGCTCTAGTGGGTTGATTGACGTCTCGAGTATCGAGATTGGTCGAAGGAGCTGGCGTAGGCCCTTAGAGCCTTCCTTGATTCATCGGAGAGCTGAGCTGGGTCTGAAGCTGTGGTCGTGGTCGAGCTCGAGCTCCGCATGGAGAAGAGGCTTGATTGGGAGCTCGATGGCGTGAGGACTGGCTTTGAGCTCAGTGGCATTGGTGATGATTGTGGTCTCGATGATTGGTAGAAGTTGGAGGTTCGTGAAGCGGGAGTGGTGCCGTAAGGTTGTGCGTTGTGGAAGTTGTAGGCAGGCTCCAGGTGGAAGCCCTGGGCCGATGTTCTTGGACCTGGCCATGAAAGCGGCCCACGAGCAGAGGTTGGTGAGGATGCAGCAGAGCCGGCGTTCGAGGAAGCCGTCTCGTACTCGGCCAGACGGCAAGCTTCTGAGCAGTAGACTGCTCCATCGGTTTGCTTGTCACAAGCAAGGCAGTAGTCTGGGGACCAATCCATATCGAGAGACATTGTGAGAGATGATTGTTTTGAGTTGTTGTTCTAGTAGACGGGTGGGTTGGACTTGGTACACTGGTGGGCGAAGTTTTCGAGGGGGATGAGGTGGGCTTTAAAGCAGGATGGAATTCAGCCTTGTTGGGAAAATTCCGAGACCGATCACACCGCGATGTGGTATTCGGTGAGAGGCTGTCTCGACGGTGTTTGGTGACTCAGAAGCGGAGCCTGGTGAAAAGTGGAAAATGAGGTCAGAACTGGTACGGGGGATTGGGCGAGTCTGGTGGCCGGAGGCAAATGGCGTGTGCGGTGCGGGAGCAAGCAAGGTGGAGCCGGTGGTGATGATGTGACGGCGGAGGAGAGTTGTCCGAGTGTGGGTTGATTGATGATTGGTGACTGGTGACTGGTGACTGGTGATTGATGATTGATGATTGATGAGAGTGTTCCCAAGGACGAAGAAATATCGAGGGGATATGAAGGTGTTGAAGTAGGCTGAGGTTCCTGAGGAGGAGGAGGATGAGGAGGCATTCAAGAATGAGGAGCAGGCCGAATCATATACAGGAGCGTGCAGGCCATACAAAAACCGATGTGCAGAGGGCAGTGGGCAGCGGGCAGCAGTTGGCGGAGTTAGCCTGGCTGAGTGGTGAGGGTAGGCTGCGTGGCCCCGGTCCTTGCACGTCCTGCAGCTGGAGCAGCCTGCTTTGGGTTTAGGACTGGGGGTAGGGGGGTTCTGTACGGCGCTAGTCTACTTGGAGGGAAAGGGTTATGTGGTGGGTGGTGGGTGGCTTTGTGGTGTGGATGGGGGGTGTATTGGTGCATTATTGGTGCATGCTGCTGTATGTTTTGGGTGTGGGCAGGGTGGTCGGGGGTGTGTGGCAGGTAATACCGTAATAATAGGGCGGGTATGGCCACTGTGGTGAGTTTACAATACACACTCCGTACTCCAGCGCTGGTGAGTGGTGACGAGGGCAGCAGAGTGGAGCAGAGTGGAGCCCTCCCCCCAGCTGGCACAGCTGCAGATAGCGCCAGGTCTGCTTCGGGCCAAGCGCGGGCTTTGCTGGCTTGCTGGCTTAACCCGCTGTGCAGACGTGCAGCAGACCCCGAGTTGTGGCGTGTTGGCGTGTTGGCGTGTCTCGCTGGCACCGGTGCTGTGTGGCGTGGTGTGCGGTGCTGGATCTATTCTGGATCTGGATCTGGATCTGGATAATTCAATGCCAATGGAAAACTCTGTGATGGTGTATTTTTCACCATGCTCCACCCTTATTGCTACGTCCCAGCTTTCCACTTCTTGCGGCCGCGAGAAGTCTCTGCTCCGGCCATTCCTAGGCAGCGGACGAGGGAAAATGTGATGGATGCGAGGTTGTGTTGTCGTTCCTCCACCCCGACTGCTGCTACTGTACAGTACGTACGCCGTGGAGGTACGGAGTACGAGTGCGTAGTACGAGTACAGTAGCAGCAGCAAGCAGCACCCACTTGGCGGCCTCTTATAGCGGCAACGTGGGATGGTGTTTCGGAGCAGCAGCAGCAGCGCAGGAAAGAAGGGAAAAGCAGCGCTCAGGGAGCAACTTGAAGCCTGAGTCCCTGATGGAGGCAGACATGCACACAATGCGCAGGCCAGCCAATGGCCAGGCGTTCGTCATCCTGCCAATTCTGCACAGTCGCCGAGGGATCAGGGATATTCTAGCGTCTGATTCCCATGATCCTGGCGGCGTCCTGGATATCCTGGATTCGCTTGCAAAACGTCGATTCGCGATGTCTGTGACTCGAAGCGGACGAACTCCTTCGCCCGGTGGAGGAGGATGGGCAAGGCCGTGGTTGAGGATCTGTACGGAGTACGCACAGCAGGATGTCGTCGGACACACAGGACGGAGCGCAGATGCCACTGGCCAGCACTGTCTTGGACGGCACTACGCTGCCCAAGTCGACCTATCCCGCGCGGGCTGCTCACTGCTCGCTCATCATACTCGAGGGGCCTGGAGCCTGCTACGACGTCGACGTGCACTCACAATACAGTACCTACTGTATCGTACAGCGTATTGCCATGCTGATACTGCTGATGCTCCTGCTGCCGCCGCTGCCGCCGCCGCTGCTTTTCGCGCTCGCTTGAGTTCCGGGGCCCCAGACGTGCCCAGCTGCCCAGCGCCAGCGATCGCCCGTTGATAATTAATAATAAATAAAGTGGCCAGCGGCGCCGGCTAGGCTGCTTGGAGGCTGCTGCTGCTGCTGCTGCTGCTGCTGCTACTCCGTCCGCAGGTTAAAGTAGCGAGCAGACGCCAGTCCCCCCCTCCAGTGCCTCCACATGTCTCGCCTGTGACTGGGTCACGGGAAACCAGTCTAGCCCTGATTCCCTCATGCCAGCAGCAGCGGTGCGGCTGCGTTATTGGCTGGCTAGGTTGCGGTCCTGCCCTACGCCCAACCTGGATGGCCCTGCAGCAAAATGCAGTTTAGAGTTGCCTCATACAGTCACAGTCCTTACACGTACGCCAATACGATGCTACGGCTCCACCGCTGTGCAGCCCCATAGCACTGCAATTATACCGTAAACCCAACCCCACCATCCTGAATGGCTTTCAGGAATGTAAAACTTACAGTACCAACTGATGGAGCACCTCACGAATTACCAGCAAATCCTTCGATGTTGGCCTGCACATCATCCACCGAGCCGCCCGCTCCCCTTCGAATATGCGCTGGGAAGCATTCATCGGGTTGCCAGAGCATCGGGTCTAATTGCCCTCCCGAGCTTGCCGCTCGCGCTGGAGTTTATTGCTGGAGGGACACGCCGCATACTCCCCGTATCAAGAAAAGGGATTGTCGCTCGTTGCAGGCCGGCACTCAATAATGGCACTCTACGGAGGATGAAAATTGTCCTTCGGCTCTCCTATCCTTAGAAAAAGTCCACGGAGTACGTCCTCGAGTAAGTAGTACAGCGCTACTATACCGCACGGTTCATGGCTATTGAGCGCGGATCGACATCGACGGCGGCTGTCTCCACCACTCAGATCTGGCAAGAGTGCGGGGAATGTAGAGGGTCCAATGAAACACGGAGCAGTCCGCGGAGCGACCTCAGCAGAGAAAAAAAGAGATTTGGAATATTTTGGTGTAGTTGACGCCACAGCCCCTGGTCGGAAATATGGAATCCCAGTAGCGAGACACAAGCGGCACCACGGTTTGAAAAAGCTGCGGCAATAATGCGACTCTTGGGAACCAAACATTGGCGTGTTGATTCTCCAGCGGCGCCAAATGCCAAATGCCAAATGCAAGACGATGAGAAAATACACCGGAGATTATTATGGTCCATGCGAATACGCATCTGAAATGCTTCAGCCGCCCAATCACGCCGTGTAGCAGTTCTTCTGGGGTTGAAGCAGCGAGCCGCCTCGAAACCCAGCTGCTGGCGATCCTCGAGGAGAACATCATCGTGATTCGTCCCCGGACTCGACTCGCCCTGTTGCAGCTATTATTGGACCAGATATAGACCGCACACCCAGGCGGGCTTAGTATTGTGTAACAGCATGATCGAAAGGTTTTGAGACAGTGTTCATCATCATTACCACTCCTCGCTGAGACCTGGACGGCAACAGGCTGAAGAAAACAATAATGAGGCGGCCACGATAGCAGAGGCATAGCGGCGCACAGCCCATTCATTATTACATACTACGGAGTATACGAAGTACCTTGCCTGGTAAAAGACGTGGTGCGGCACACAGACCTTGACAAAAGTTTATATTGAAGTGCAAGTACGCACGGAATGTAGATGCAAATGCAGCTGCAGATACATATTGTTGCAAGCACCCACACAGACACAGAGTGCACACGGACAGCCATGTCCCCTCGACCCCTTATCTTGCGCCAATAACGGTGGTAATTACGCTCATCATGCAGCAATTCATATCAAGCGACATTATGCCTAAGGGTGCCACCTGGCTTGTCTTGTGCTGCGCTGTGCGACTTGGTTCTCAACGCTTGCAGGCAACGCTTCGGCAGCAGCCGAAGCTCGACCAAGGGAAAGACCCTCGCCGAGGCTAAACCTAACATCGAAACCTGCCAAGACCGTATATATTGCGTTGCTGCTCTCCCGTTACCATCGTCACTTGTCAGATTCGCCACTCTATTTGAGGCGGCTATACTCGTAATAGGAGGGCGTGGGGGTTGGCTGGCAGCATCCTCCAACATGATGCAATCTACTGGATAGATAACCTGCTTTCGAGCTCATATCAGGATGGCATCGTCAGTTAAGTTAGCTGTTATCTCGTCATATACCGGATGAATACTGCGCACGGCAGTGGGCGCGCAATGCAATATCATCGTTAGCGCTCGAGCATTTTACTACAGAGTAACAAACTCGAGCATCTGGGAACCGCGGCTAGGGAATGTCCCAGAACGATAAACTGTGCATGGCCATTTCATCTATTTGGCGTGGGCAAACTACGTACAGTGGGAATAACTGCGTATCGCGGCATCACGTCTCAGCCCCTCCTGTTGCGAAACCCCCGTCGAGGAGGCGGAGCACTGAGGCCACCGAAGCGAAAGCCTTGATACGCAAGCTCGAGCCGTTCGACGGTTCAGGTGCTGGATCATACCACGGGAGGAATGTGAATCTTACCTATAGCGACCTATACCATCGGGGCATTATTTTCAACGTTTCGTCCGCCATCCAAACCCGTCGGCGGCAATGGCGGCCTCCCGTGTCGGGCTGATTGATCAACTCGTGGTTCGAGCACATTCCCAGGTCTCAATTCATCCCGTGGCAGTACGATATGTACGATATGTATTGTACGCTATATGCGCGCACCAGCCGTACTCTTCGAGATACCGTACATGCAGCAGCCAATATAACCTCGATAACCAAGCAAAACTCGAGAGCTTCAAGAAAGTTCGGAAATATTCCGTATTCTATGTAAATGCATCATCGCAAAAGGGGGGCTGGATGAATGCAACCATCTCTCCACCTCTACATCCACCTCTCCAGCTCTCGTACTACAAAACTAAATGGGATCATCCCTCGAGCACGAAAGATGGGGGTTCATTTGGGAGATCGAGCTCTAAATCATAGATCTCGGCCGAGAACTATCAATTTGGAAGAATGTCCGCGAACCAGGCGGATAGGCCCCTCGTAGGGGTTCGCTCCAAGAACATGTACGCACAGCTTGTTTCGGCAACTCGAAGTACTAACTTAGCAGTCGCAGTACGAACTACGCAGTACGAATTACCAGTTACCCCTATCCCACATGATTGTCGGATATACTTCAGTGCATTTATTAAACGGATAGCGGCATCATCAGTCAAGCAGCACCACATAATCAGGTTTTTCTTTCGGGTTTTGATTGACAGATGGTCTTCTCAGACGTTTTTTTTTGCCTCAAACACGGCTGCTCACAAATGAGCTTTTTTAGGGGACCACATGGTCCAATGTTTCCATATTCGTCTCAACTAGTCCTCGACGCCACCCCACAGCGCCCGCACATCTCCGTATCTTTTTTCTTTCTTCTTTTCTCCAGAAAACACGAGAAAGGGGGCTTTTCCAGTTCGCCAATAATATTAATCTGGGGTATGCCACTTGCAACACTGTTCATCCTTGTTATTGGCTCCATGTACGGAGGGAGGTAGGTACATACGCCATACTCCTCACACACAGACCCCTAGGGCATGTTTCGCCGTGTGCTATTGGATATCGCCGCTTTGTTGCGATGAACCCCGCTTGGCATCCGTCACTGTCCTGCGTGATCCCTGAGCGGTGCAGGGATTAACTGCCCTCGATGGCCGATGAGTCGCTGACCCCGCCTTTTAGTTGGGAAAGAAAGGCACGGGCGCGGGAACAGGGGCAGGGGTGTGGGCATGGGATCCCTACGTACTCAGTACCTCCGTACAGGGTCCAGGGTGCGCATTCGATGGTGTGTGGACGCCCCCCCACGTGCAGGCCCTATTTGGGCACGGCTGCCGCTACTTCGCCTGTACATTCGTCGCCCCTCCCTTCAGCAGGAGAAACCCTTCATTCAATCCAAACATTTCTTGGCTGCGCGTCTGACGCCGTGGCGCTCTGTGGAGATTCCCCAAGGACCACGGACCACTTCGTACATGACTACAACCTTCGTACATCTCCTGACCCCGACTTATTCTTGGGGATCGCGCCAGCGCCTTGCTGTTCTTGGATCATGGGCACCCCGTGATGGCTTGCGATGGCTTCATCTTATGTAAGGTCCGCCGGAGATGTTGCAGCATGCATTCCAGGAACCTGACAAGGGAGGGCGAATTGCGAATGTGCGAATAACGTGCGGAAATTTTAATTTCATCTCGTCCGTCCGTCATGACATCGTTTCCAAGCCAAGGGATTGATTGCCCATCAACAATCAATCAATCTCCTGAGATCGGGGGGCCGCAAGGAGGCCGGAATTCAGGTCATGAGACTTGAGAGGAAGTTGAGACTCGGGTCACGGATGAAACCTCGCAACCACGCGGCCGGGCTATCCATTGTTTGTCACGATTGCTACTCCTATGTCGCCTAGGTAGTACGGAGTCCTTCTTCCTTTCCCCAGATTTCCTCGGACTTCCCCAGATCTTCACGCATTAGTTCTCTCATTAGATCGGTTTCGTATCCTTAGCTATGCTACTTGCCCGGCCTCTGTGGAAGTGATCACCAACCTCACGGAGTTACTCCGTGCCGAGAGAGGTTTCACCTGGGGATTTCTAATGCCAAGATCCTCCCCACATTGTAGAAGCCCCAAGTCGAATATTCTGCTTTCTGGAGCTTTTATATTGCCCCCGTCTTCCCTTGGTATGCAACTTGCGTGATTTGGGTTAGTAGTGACGAGTTGAGTGCATGTCATAGCTGCATATACAAGTGGGCGACATACTTGGCTACGAAAAATTGAAGGCGGGGAGAAGGTTGGAAATGCAGATTAAGTGAGGGGTTGCATTTTAGTTGGACGGCGTATTACGGATGGAACGTCTGCTCGGTCTCCTTTCCCACATATATGCACCTTTCGAAAATCCTACACCCTTTTCATATCTGTTATAACCAATTTTCATGAGAACTAGTACTTGTCAAGTACCTTAAGTATACCAGACATTTTGGTGTATTTTCGATGACAGTCCAATACCCAGGTCAAATTAACTCCATCAAGAATCATTGACCGATAGTTTCTACCGAATAATCGAGGATA